CCTCATCAGCATAGACTATCGCCTCTCAGACACCCACATAAAAGCTGGAATTCCCAAACACGTCAAAACCCTGTTAGCCACTATTATAGGGGAACTCAGCATTGATGCCTGGGACATCTTAGCCAAAGGCCTCCTCCCCTCTCAACCCCCCATCAATACAGAACAACGACAAACCCTGGAAGATGCCCTTGCAGTTGCTAGAACCTTAGCTGACACCAACACAAACTTGGCAAAACAACTTGAACTCTCCAACCTAGCAAATACCAACCGCCTGACCACCTCATTGACTGGAAACCTGCCTCCGGCCCTCGGCCAAGCAAACTCATATGCCCAAGCCGTGAAAACCAACTTGGGCTATGCCCAACCAAGAAGAGCAACCAAGAAGCCCATCCAACCCCCCTGCGAGCCATCACTCCCCATGCAGAGAAACCACCCAGCCCATCTGATAATCCGGTTGACAAATAAAATCCTGCTTGACCAACGCAAGTTCAGACTGGAAAAAACCAAGGCCGTCAATGAAGCCCTACATCAGGATGGACTGGACCCTAGCCTCAGTGTCATGGACATCTCCATGTCCGCAGCTGACAATATTATAGTTACAGGGGCTGGATCGACTCTAGCGTCTAATCTGATGGGACACACCAAAGTGATCATGTCCGTTCTTGACCCAAATAACACAGTGGAACACTATGTAGGCCTCCCAGACAAACAGCTCTTCAAGGTCAAGCTGGACAACGTCCCAATGCGATCAACCATAAATGGATCTACCCGGACCCATACCCCCAAAGAGATACTGACCACCCTCTGCAACAATTACACAGACTGGGACAACCTCTACTCCCCTGAAAGAGCACCAACTTGGCTAGTCAGATTGTAGGGAATGGATGTGTGGTGATGCGTGCTGTGCACGCTTTCTTTATTCATTGTTTATTACTCTTTATTTCTCGATGTAAACAATGTATATAAATTGCGGGGAAGGGTGAAACAGGTTTTCACTCTTCTCCTCCCCTGTCGAAATTACAGCTCTATACTGCCTAATTCCTGACAGCTTGAGGATAGCAGGAGTCAACACCAAGGTCGGAACCTCAACCGACCTTACACTGATCCCAGTACAAGGACAGCTCCACCCTGATCTTCATGTTCGATTCACACAAAAAAGCACAATGACTACTGGATGCCAACAGCTTCCTCTGCCTAGGCAACCGCTGCACAACATCAGCCTTCGAAGAAAGAAGGGCCTTCTATTGCGGCCTTTGCAGATCCCTAAACCATAGAACAACGGCTTGCCCTACACCCAAATGCCTCAAATGCACCAGCGAGGAACACACCACTGGGGCCCACCCAGACAATGCACCAGCCAAGTGCATCAACTGCAGACAAACACATGAGTACTATGACAGGAACTGTATGGTCTACAGGAAGAAGCTTGGACTTGCCCCCCCTAAACTAACTATTAGAGTCCCAGGCCGATTCCAATCAACCGGCCTTGGGCCCTCAGCAACCTCCCCTGCCCCTCAACCCCCTCTCCCCCCTCATGCAAGGCCACAGGGAATCCCCAACATGGAAATAGACGGTACGCTCCAATCATCAACCAAGGTGTGCCCCAATGAATGGCAATACTAACCAAGTCAGGATCTTCAGCCTCAACGTGGCCAGATCACCTGTCATCCACACAACAGCCCTTCATGTTGCAGCCACCCACCCCCTCTCCCCCTTTGACATCATCCTCATCCAAGAACCGTGGTGGGGCTGCCCCAACAACACCTGGATCTCCTGCAACCTCACTGGCTGGATGCCAATCCTCCCTGTAGCCAAAGGAATTAAAGGAGACAGACCAAGAGTACTTGCCTATTTAAGACAAGACTCAGATATCTTGGTCACCACTAGAACAGATATCCTCGAACACCTTGATATCCAAATCCTGGACATATTCACCTGACACACAGAAGATACCATACAGATTTACAACATATACAACCAATCTGTACAAAATACCAACTCACACTCTATTGATGCGCTCTGTGCTACTCGCATTGACCCACTAATCCCCTCAATCCTCACAGGTGACTGGAACACCCACCACCCCAACTTTAACCATATACCCAACAACCATGCCACAAACCAAAGAGACTTGCAGACAGCTGTGTGGACCCATGAGAACAGCCTCCATCTGATCAACAGCTGGGACCAGATCACCAGGGTCACCCCAGATGGCAACTCTGAATCAGCCCTAGATCTCACATTCGCAAACAACCTTGCCCTACAACAAGACCGCATAGCCCACTGAGAGATTGACTCAGAAAACAATTGTGGATCAGACCACTTCGCCATGGTGATCAAATTAACCCTTAACAGCAACTCACCGGCCCAATGCGATCCTCAGCCCAAATTCATGTGGAGGAAACTTGACCAAATAGGATTCACCAATCACATCGAACTTGAAATCAAGGCAGACCCCATTTCATACCATAACACCTTCTCCCTGATCCTCAGCTGGTGCACCACCCCTCCAAATCACTCTCAAATTGACACAGCCATAGAAAGAATTCAAGGCCTCATCATGGCAGTGGCTGAAAGGCACTGTCCCCACAGGAAACCCTACAAACAGGCCAAACCATTCTGGACAATTGAACTTACCAACACCAGAATGGACATAGTAAACACTAGGGAAACCACTCGAGTCGAAAAGTCCATCACCAGCACTATCTCAGAGCACTCCAGAAACTGCACGAACCATGCTGCTGCCCAATTCAAAAGACTCTTCAAGAAAACCAAAAAGGCGTTCTTTACTAACATCGGTAAGAACACTGACAACTCTAACTTTTGGCCCCTAGTCTGCTGGTCTGCAGGCACGAGGAACTACCTAACTCCGCATATATCCCAAGGCGCCAACCTCCCCCCTGCAACCACCTTTCAGGACAAGTGTGGGATCCTGTCAGAGTCCGCGCGTCAGTTCGCGCGTAAGAATCTCCCGGGAAACTAGTCGTTGTAAAAGCTGGGGGGCCAACCCAGCTGGCGATAAGGCCTTATATACATGAGTTCCGCAACTCATAAGAGCGTGGCTACATTGGGAACACATGGTAGCCGATAGAGAAGCGACATGAAATAGGAGAATAGATCATGCGGATAAGGGGGCGATAACGGGTGAGGGATGACGCGATAGCGGAAATAGCGCATTGAATACAGCCTGCGTTCTAACTACGGCAAATCACACGCAGATATCAGCTTACGGGTACTCAACCTATCCGGATAGGGGTCCGGGCCGGCCGGATAACCGTCCATGCCCTGACAGATCCTACATGCCCACCTCCTCCCCGCCCCACCATCCATCCCCAACCCCCTGACAATCGACCTTCAGCACAGCAACACCAACCTAGAATGGAACCCCATCACAAGGGGTGAAGTTAAGCGAGCCCTTTTTAAGGCAGCCTCATTCAATGCGCCTGGACCAAGCGAACTCAGCGGAATCGCCTATAAACTGGCATGGAGCGTAGTCAGGAAAGAACTAACCTCTATCATACAGGCAGCCATAGAGACAGGCTTCCACCCCACTCCCTTCCATGATGCCCTAGTAATAACCCTCCACAAACCAAATAAAATGGATTATACCCAACCCCATTCATACAGACCAATCCAGCTTCTCAAAGTCCTGGGCAAAGTTATTGAACCTATCACTGCTAACCACCTTTTGTACTATGCCAGCAAGCATGGCCTCCTGCTGCCCACCCAGTTTGGGGGTATGAAAGGCCACTCAGCAGATGACGCCACACTCACAGCAGTACATGACATAGAAGCTGCCCTCAACCGCAAACTGATAGCAACCTCCCTCACCTTCGACATAACCGGCTTCTTCGACTTCGTCTCACACCCCCACCTCCTAAACACCCTACGGGATAAGAGAATCCCCCTCCCAATTGTCAAATGGGTCAAATCCTTCCTAAGTCAGCAACAGACCGCCCTCATCCTTGATGGCACCAGGGAAGAAATGAGACCCACACAAACTGGTATCCCACAAGGGAGTTGCATATTGCCAGTGCTGGCAGCATACTTCTCTGCTCCCCTCATTGACTCCATCAACTCTGCTACTAACACTGACAACATACCACATGACCAGCTAACATCTATCCTTTCTGACACTCCATGCCTCACAAACACCTTCCTTTACGTTGATGACAGAAACATCATGACCATGTCAAAATCAATCACCACTAACATTGAACTAGCCAGACTCAGCTACCTAGCTGCAGAAAGGTGGACAAGGGATAGAGGCCTCTCTCTCGACCCAGCCAAAACCAACCTTATCCACTTCACACAATCCAGACAACGCCACCTTGACCTCACTCTGTCCCCATGCGCCAACCGCCCTAGCTTCACAATCAAACACTCGAACAAAATCAAGTGGCTTGGCATCACGTGGGACTCCAAACTTTCCTTTACCCCCCACATCCGAAAAATCTGCACCACAGCCTCCAAGGCCACAAATGCCTTACCGATCCTCGAAAACTCTATAGCCAGAATGCACCAACAACAACGCAACTAATCTACTTAGGAGCTATAGTCCCAATGCTGTCCTATGGGGCCCCAACCTGGTGGCATAACAAAAAATCTCACACCCAACTATTAACCCACATCCAGAATGTAGCACTAAGATTCATTGCAGGAGCCTTCCACACCACTCCAGTATACTCATTGGAAGTAGAGTGCAGCATACCCCTGATCAATATCACTCTAAACTACATTGTCTGCCACGCCACCCTCCACTTCCCCAGACTCGACCTGAACAATCCCATCACCTCAAGAATCCCACCTGACAAACGAATCACCCCCCCCTCCAACTCAAACATTCCCCCCACCCCAAAAGAAGAAAACTCATGAACCAAGAAAAACAGAGAACCATAATAGAAAAAGACAAGAACAGCACCCAAATCTGGAGAATGGTGAAAGAAATAGATGTTGGCATGGAACCGACCAGCCTCTGGCCAGAACTGCTGTGGGCAAGAATGACAGAAGACCTAGAAGATAGACTGAAAATATCGATCCCAGAGAATAACCCAGGAGTTTCAGCGAAAAAGAGCTGGGTGAAGGAGCATAAAGACAGTTGGAGGAAGAACTCCAGGGATGAGTCCCACATTTATCTGTATACTGACAGATCACTTTTGCTCAACCAGGGAATCTGCAGAGCTGGGTACGGATTTGCAGCCTTTCACCATGGCACGGACATCTTTAAAGGGAAGGGCGGTCTAGGAGCGAGAGTCGAGGTTTACGATGCAGAGATGGAAGGCCTTGCCCAAGGCACAGCCCACCTCACCGCATGGATCGACAAGAACATCCCAACCCATAACAAGCTAACACTATCCACCTTCTTGTCACGACTGACAAATCCCGGGGCTCCATCAGCGGCAATCAATGCCGACAGGCGATTCCGCCGACCCAAACCCATCCTTACCAGCCCCAACCCGATGTCTGTTCTATCGACCATGCACCGCTTCCGCACCTTCCGCAACCTCTGTCCATTTCTGGTTGTCCTTGACACCTCTGGTCAGGTCAACACTCCCCTCCGTATCTTGCTGGCCATCATGCTGTCCTTTTGTGACAGCACTGACAGACCACCCTCTGTTGTGGACTCATCAGCACCATGCTGATTCCCGCATCCCTTTGTGGACTTGTGTCGGCATTGCACCGACCCTGCATCCTGATTTGCGGACTTGTATCGGTGCCGCACGCTGACCTCCTCTGGCCATTTGTCACTTGGCAGCTTATCATTCATTCCTTGCCGAGTGCCATTATTGTTTGCTTCCCTGCCAATATCGGCATTTGATCCCCTCTTTATTGGCACTAGGTTATTGATCTCATTCAGTTATTCATCAATAACCCTTGCCACTTATTGTTTATTGATCTGTTCCTCGTTTCCAGTTCCCGGGCTCTTGTCCTTATTTAGTTTGACAATCCCCGCTTATCTCCGCGCCAGACCGTGCCGGACTGACCGGCCTTTCTATATTCCCTCTTGCCTATTTATATACCTTGTAAATACTTTTGGGGACCCCAGTCTGAAATCAACTAGAGTACCCCCCTGTCTGGTCTGAGTCTCTCCTTCTGCAACGGGGGCTTCCCCCCCTCTGAGTCCGTGCTCGCGGAGTCTGCGCTCCTCCTATAGGTCCGCTCCGCCCGCAAGTCTTGTTTGAAGTCCGCTGTAAGTGTCAGTCCGTAAATATGGGATCTCCCCCAAACGTCAAGCTCAGGGCACAGCGCTCCACCTGAGTCGCTGAGGCCGCGATCCCACTCTGCTAACCTTGAACAGCACTTCTGGACGCGCCGCATATTTCCGCCCGCATATCCGCGTGTGCGCTCCAACAGACCTCTGCATCAACTCCGACCTCAACTCAGACAGAACCCAATCCGTCTTCTATCTGTCTTCTGACAGTCTGCCAGACTCTAACAATATTCCCAGTCTCTGACAGCATTCCAGATCTCTGACAGTATTCCGACTCCGACAATAATCCAGCCTCTGACAATAATCCCATCTCTGACACTTCTCCGATAACACCGGGGCCCTCCAGCATATCATGGCCAACACACCAGGACTAGACATCCAGCAGTCCCTCCACTTCCGCAAATCCGTCCTCAAAATACTTGATGAGCACCCCCTGTGCAAAATCAAAATCAAATGGGTTCCAGGACATGAGAACATCAAAGGAAACGACCTAGCAGACTCCCTAGCAAAAGAAGGAACCTCTCTCCCCCCCTCCTACCCTTTTGACACCTCAGCAGCATTCATGCACAACACAAACAGACGCTGGTACAGAACCGAGTGGATCAAACATTGGAACAGAGACCCCGCTCCCCATAGACCATCAGAATACCTGGCCTGTAACACTACAGAGCCAAACCTAAGTACCACCAAACGCTTCAAATCCCTTGGGCGTAAAAACTTTAGCCACCTTGTTCAACTGCGCATGGGCCACGCCTTCATCGGCCAATATTACAAATGTTTCCTCCCAATTGAGAACCCGAGCTGCAGATGCAGTGAATCCACAGAAACACACGACCACATCCTGATGGAATGCCCGCCTTACGCTGCGCACCGAGACCTCCTTCACGACAAAGACGGAGACCTAAACCTAGCCGACCTTCTTGGAACAGAAGAGGGTAGCATAAGATCAGCGAGCTTCCTCAATGTGAGTGGAGCATACGAAAAGAAAACCTTAACTGAATAGACCCCCAACCCCAAGAGATAATGCCTGCCCTGAAAGGCGGAATCCCCCTACCTTTACGATAACCGGCAGCATAACATCCGATCACATGTAAGTGGAAACTCCCCAGAGGAAATGGTTAGGGAACTACTCAGTCATAGGATGAGACTCCCCAGATGGAACGCATCCCTTATATCTACTTTATTTTCGTGTATTTATTTCGAGACCCCTGCCCTTGGCGCTCTCACGAGCAGCCTGTAGTCTGCAGGATAAATATCCAGAACTACACACACACACACCCAAATCAGCGGCAAATCAAATTTGATGGTTTGGCACCTGTGCCCTTATATGGCAACCACATTGACATATTTGTCATGAGCTTTCTAAATCGAGATGCCCCGGAGGTGTTCAATCAAATCAAAGCGCCGTTTGCTCCTTGTTCCTCCGGAGAAACCAACTCGGCCAGCGGCCTGAATTGGATCAAATTTAATTGGTGTAAGGGCACTGGTTGACATGTTCTTCAGGTTTTAGGCTGCAGAATCAGTCACTCGTTTGTTTTGCTGATGTACATGCAGTGGTTCAAACTTTATGGATATAAAAAGCCAGCGGTTAGCCACTCTCCTCACCCTCGGTCAGCTTACCACCACGTTCTGAGTTCTCCTGTGTTACGCCGGCACAATGCTCTCCTCTCTCATTTTTGCTCTCGCTCTTTTCAGCTCTGCCCTCGCGGCCCCTACCCCTGACTTCGCTGCCACAAGGCCCCTCCGCAGTACTCAGCGCGTGCACTAATCACCATCTCCATTCTCTGGCACGTCAGCTCCCAAAGCCCTGGTACCGTGAGCTAGTCGCTTGTCGTATGACGGGATTATTGCGTTCCTCCCCTGCTATTACCACTACGCGAAATGCCCTTCTGGGGGTAATATCAGACGTCCAGATCCTCCCGCCATTAATGCGCTCAACCAGACTTCGCAGGCTCGGGATTTAGCGGCTCTCTCGCTAACGTCTCTCGCACCTACAATCCCAATTGGTTCAACACTGGTCCCAGCACGTCAGATACATCAAAATTTGTCTCGTCCTAAAAATCACCCATCAACCACTTAGCCCGAACCAACATGCGATGAAAAATGGACTTCGCCAGGGTAGTGCCATGGTCCTGAATGTCTATAGCGTTGGAAACATCCAGAATGATCTCTTCGAATTTGCCCGCCTTCCCTTTCTCGTACACTTCCAACCCTAAGAACGAGGGTATCGTCATCATTTATTCGACACTTCCCGGTGGTTCTGCGCTCGGCTACAGCACAAGCTGAAGCTAGACGTAAGTTCGATTCAGTCATCAAATGGCTCCCAATTGGACTTCCCCCCTTTCCCTCCCTCTCTTCGGTTACGAATGAATCAGACTGTGTTAGCCTGTATCATGCTTTCCAAGGAGGATGTGTTCCGCCTGGTGACTACGTCTTTGACTCCTCCTGAGGCTACTGCAGCACAAGGGTGCCCTGCTGGCCGTCGCACCTGCTCGGGTGGTGGTGCCGACCCTATTCACTACCGGTGCATCCACCTTGATGTTTATCAAGCTTTCCGGCTCCAACCTGACACTATCCCCCCCTTTTTTTTCCCTCTCATTAGCATGGATTACAGCTCTGACAGCTGCAGGTCCCAGTTCACGCAATGGCCTTGCAAGAACAGATGTCGGTTACCGTTTAGGACGTTGAATCAGAGCGGGATTAGATTTCGTTTTCGGAGAAAAAGCGTTGGGCGCCAGTTGTGAGACCCTAATCACAACCAGTGCGTCGCTTTGGTGCTCCCCATGCTGTTCCTCATTCCGACTTGACACTTTCCTCACCGGCCCAGATCCCACCTGTGACAGCCACAGGAACCAGTTCACGACAGGGTCATATTGACTTGCCCTGGCGTTTAAAGCTTTGAATCAGAGAGTACATGCATTTTGCTCTAGGAAGATCCAAATTCCGGAAAATGAGGCGTCAAAAATAACTGCCTACACTGTGGTTTTCTCCAGTTCAAGACCCAATCACCCTATTCTTGCGTCCTTATGCTGTATTGTCGTGGCGAATATGATTTGAGTAACGTTACACAGATGACTATATTTTTGCACTGATTCTAATGCATTGATTCGGAATGCCCATGACTGCCAAATTCAACCCATTCCCGAATTTCCTCGAGGGTTGACCGCTTCTCTGGGGAAGTGTTCAAGCAACCGAGGATCTCTGAGCTCTTAATGTATTGGAGAATATCAGTCGTGTAGGCTTGAGCCTCAGTCCCAAGAATCTCAGTTTCATCTTGGATGGTGCGGTATGGTCGCTCGCCCCTCATGATCTCATGAAACAGAACCCTCAGATATAATATCAACGCTACAAGAAACCGTCCCTGCTCACTTTTATCGAAACACAGCCGAACGCCCAAATGTCGCCCTCATAGCTGCACTGGAATACGCCATTGTCATTCTGACGAAGTTCAGGCGCGATATACCGGATACTTTGGAATGGGATACGTATATCATGCAGAAGAGTTTGCAATCCGTAGTCACATAGCACCGCTGTACCGTCAAAATCGACTAAGATGTTCGTCTGCGAGAAATTAGTGGGACTACAAATTAATCCGTGAGAGGTACCATATGAGCGTACTGGTTTGATATTGCCGTGCACAATTTCCTCATCATGTAGGTAGTGTAGGCCATAGAACATATCGGATATCTGGAAACAAGTGAGAGGACGACTCAGCAGTGGCAGGCGCTAGAACGCACCAATTTATTGTGATCCGCCCACGGATCGTCCGCCAGATAGGACTTGACATCTCCCCTCGGATACCAAGGAGAAACAAGGCCGACGTTGAGGGTCCCATCATCAGCTAAATCCATCATCCATCCTTGCATTGGCGCGAGATTGCGCCCGTCGAGCGTCTTCCATTTCTTCCCCTGGGTGAAGAAACGCTTGGGGAATATTTGATCATGCTTAGGCAAAAAAAAAAATTGGCAGCCCAACGCGTACGTACCCGCATAAAATTTCTGCATTGCGACGTGTCTGATATGGGGACATTGAAAGTCTTTATTCGCATATCCTTTTGATTCTGGTGGATATTCGTCCGCAGGTCTCGCAGCAGGCAGAGAAAGTGAAACGTACCCCTTCCTGCAACCTATGGCGCAACGCCCAGGGAAAGCTCTTACGTACCAGGTCATCTTGGCCGTTCCTTCTAACATTCAGTTCTCTCGCCCAACGTCCACTGGGTTGCTGCAATTCAAGATTGAGTAGCTCCAAGAAAGGTGTGGGTGCTTCCCCCGAAAGGTTCCTGATCGACATAAGTAATGTGCATAAAGTCCGGGATATTCATACTCACTCGAGACGTTGGAGGAGAGTCACTATGTCAGGACGAAGTTGAGGGTCGCAATTAAGGCAAGTGCTGAGCTCTTTCTCTATTGGGGATGAAGAGATTGGCTCGAAGGGCGGTCTTTTCTCAATAACCGAAGCAATCGCAACTTCCGAGATATCCTTGTATGGGACCCTGTCGCGGAGAATCTCAAGGTGAATGTCAGTTCAGTAAACTACACATGATTGGTTTATCTGTACCTGCATGGCCGAACACCCGTAAGCCCAGACGTCGCTGGCCGCAGCACGAGAAGACGACCCGAACTCGAATAACTCTGGGGCCGCATACCGCCATGTCTTCGCGCTTGTCTGCCTAGCTATAGTGGGTTGAGATAGAACGAAGGACGTCCCAAAATCACACAGTTGTGGGACCCCATTTCCGTCGACTACAACATTGGGCTACAGAGGTTAGGGAATAGGTGATTAGTCCTGGGCGAAGCTAAATAGCTCACTGGTTTGATGTCTCCGTGCACTACGGACTCCGAATGCAGATATGCAAGGCCTTTCGCAATGCCTCGAATCTTCATCCCACCCAGTGAGCACATTGAAGGACACAGTGATTGACACTCACCAGGGACGAACGATTAGCATCGGGCCGTCTGTCGAGAAAAACTAGTATGTTTCCACCCTTGCACCAGTTTGACACTAAGCTCGGAGTTGGTTGTTCCGTTGTCGGCGGGTCATAGAGAAGCCATCCGTGAAACTGCACAACATGTTGGTGCTTTAACGGGCCCCAAACTTTAATCTCGTGAACAAATCGCTTCGCGCGAAATCAGTCGCCAACATCTACCTACGACGTGCCAACATACCGAGACGAAATCGCTTTCGATACATGAAAAATCCACCTGTTCTCGTCTGAAGACCTTTATGCACACTACGGTACTCTAGTAATATGCATGAACGTTAACTGCAACATGCAGAGCAACTTAGAAAAGCGAACGTTTGCATGAATCCCTCTGTAAACATCTCCGTAACCACCTCGCGCTCTTACAGGACCAGTTCTTGTCGCTCGACCGTCAAGTCTGGGATACTCCCCCAGCATTTCAGTCACTTGTTGGAGTACGGACTGTGCTATCATGCCTGCCAAATAGCAGTCATTGATTGGAAGTAGTACACGAAATATCCCAGCTCAGGATCGGAGATGGTAGACAGCTGAACAGCGTCCTGGTACGGACAGCATATAAAGCGACTATTTGATACAACTCAACATCCACTAGAAGGCTAACGTAAGATCGATACGATAAGGAATCGATATAACAATATAACGAACGCTAAGGAAATACAGCAACTAAAACCTAGGCCTCGTGTTGCACGCTCACCCATGCCGCTCGGCCATACCTGTTCTGGCACTTGTTCTTGATTAATTTGATTATGGGAAAGGGGTATTACTGCATCGCCGAAACGGGCTGTTATAACTTACTGTGTCGTTTTACGACCTCATGATGCAACACACATCTCTACACGACACATCATGGTTTTCGGATCTCGCACAACGCTTAGCATTGGAAGCTGACATCCAACCTTTCAATCCCGGCCAAATGACGCACGCTATTGTGAGTCGCCCTCATGTCTTGTTTGACTCCCGCTGAGATATCTCGGATCAGAGTGAAGGGCAGATGGAAGTCTTATACGAGGTCTACTCCTTGAAATCAGCTGAGGTGGACCATTTTGTTCAGGTTTGTCGGGCAAGTGCGAACGACAGTACCGGCATCTCACGTGGCCGCTGACAGCGAGTTGGACAACAACTGCGCATTTTAACCAACTTGAAGCATGACAATATCTTGGAGTTTCTGGGATGGATATCACCGGAAGATGAAGGTCCGCTTCGTGTGATCGCCGTCTCATCGAAATGCGAGGGTGGCGAGATCATGACTTTTCTCCGGGCACTCGACCTGAAGGATGAAAATCGGCGACAATTGGCACGTTCTATTTTAGAAACAATGAGACACTCGGGTTTACATCAAATGTAGGTTTTGGGTGTTTCTCAGGGCCTGGCCTACCTTCATTCTGAGGACGTAGTTCATGGTAACCTTAATCCTGTTCGTTCGATGCTGTCTTAAGCCTTCATGGGAGCCTCTCTAATTGTGTTGGTCTCCAGGGGAAAATTTTCGTTGATTGGAATTCTGGGCATCCTGTCGCTAAGATCGGCGGGTTTGACCTGTGCTATCTTTTGAGCGAAACACCTATCCATCCCAAGCCAGAATACAGGACATCCAGGATTGTACGTTACACTGCACCCGAGGTGCTAACAGGACACAAGGCCGAGTGCGATATGGGCGGTGATGTTTGGTCCTTTGCATGCATATCGCTGGAGGTAGTCTGATTTCTTCTTATCATGCGACTTGATGTCTGATCCTTCCCAGATACTTCGCGGGAAGCCGCCTTACGAGACTACTAGGGACGATTTTCTTATCCCACACATAGCCATGAAACATGTTTCTCCATATGAGTGGGCGGACTCAAATGATTTCGAGCGAGTCCTGATGGGTTGTCTGGATTATGAACCCAGTAGACGACCTCCAATCCACGAAGTTGATGGACGGCTAAGGTATTTAGATTACTTTGCCTATTTGATGGCAAGACTTACGTTCAGTAGGCAAGCAGCTGCCGGGATATTTAATCTCCCCATTCACGCAGACATTGAACGTGAATTTATGCAAGAGGATAAACGGAACCTTGCTGGGAAAATACCATCTGAACAACTCCGTGCACCCGAAGGGCATCCCTTGTCCCCGTACAAGGGGACCTATAAAGGCGTGCGTTCGTTCATGCTGAGTATGGCACCGGTGACGGGTCAATGCCATCCCAACAGAAGCTAGTCTGCATCCAACAGATCAGCATTCCGGACCCACGAGCCCTCAGTGATTCTATACGTGTATGTTAACGTTACTTTCTTCGGAGTCGTCCTGAACTGACGCATGTGGCGTTTGAAAGTCTTTGAAGAGACAAATACGCTTGTGGCGTCGATTGGTACACCCCAACATAGAGACGCTCTACGGATGGGTGCTGTCTCCAGGAACTGAGCCAGTAGTCAGCTTTATTTCCGCTTGGCATGCTCATCGCGATGTGGTGGGGTATCTGCACCAACATCCAGCTACAAATCGCCGCAGGATGGTAAGATACTTATGTACCTGCGAGAAACAGGGCAACAAGCGACTGATCCTTTCTCTTCAAGGTGTATAATATTGCACTAGGTCTCTGTTATCTTCATTCGAAAGGGATCGTTCATGCCGATATTAGGCCGGTATGCCAGCTGTGATGGGAGCACTTTGTGATGTTTAATATTGTCATTTTGTGGTTTAGGGAAACATCGTGATAGGGGATGGAGGCAATCCCCGCTTACGTGGATTCCAGTTCTCATACGATCGATTGGATGAGCCACTTCTCTTTGACATCCATCATGACCTCAATCCCCGTTTTGGATCACCAGAGCTTGTCAATGGCCTTATCAAGATCCCTAATCGAGCAAGCGATGTTTGGGCTTTCGGTTGTGTCACTGTAGAAGTAATTTCGATTCAATTATTATCGCTAAGCGAAGACGTTTACCCCTTCCCGCAGATACTCGTTGGTGAACCTCCTTATTCCTGCTTTCCTGGTGTCCAAGTTCGTGCCATTATTGCAACTTTTCGAAAGCCCTATGAATGGGTAGATCTTGATGAATTTGAGAGCGTTATTGCCAAATGCTTTACTTATCCTTCGGATCATCGAATAAGCGTTAACGAAGTTCGTGATACTTTCAAGTGAGTCCATGGCAAGTATTAGATGATTTGGTATTGACACCAGTTAGATCATGGCTAGCGGCTGAGTGGGAGGTTTCCTATGAAGGTATGGTTACCGATCTGCCGATTCCTTAGCCTACGTTTGATGGTATAACATATAGGCTATCCTGAGAGACCCATTGACCGGAGTGGATTTGTGGCCTTACGGGAACCGAGTAGCCCGCTCTTAGAAGCACATACCCGTCATGCACAGGGGCGGTCCACACTCACTTTGAACCCTTCTAATAATTCTCTGAAGAGCCAGATTTCTGTCCATCGGACCCGGCAGAGGCGACGTCGAGTGCTGGGGGGGCTGCTATGGTGGATGTGGGAGCGTGTGCGGGAGTGGGAGCGTGTGTGGGAGTGGGTGCAAGTGCAAGTGTGGGTGTGGGTGTGGATACAGGTGTGGGTGTGGGTGTGGATATGGGTGTGGGTATGGGAATGGGAGGAGCGGGAGCAGGAGCGGCGGCGGCGGGAGCTGCGGGAGCTGGAGTGGGGGCAGGAGTGGTTGAAGCGGGAGCAGGAGAGGAGGTGGGAGCAGGAGCAGAAGCTGGAGGAGCTGGAGGTGGAGGAGCCATAGAGATAGCTGCAATCAAACCCAATATATTGATGTTTTGGCACTGTGCCCCTGTGCCCTTATATGGCAACCAGATTGACATAGTTGTCATGAGCCTCCTAAATCGAGATGGCTCGTTAGGTAAATCAAAGCACCGTTTACGAATATTTACATCGAAGTTGTTGTTGTTGTTTTGCTACCCGTCGCGGCCGCGTTAGCACGTGACAGAGCGGCATATCCTGAGTGTCGTCGGGTCAACATCGAAGTTTGTGGGTATAGTCGACGTCGATGCAATACTTGCCTCTTATGTAAGATGCACCGCATGTTATCTTTCAGCGAAAACTTCTTCGAGAATGCTCCCGTTCTTCCTGAGAAGCCCATCGGTCAGCGGCCTCCGAAATGTGAATTGGATTTAGGTTGACAGGTTCTTTCGGTTTTGGGCCACAGAATAAGTCACTGCGTTTTTGCTGATGCAGCAGTTCAAATTTTATGGATATAAAAAGCCAGTGATTAAGCCACTCTCCTCACCCTCGCTCAGCTCAACCACCACGTTCTGAGTTACGCCGGCGCAATGCTCTCGTCTCTCATTTTTGCTCTCGCTCTTTTCTGCTCTGCCCTCGCGGCCCCTACCGATATCAATATCACGGATACGCCCTTTGTTTGCGGAACTGAACCGTCCGACGCGTTCGTCAGCGCTGCCGAATCTGACTTCGCTGCCCACAGCGTCACTCCGCAATACTCAGCGCGTGCACTGATCACCATCTCCGTTGTCTGGCACGTCATCTTCCAAAGTCCTGGTGAGTCGTTCGTCGTATGACGGGATTATTGCCTTACCTCCCCCCGCTATCACCACCACGCGAAAAGGCCTTCCTGGGGGTAATATACCGGATGGCCAAATCCTTGACACCATTAATGTGCTCAACCAGAACTTCGCCAGCTCGGAATTAGGCTTCTCTCTTGCCAGGATCACCCGCACCCACAGTCCCAATTGGTTCAACACTGGTCCCAACACGTGAGTAGACACTTCAAAACAAACGCCTCGCAAGCTCGGCCAAAACTTTTCTCGTCTTAAAATCGTTCATCCACCACCCCTAGCCCGAACCAACATCAGATGAAAAATGCACTTCACCAGGGTGGTGCCATGGTCCTGAACATTTATAGCGTTGGAAACATCCAGAATGATCTCTTCGGATATGCCACCTTCCCTGTCTCGTACGCTTCCAACCCTAACGACGACGGTATCGTCATCGTTTATACGACACTTCCCCGTGGCTCTGCGTCCGGCTTCAACACGGGCAAAGTTTTAGTTCACGAAGTTGGACGTAAGTCTGATTCAGTCATCAAATGGCTCCCAATCTGACTTCCTCACTCACACACACACACTCTCTCCTCTTTGGTTACGAACGAATCAGACTGGGTTGGTTTGTATCATACTTTCCAAGGAGGATGTGCTCCACCTGGTGACTCCGTCTTTGATACTCCTCCTGAGGCTACTGCAGCGCATGGGTGCCCTGTTGGCCGTGACACCTGCTCTGGTGGTGGTGCCGACCCTATTCACAACCAGTACGTCCGCCTGATTCTCACCAAGCTTCTCTGACACTATCACTCCCTCTTTCTTTTTAGCATGGATTACACCTCAGACAGCTGCAGGACCCAGTTCACGCAAGGGCAGGTTCTCCGCTTGCGAGAACAGATGTCGGTTTACCGATTAGGACGTTAAATCAGAGAGGGATTTTATTTCATTTTCGGGAAAAAGGCGCTGGGCTGCAAGTATTTTGTAGTCCTTCATGTATGCGATCTTCCCCTAATGATAGCAGCACGCATGGTTCGGCTAAGAGTATTGCATTGAAGACAGCAGGCAGGGATGAAGGGCTTCAGATCAGTATCGGGAATGATTTTGCTTCACTCGGAGCCGCCAAGACCAACCTACAGTTGTACCCCGCTTGTCCGAAGTACCAACGATGGCTGCAGCCAATGAAGGGCAATCTCTAGTCTGCTCGCCGCCGTGACGTTCGATAATTTATTGCGTGCTTGCCGTCACTATCTATCAGGGCAGACCAACTTACCTACCAGTATCATCGATCTGTTTTTTTTTTCTCATCTTCCTTCCCATCGAAGCTGAATTTGGTCCGGCTCACTGGCACGGCCTGAAATCTACGAGTGCATTATGCAAGATGTCAAGCACCCATGATATCTCTTGGCGAAGCATCTTCGAAGCATGCTCCCCTCCCCCTCAGCACTCCGTTCTGAGTTCTCTGTGTTGCGTCAACCCAATATTCTCATCTCTTGCTTTCGCTTCCGCTCTTTTCTCCCCAGGCTCTGCCGTCGCAGCCCCCCCGCCAGCACCACAGCTATTACATCCCGACTTCGCGGAACTGAACCGTCCACCACGGTATTCATCAGCGCTGCAGAATCTCATCCCAACTTGAAACCCGCTTGCTTCGCAGCACTTAGTGGATCCACCAGTACTCGCCATCTCCGTTTACTAGCACGCCATCAGCGGTAGCTTGTCGTACGACGAACCTTTACTATCACCACGCGAGAAGATCTATCTGGGGCTAACATACCTTACCCCTCTTACAAATGAATCAGACTGGGTTAGTTTGTACTATAGCTTCCAACTTGAAGTAGGATGCGCTCCGCCTGGTGGCTCTATCATCGATACAGCCCCGAGGCTTCTCCTGCAATATGGTGCCCTGCTTTTGGCCTTCTGACTCCTGTTTGCGACCAGTTCGTTAGCTCATCCCCTCAGCAAGGATTACACTGGTGACGGTTGCAGGAACCACGACAGATCGTCCGGTTTCAAGGACAGATGTCGACTTACTGTTTAGGACGTTGAATTTGTCCCGCCTTAGGAAAGCGTCGGGCTATGTATTTCTTGGTACTGCGTGGAAGCAGTCATTGTAGACTAATCATAGGCGCATAACTGGTTGAGCTGACAATATCGCGAAATCAAAGGCAGCAATGTCGTGATAACTCCGATCGAAATCGGGACGAGTTAGCAGTACAGTACGAACCGTATACAAGAAGGCAAACCAAAAATCCACCATCAGCGTCCCCCTTACCAAGCAAGGAATCCATCGACAAACGTAGTGAAAAGATTTGATGAACATATATGTTCGGTGTAAATAGCAGTGAATCCGGGTAGCAGTCGAAAGCGAGAAAGAGAATATCGGAAGATTAGATGATGGGTCGTAATCCTGAAGATACGGAAAGCGACATGGCCAGAAACGGAGAATAAATCCGGATAAGATGTGATAAATTTGGGAGCAGATTTGCAGTGTCACAGGGCTTTACGCTGAGGCCCGAGGTCTGGAATGAGGTAGTGAGAATCATTCAGAGCCACCAGCACCAACCATAGGACTTGTACTCTGTTCGTCGGAAGCACTGACGGTGGCTGCAGACGTTAGGCCAGCTCGATGTTGTCTTGTGCCACCGCTCAAACTCTTCGTCAGTTGGCTTAACGCAGTGGAAGAAATGATTGGGCGGGTGGCTGAATGGGCACGTCTCTCCGCCCGTGAGGCATCGCCGAACCCGCCGGCTCGTCGGCGATTTGTTGAACCGAGGTCATGATTATCCTTTGCTGAAGGGGGTCGTAAAGGTGAAGGAGTTTTCGTGCGGTCGGCTAGGCCTGCGCCACGTCTCCACGAGGGAAGTGAGACTTCCTCACTCAAAGGTCGGGGAGGAAGCGAAGCCGGTGGTGATTCAGGTTGCATGATGGGTTGTTCTTCGGGTCTTAGGTTTCCCGTTGTCCCCACAGAGAGGTTGGATTTACTGTTCTCGTGCGGATTTTCCACATTCGGGGGAACGGATATGACTTGAGGTGGATCTCTCGATTCCATCAAAGCTTTTTGGGCCGCCGGAGCATCGTTTGAAGCACTGAGAGCAGCAGTAGCTCTCTCCCGAACCCTTCTCTCTTTCGCCCTTGGGTCCCTTGACTGCTTCCTCGCGGGCTCTCGGGTGGAATACCCTTTCCCTTTCCCCTGGACCGGAACACGCGACTCTGATGGAGTCGAGGGAGAATCGAGGATAAAGAGTCCACTTGAGCTGTCACAATTTCAAGCACGGGGATTTGTACACTTCCGGTAGCTTCGGTGGAGAGCGATTGCTTCGTCGGTGGCGCAGGAGAGTTCAGTGACTTTGTAGCACTCGAACGACGTCGAGGTACTGGGCGAGCTGGCTGCACATTCCACTCATCGAGGTCGGGAAGTTCTTCCTCATCATCATCTGCCCAATTTAAGTGAGAATGCGTCGACGGAGTGTTAGGACGAACACCCTCGTCCGCAACCGTGAGTGCTTGCGGCACATGTTTGGGCGATACTACGATAGCGGTCGGGGATGGTTCCCCTGCATCAGTCACTGTGACTTTTGGCTCCCCACCTGGCATTGCGTGAGGGACGGCAGGTGCCAGTGTAGGGGTAACAGGAAGGGAAGCGCTAGAGGAAGACAGAGACTCGCTTTCTACTTTCGTGTCCAGCTGAGGTCCACGGAAAGCATTCGAGGGAGACAACAAAGCATGTTGAACTTTCTTAGAAAATGTTCTGTTACGCCCCTTCCGTTGTGATGTGCGTGGATTGGAAGAAGTTACGGGATTTGCAGGGTTGGCTTCGCTAGGTGTGGCAACTGTGGAAACCGAAGATCTTGAGCGTTTCAGGGAGTGGCGTGCAGGAGGAGGAACAGATGATACACCATTTGATGTCCCATTGGTCGGGGCAGACCCTTCTTGTGGGCCGGGGCCTCTCGTTGGGTTCAAAGGAGTTGAACTTTCGGGTATGTCATCCAGATTCGAAGTAATAGATGGTACATCCTCCTTTCCTTTTGCTCTCTTGCGATGGGTTCCCCGATTCGATCCAGGTGTGCCACGGCTGGGCTTCCCCCGTCTCGGACCGCGAGACTCCAACGGTTTACTGGGCAGTGAAGGGGCAGATGCCGTAGTTGACCATACAGAAGCCATGGTCCCAGCTTCGGCCGCCATATGTACAATTAGGATGTGGCTATAACACGAAGTTAGATCTGGTCATATGCTAGGGTAGGTCGCCACTGATCAGACCTTTTGTCGAGGCCGATGGATATTGCAGTTGGAGAAAATAAGTTATTTCGGGGCTCTATGACACTTGAGCTCTGATCCCGAATATGTGGGTTCACAACAGATTCAGCCGATTGAGAACCAAGCAATAAGACTTCAAGACAGTCTGAGTTTGACGCACTAGATGTGGCTTCGGCGAATCGCGGAAGCAAAGTCACGGGACCTCAGCGACTCTGTTCGTCTACTTAAAATCTCAAGATGTCGAAAGCCTCGCAGCCTGAGCTGAAGAAGGTGAATTTCTCCCCTATCCCTCATCTAGGATTGCCAAGTCACTGACGAGCTTTAGTTTATGGACAAGCGACTCTCTGTTATTCTTCAGGGAGGAAGAAAAGTATCTGGTGTTTTACGGGGCTTCGATATCTTCCTTAATCTGGTGCTTGACGAGGCTCGGGAAGAATCTGGCCTCGTAGCGGCCAGTGGTGGCCCCAAGAACCAGTTGGGGCAGATCGTACGTCAGCCTATTATACACGCATTCTTCTCACTGACTCATTTCGTCTCCCCAGGTTATACGCGGAAATAGTGTCACATCTATGGAAACGCTGGAAGCTGTTCGAGGATAAGAGATTGTAGTATTTGTTTGGCGCTCTAGGCGCTTCACCACGACCCCCCCTTGTACCGATGATTTGGACGAATGCCTGTGGCCGATGTCTATATGGTGCGCCGCGCTGTCTTCTTGTACCAGCACGATTTCAATGCCAATGGAAGTATTGCTTGCTAGTACAACTGGTACTGCGGGGGTATCAAGGTTTGCCTTTAGGGCATGAAGTTCTGCGGGTCAGCCCTCTCGGCACCTCTTGACATCTTGAGTAGCTCTGCGTGCCAATATAGTCATGATCGTGATGAATATCTACTCGAATCCCCTTTTAAGCCTTTCATCTTTGCATTAGATGCCCTGATCATTGATCTGGGCTTGAATGCTCACTACTCGTCATCATGCTTGCTCAAAAAATATCGACTACCCTTTGAGCCGGGAGTAGTGATGGACATACAGCCCTGGGCAGTTTGTCGGTCAAACAGAATGACCCCATGTTGGCCAAACGTTAGATCTGTACCAAACATCGGTGATGTCAAGCGCGCGCTTCCTCACCGTGACACAGCCACATGTGAATTTTTTATGCTCCGCAACTGGAATGCACTGGCAGCCATAGCTCGTATCTACACAATCCCTACGCAATGCAGTAGGAAGCTATCCTTTCAGGCTTGTCACAATGTCCGTAATATTGCCTTACTTGCCCACATAGGTATTTCCGAATTGGTCGCTGACAGGAAGCATGCTCACTGTTATTCTACGAACGTTCATTAGATTCTGGAAAGACTACCCTCACTGAATCAATTTTATTTGCGTCATCTTTCACCTCGTCACCTGGGACGGTTGATACTGGCAGCACAACAACAGATTTCCTCCCTGCAGAGCGGGAGCGAGGAATCACGATTCAGTCCGCTAGCATTCCAGTGAAATGGCGTAACTGGACATTGAACCTCATTGATACTCCAGGCCACGTTGATTTTGGAATGGAAGTAGAAGCTGCCAGCAGAGTGGTGGATGGTGCTGTTCTCTTGCTAGACTCCGTTGAAGGTGTGGAAGGACAAACCCTTGGCGTTTGGGGGCAATTGAATCGGTAACTGAATTATCCTCCTCCATGGCGAGATGCTGGATTCGTCCTAATGTTGTCCGGTTAAAGGCACGAGGTCCCCACTCGGATGGTATTCCTGAATAAATTGGATCGACCGGGGGCATCGGTGAGATCCTCAATCAAGTCTATCCTCGCACATAGGTTGCATCCTTGTCCGATTGTTATGTGCCTCCCGATTGCTTCGTTTGATTCATCCCGTTATATCTCTGGAGAACCAGGAGTATGCGGCATCGTAGACCTTGTCAAGTGGGAAGTGTGGAAATGGAGCAGCACTTCTAATACTTCTGACGCGAAGCCGTCATGTCATCCCCTTCTTCGCGAGGGGACTACCGAAGGTTCTGCCCTTTTTTCGGAGGGACACCCATTGCTAAAAGAGCTTATGATTGCTCGGGAGGCAGTCATCGATTCCCTCTGTGTTCGTTCTCCTGACCTCATGAACAGTTTCCTCTCTCTTGATTCGCACTACCCTTATCTCGCGCTCCCTAACAATGAAATCATTAAAACTTTACGCCAGCTCACCCAAAGTCGGGATATTCTGCCAGTATTGTGTGGCTCCGCTCTTAGACATGTCGGAACCGACCTTCTTCTGGACTACATCGGAGAATTATTGGCCTCTCCACTTGATACGATGAGACTAGAGACTGGAGATTATCAGATAGTTTCGAATGGGATGCAACAACCTGTGACTCCATCGCTTTCCGAGGTTGAGCTGCAAGCGCTCGCTTGGAAGGTCGCATGGGACAGTCAGCGAGGCTGGATGACTTTCGTTCGGATCTACTCCGGTGAGAAACAAATCCCGTCGCCCAATATCCGTGAAGTATCTAAGTGTCGACTAGGCACATTGACTCGACAGACAATACTGTTCAATACTTCATCTCTCCAGAGAGAACGACCCTCCAAGCTCCTCCTCATGTACGCCTCAGATCCTCGGCCCGTTGAGCAGCTCAGCTTCGGGTCCGTAGGGGTTATCCTGGGTTTGAAGCATACTAGAACGGGGGACACGCTTGTATCTACAACTTGGCAGAATCGAAGGTCAAAGCGCCAGGGGAACGAAAATGGGGAGCATCAGACCAAATTGAGGAATATCACTCCTCCAACCGCCGTCATATCCGCATCCGTTCTGCCCCACTCTCAGAGTGATGTAAAACCTGTCCAGCAAGCCCTTGAAGCTCTCATTCGCACTGATCCTTCTGTTCGAGTAACAGACGAGAAATCGAGAAATGATGAATCTGGTGGCCTATCTGCAGCGTCAAGTGATGGTCAGACCCTCATTCACGGTCTTGGTGCTCTCCATCTGGAAATTGTTGAGCGTAGACTGAAGGAAGAATGGGGTGTGCGCTGTTCTTTTGGGAAACGTCAGGTCAGTTATCGAGAAGCTCTTGGCATGGCAAACGGAGAGGAGGGTGACGAGGTTGATGAAATATTCGAGCGGGAGATCAATGGTCAACCCGTCAATGCTGCCGTTAAGCTTCACGTTCGACCTCTGAATGCCAAAGAAGTTGACTTCATACGAGGTTACAACGAATGGGGAGGAAACGTAGTAGTAGATCACAGAGGGAGGCTCTTGTCTAATCCAGCGAACGCAGGACAACCCGACGGCTCCCACATAATTTCAAGTGTCCTTCCAACTCAATCCAGCGCCCCCTTGTTGACGCCCGTTCTTCAAGGAATTGCGAATGCTCTCGCTACTAGCCCTCATTCCTATCTACCCTTGTCCCATGTGCATATTCAGATACTGAAAATCGGCTCCTCAAGTTCCGCTGCGCCGGCCCAGTCACCGAAAGCGGCTTCTTCCGCGAGCAGTGCACCCACCCTTCCACCTCCTGCCATTCTCATGGCAGCCGCGTCGCATGCCCTTCGTACAGCCATCCGGCGTTGCGGCCCTGGAGACTTCCTTGAACCTTTCATACAAGTGAAAGTAAACGTGGCAGATGAGCATCTAGGGAAAGTCATCAGGGACCTTATCGAAGGTGGCGGTGAAGTTGTGGACATGGCAATGGGTGAGCAAGAAGCTGTGGCAGGCTACGAAGAGGATGGTGTCTATATTCCGCCTGCGTGGGTAACACCGACGAGTGGTTCCCTTAATCAAGCATCGAGTTCTGAGCATGGAGGTGCACAAGTAATGCTTAAACGTTCTGTGCATGCCTTTGCTCCTCTGAGTTCCATGCTTGATTATTCGACACGCCTTAGGGCTCTAAGTGGCGGTATGGGTGCATTTGAGATGAACGTGGAAGGTTTCAGAGTTGTCTCACACGAGACGAGGAAGCAGGAGATTCTAAGGGAGCTAGGAAGAGCCTAAACTATTGGTACATGACGGGTCTACGTCGATCGGATTATTCCAGTCGTTCTTTCGCTTACAAATCGTTAGTTCCACCAGACGGGGAAAACCGAAGAACGTGTCGAACAGACGAGCTTAGGTGACACCACCCGATGTAAGTGCACGTCCGGAAAGTAATGTAGCTGGTGGGGAGGATGGGGTGCTGCCAATGACAAGAGGCTGCTCGAGGCATCCGCTTGGTTCACCGGTGCAGATGCTGGGAATGCCTTTGTTCATGGCAATAATAATGGCAGTCCAGTGCCCAAGATTTATGAAAAGACACTCACTAAGCATATTACATCTAAAAACCGCATGATGAATGGGGACGTAAGGAAAGAGGAAACTGAATGCAGTGACCATCTCAGTGGAGACCTGGGAGGAAATGCCTGTGTCTCCCACAACTCGACCATCGGCGAGCGCTATAAAAGCTCTATATTATTGCCTAAGTGACTTACTTCCGCAGGACGGCTTTCCTGGCCATGATAAACCAAGAACGAAACCAGTAGCATTTATGTTATAATTATATTCGGCGATGCTAGCAAGATTACATCCTATAAACTGTCTGGCAATGGAGACAGACAATTAGTCAAAAATTTCACCTACCGCTAGCACGATCTTGAAAGAGTCGCTCATCTGGATAGTAATACGAGAAGTGAATTTCGGAAGATTCTCATCAGGTTCCACCTGCCTGGTGATCTTGATTGTGTCGTTTGCATGACCAATCTCGATTCGCTTGCTGCAAACACTTCCGGCGCATTTCGTCATCCACTTTGAGTGGGACAACTTGAAGACAGTCGAGGTGCAATTACCTCAAGGAACGGATGAGAAACCATTGCTCATGGGGAAGCACAGGGGAAAGTCTCCATCATGGTTAAATAAGAACGAACAGAAATCTCAAGGATTCATACGTCCGTTTGACACCCAGCCTTCTATGCTCTGGGTAACCCGAATTCCCGCATCTTTTTTTTGGGCTTTTCGACCGTTGGAAAATTCAGGCTTGGAATTTGGGTCTCGGGCACAATTCTGGAGGTTCATCTCAGCTTGTAATTGGTGTCAAAGGCTTTGTATGGATGCATTCCCCGGAGATTGGTTGAGATGATGATGATAAATCTATCTTAATACCCCGCGGCCTCGTGATGACGTGGCAGTGCGGCTATCCCGTCGTAACACCGTAGCGTACATGAGGGGATCGTCTTTACATGGAGGGGGAATCTGGTTGGTGTCGTCGGGAGTTAGTGGTCCTCGGGATTTGTAGTGTCTGTGGGTATTGTCTTGGTATCGATGTAAAAGTGATAAAGGAAAATAAAATCGAGACTGCTCCTCTCGTCCGCTATGGCCGCTTTCATCTTCTCCTCCTCGAGCGATTGGTTGAGAATTGAGTATAAACTCGGAAGCACGATTTTTTGAATTACGGAGTTTGCCTGGAATTTTGGAATGACGTTTGGCACAGCCACAATATGTTGCACAAAACGAATCATCCAACCTCTCAATCCCTTTCAAACAGCGCCTCTCATTACAGGCCATGGCAGCACCCCAACAGAGTGTCAGCGAAGACATGGGCCAACGGAAAACTCCCAGTCCCAGCGCGTCCTCATCTACCACTTATTATCAACCTGAAAATCCAATGGAAACCATCCCAACGGACGGTTTCAACGTGCATCGAGGGGAGTATATCCCCAACACGCCATTGGCGGCGTCTCTCGTCTCGGTGCTTCTTGGTATAACCTTTTCGCTGGGATGTATGCTGTTCTTCAACCCGAATGGCTTTCTCGAAAGTCTGGTCAGCAGCCGCGAGTTGCAAGATCGGTGGAGCCTGCTTGGGTTCTTCTTCGCAGCTTGGGCAGCGTTTCATTGGGGAGAGTATGCAGTAACTGCAGGATGGAACAGGAAAAGATGTAGTGTTGACTGTAAGTCGCTTTCCAAGCCAGTGTTGGGCTAAACATCTCACCCTTCGCGAGCAGCTTTTCTGTTGGAAAACGGGAGAGAGTATCACATCGCTCATGGTGCAGCAGTAATAGAATTCATTCTCACTATGCTGCTAGCTCCGGGCTGCAAAAGACATACAATCATTTCATACTTTGGTATAGTTCTGGATGTCCGGTGTGGGGATTTCGCTGAGCCATTTTCAAAGGGATACTTCTTACCCTGTTCGGGCAGTGGTTACGCTCAGCATCAATGATTCACGCCGCATCAAATTTCTCGCACCAAGTGGCGACACGCAAAGAGGAAACACATCGTCTCGTTACAGATGGCGTATATGCGTACGTCTATACCTGGTGGCAGTTCGAATGACTGAAAAAATTTCAATACCACCAGATACTTCCGGCACCCTTCGTATGCGGGGTTCTTTTACTGGAGCCTTGGAACGCAAATGGCTCTCCAAAACCCTATTGCATTTACTGGATATGCCATGGTCACCTGGCGTTTCTTCAATCATCGTATAAGAGGTGAGGGATTTTCACGCAACCCATGATGTTGTCCCATGACACGCGTTTCCGTTCAGTTGAGGAGCGATACCTCCTGAAATTTTTCGGAAAGGAGTATGAAGAATACAGTGGCTCGATATGGTCTGGGATACCCTTCATTTCAGGGTTTGTTCGAACGTAACGGATCTCAGTCCTTGATATGGTCGGAGTAGGCAAAATAGTTTACGTGCGCGTAATGTGTAGGTACCATATTAATGCATATGACTTGAACATCAATGAGCATAAAGCGAAAGCGACCATGGGGAAGAGCAAAAAGAGCAGATCCTATTCTTCCTTCTCTTCTTCGACGACTGTCCCCTTGTCCGAGACATAGATACCGTCCAAGAACCTAACGGATCCTTGTAAATAAGAATATTAACCTGTGGACAATCCAAGAGAAACGCACTTCCGGATATCCTTTTTTCGTACACGGCAAATACCCTGGATAGAAGCAGCCGACTGCGATACATTCTGGACATCGTTGCCTTCGATGAACAGCTCATCCTTCATGGCCTTCGACTCTACAATAGTGACGCCTTCTAACATATCGACATGTCGAACCCGCTAAACATTGATGTGTGGTGTGAGGAGATGTTTCACGAAGTAATGAGTTTGGTAGGCACACCTTCTCACCCAAGAAGTTACGAATTTCGACGGATTTGCCTTCTTCACCTATTATGCAATTGATGGGGAAATGGGCATAAACGGCGCGCATCTTATATTTGAAGCCCTATTCCGACCAAAAAAATTAGCTCTGTGTTAAAAGCATGATGATAAGCTAACCTTGGTGACACCAATAATCATGTTGTTAATCAAGCTGCGGACCGTCCGTATGGCAGCGATGTGCTTACGCCCCCCATGCCAGATAGCGAACGTGACGACAGATTTCTCTTCAGTCTTAACGACCTGGAGGTCAATGGCGATGTGGTGTAAATCCTTCTTGAGGGTTCCGCGAGGGCCCTTAACCTCAATTATACGGGACTTGATGACGACAGTAACGCCATCTGGGATGGGGAGATCCTCGGAGGTGAGAATTGGGCGCATCTAAAAGAACAAGGCACCAAGTCAGCCAACTATGTGTCAATTACATCCAAACATCAATTTAAGCATCCAGGTGAAAAAACATGGATTCTAGCCGTATTTTGGAGTGATATGGACATAATGGAAGCTGGAGAGTCGATTGAACGCATGATTGGAGCATACTCTCACCTGTAATGGGTGGGGTCAGTACGGGGAAAAAGAGTCTGGTCGATACCTGAGCTAGTCACCTGACCCGGCGTTGATCATATTGAATTGAGTCAGTTGAATTGTGCTGAGGTTATTTAGTTTAGGCCATAAAACTCGTAAGCGCCCCCAGTCGCTCGATCCTCCTACTTGGTGTCGAAGCGGCTTATATCCGTCATATGCGTCCCCTCTGACATGTCTACCGACCCTTCCTCCGACCCGATCATATTACCACAGGTAGCATTGCAGCATGACTTCACCAGCGTTTTCGCTGACATACGAGACAATACGGTGTTCTCTGAGGACATCTTCCTCTCCTGCTATCAGCTTGGGCTACGCCCCGTTCATGGGAAAGTAAATGCATCCCACGACGAAAGTGTGGCCTCACCCGATGGAATACTTCTTGAATCAAGAGATGGTGTCGAGCTGACGCGTCTCGACAGTCACACATTCACTGCATCGTGTCCCGCCCTCTCCATTGTCAACACAATATTGCGTGCACCGCGCCAAGGGTTTAGCATTAATCCAATAGAGAATACTACTAATGTCCGACGGATCTCTGCGTTTGACGTCACCTCAAACGCCGCCCTTATAGCTATAGGCCATTATGATGGGACTATTACCATTCAATCCGTATCTACACCCTCTGACCCCGAAGCACAGAAATTCCCGTTAACGACCAAGAAACTGCATTTGTCCTCCGTTCTCTCACTGCGCTTCTTCCCTTCCAACAAAGTTCTGCTTTCCGCTTCCTCAGATTTGTCGCTGAATATCATATCCGCAACTCCACCATCAGATTCAAATTCACTTGAGCTATTAGCTGTGCCGCGAGTGCTCAAGGGACACAAAGCAGGTATCACGGACACTGCCATAATCGGTGTTGGGCGAAGGGTACTGTCATGCGCAAAAGATGGCACCGTTCGCTTGTGGGATGTCGGCAAAGGAGAGAAAATCAGCACGCTGGCCTCAGAGCGGTTTGCTCCGATTGTGAAAATGGCCATGAGTGGACGCAGTGTGTTGTCCAGCGGAAACGGGAGCTGGAAGGGGTACGCACCCCCGGATGGAGTCCCATCCTCAGCGATACCCCCTGAGCCAGTCGAAACCGCAGATAGCCAAACCGACGTCGATGAAAATGTAATTTATGCTGCGCTTCAAAATGGCGCGTTCAATGTTTTCGATCTCCGCACACGAAATCTCATTTATGCCTCACCCACCTCGCGCATCTCATCATCCTCCAAAGCAGCTTTAGGTGCTATAGCAGTGGACGATAGTTCATACTTCCTCGCCACCGGTTCGCAAGGCGGCTTCATCAGGGTCTACGATTCGCGTTATCTACCGTCAGAATCCTCTTCGACCCCTTCATCTCCTAGTCCACAATCGCTGTTCACCTTCCAACGTAGTAACTCTTCTATTGAGGATTTACACTTTGTACCGTCGAAAGATGGGGAAGGTGCGCCGCAACTTCTGGTTGCGACTGGCGATGGATTCCCGTTCTGCGCGAGTTTACACCCTGATGGGCCAAAAGTAGCAGAGGAACTGGTTGGTTTTGCGGATGAGAGCGTCACAGTGATAAGAACGGATGGGAAGGGGGCTGTTTGGGCAGCCGGCCATGACGGAATTGTAAGGAAGTATTGACCGACGCGAAAATGGGCTGTATGATGTTGTGCGATCTTTCACCGCCTTTTGTCACTGCTGTCCAACCAAACTTTTGTTTGTTGAGCCGTTTGTTGTATCAATAGGAAAACTAAAAAGAATTTATTCGACCATTCACACTTCTGACCAAAGATGGTCTGCGCTTACTTTCTCTTTCCGCACTTTCCAAGCCTTCACGAAATTCCTTGGCATTCCCGGTGGGTTCTCCAGATCGGCCCGCTGCACTGCCAGCAGTCACAGAGGCAAACCCAAAGTGTTGCGCTTGATCCACGATCTCCACGAGACGTTCGCGGAAGGCCTAAGAAAGTTGAAAGCCAAAGAAGTTAGATATACTCCCCTGCAGAATGCACATGATGATCGATGCCTTCTGAAGGATTTCACAAAGCTCTGACGCCCCTGTATCATCGAGGCTGAAAGCCAGAAAGTCTAACGTCTATTTTCGCGAAGGGATTTTAAAACACCCACAGGTCGCTGTAGGCCTTTCCAAACCCATACCACGAACTGCCCACACCAACAAGCCCCGCAAGTTTTACGCTCCGAGCATCAGCGTTGAGGGCCTTACGAATCCGTAAAGAGAACGGTTGAGGAATTCGATATTCTGCAAACCCGCTATAACGTAATGAAGGGTCAACTGGGTATTAATCGTGTAGCGTTCACTCACTTGTCAATCAGAACGGAAGCCATCCAGAAAGGCAGCTGCATTTTCAGGGGTGCAGTGATCTTGAGGGTGGGGATTTCTTGAGCATGGGACGTGGAAGGGTAATGAGCAGGTCCAATTGCTCACGTTTTGCTGATCGCCTCCATCAAGGTGGCCGAGATTTGGTACATCAACGATGAATGTACAGTCCATTTTCTGCGATTTAATGGTCGTCAAAGGCCTTGAAAAGCACCCTCATGCAGCCTCTCACTGGATATTGGGCATAAATCGCGTCAATGGACCAGTAATCGTTGTCCATTGTAAGTCCGATCGCGTCCCGTGTTGGTGTCAACAACTCGCTTTCAATTCACACGCTTCATTGATGGTTCGTCATTGCCGAACACATAGTTTGCAGAATTGGGGGGTCAAACGCGCGGATTTCCAATCCCTTTCGCCGGATCCCTGTGAACCTTTTCTGGACCCTTTCTCAGTAGATTCTCGGTACCTTTGGGATGCAGAAACGTGAATATCGTAATGCGCGAAGCTTGGGTACGCTGGGAACTGGAAGTAACTTGGCCGGCGTAGGGACCATGTCTGTACCTCTTTGACATGCATGTAAAGTGTCCGGGAATGGTGTCTTCCAACTTCAGCAGCCCCCCAATTTTGGGCGAATAATGTTCTCAAGGGTTCTTCAAGAGAACCCCCGAACTTGGGGTTCCCTATCTCATGGCCGATTGCACCGAGGGCAACCCCCCTCGCGTAAAATGGGGGCGTATATAGTGTCTCCCGTGTTGGGGTGAATAACTCCAGAAAGTACTCCCCGTTCGTTTTCGTGCACTGGCAGCGTCCCTCCTACTACTCAAACGCTTCACTATGAACAAGTTCCGCTCTCTCCTTCTTACCCCAAGCACAATCTCGATATTATTTATTTCCCTGGTTCTCCTCGTCGCGTCCCCCGCCCTCGGTGCTCCATTGTTCGACGGGAAGTCAGAACACTTGGCTAAGGTCCGGCTGGCCAGGCCAAAGCCTCACCACTAGTCGCGCCGTCACATTCGATCGCGCATAGACCGTTTCGCTTATATCTATATCCATGTGCGCAAGCTCAACTCCCTGACTCCTTGCGTATAACTGACTACTCTATTGTGATAGGACTCAATAGGCGACCCCTCTACCAACCGTATATGTATTTTGACGTGTAACAGTGTTCGTGCTGGTCTGAGTTTGTCCAACTTGCCACATCATGTAGAGCGATGAAACTAGTACTTCTCCGAGTCCTAATCGTGCCGGCGTCGAGCCTGGCATGATAGTTTGTATATATCATCACAACTGCTTTCCCAAATGTCAGTCACCATGATTCGACGTCAACAGTAATGGCTGCACTCAAGTGGGCCAGGCCCAGTCCCTAGTTATTATCGCGATTTGAGGTGATGCGTAAGCAATACAGCCATCATCAGCTCACAAACAAACTGGTCACAACACAATTTCGAACTTCAAGGTGCTAAATGAGATGGGTCGCCTTGCTTAGTGTCATGGGTCTCCTTCTATGCATGCATACGTGTGTTCCGGGCTAGTCGTTCGTCGAACATTCTGGAACTCGGTGGAAGGTCCACGTCATTTTCCAGAGATTTCGAGCGCTTACTGCGGGGTGAGCGAGTAATACGTAAGTTAATCCTGATGGCGCATAAAAGGCCTTCTGGGAAGCTGCTCTCGACTCCTCAGTTGAGGAATTAAGCACACGTTACACCACCATTGGAAAATACCTTCAGACGCTTGCATCTCATCATCACGCCTCGCAACAATGTCGTTGTTTTACGAACCTTTCTATATCTTCGATGACATGAACTGCTTCTTTGACGAAGCGTTTGGAATGCCCTCCGCGATTGTGGCACCTGTCTCTCATCGACATCGTGGCTCTTCGTCTGCTCAACGCCTCTTCAAGCCCAAGTAAGTATCGCACCTCAAGTCAGCACGCAAGACTTGTAAGGCTACTCACCACTGCTCCTCTCCATTACAGGCTCGATTTGTACGAGAACGCTGACGGAACTGTTAGCGCAACGTTCGAAGTTCCAGGCTTGAAGCGTGAAGATATATCCATCGATCTTCACGATGACCGCTTGACCATCTCTGGGGAGCGTACCTCTTCCTTCGAGACCAAGCCCAACGATGACCTTACGTCCGAACGTACGTCGGACTCGACCGATCAGGAGAAGCAAGACAACGTTACATCTTCCTCTCCATCATACATCATTCGCGAACGATCGATTGGCAAGTTCTCTCGTTCGGTAGACATACCAAAAGGAACGAAGCCAGAATCGATCAAGGCTTCGATGGCTAATGGGCTTTTGACGATCACATTTCCAAAGAAGGCGCCTGAAACCGAACCGAAGAGCATTCAAATTGCATAAACGCGTTAACATATCAAATGGGTTGTTGTTGATTCGTATTCGGTGCCAGGCATGCTAGCTGCCCAGTCACGAATGTATAGTTTAAATGCACACTCCTAATATGATTCTCCGGACTTCCAATCGTTCCCTTCAGATGCAGAAGGGATTTATTTGAGGATTTCAGCATGTGGAAGACGGACACAGCTAGCTAGCCCCGAATGCAGTTTGAGTACAGTGAGGAAACCGTTCGTGCTAACGGTGGAGAGACTGGCTTACTAAATGGCGAACTACCGTCAGCCGCGCAAGTAGAGATTGCAAGCACGATGGAATGGGTTGGAATATATGCGCGGGCTCCCGGCCGAAGACATCTGCCTTTCAGAATCGACAAGAGCCATATATTCATCGCTCTTCTGCCCTGTGATATATACAACCTATTATTTACGAATCCATGAATCCAAAAATTGATAGTTAACCGTGAATATCATCGCACACTGATCCATATTTGCGTATCCATTCCAACGTTCGGGCGGACGTTCAAACAGAGGGCCTCAACTCCGCAAACACCCTCACCCGAGCTGCGTTATTCGAACAATCAATTGAAACACGATGTTCAGATCCTTGTGTGATAGGGACGCGTAATGGATCGGCGACGTATCCGAATATACCATCTTCACATCCTCCTTGCCAAGGCGCATTAGGATCTAGTTTGTACTTTCCAACCTGCCATCGACGATGAACATCCATGTCAGTACATCACTAGTATAAAGGAGGAAAAGAGGGCGAGATGGAGGGGAAGAGATAAAAGGAGACTGACCCAGTAAAGTAGTTTCCTAGACGTGTCCTGAGTGAAAGTACTGTGCATGAAGTTAAAAGGAATGGATTTCTTCGTTTTCATCTCTCCGGCAACACTATTTGGGCATCTGAGTGCTTTCACGTAGTAAGGGCCTTTGCTATTATCTGCATTCTGTACGGAAAAAAGTGTTAACTTAAAAATGGGAAAATTACGAACATACCCCCGAACGTACCGGCACACCGAGACAGAGGCTCAACTTGGGAATGTAAACCCGGCCTTATGTGAGCAGAGATTCAGCGCAGCAACCGAACAGATGGAAGAGGCCAACAATACCATAATATTGTGCCTCGTTCGGAAAAATAGGATCAGGGATATTCGTCGCACCCGCCCAATTCGGTGTACACTTTTGGAATTGAACCCATAATTTTTCGTGTCCATGACCCGTATTATTCCAATATGCAAGTTCGTTCTTTGAGTTCAACGAGAACGGCTTCCATACGTCTAAGAGAATATGTAAGGCAATAACGTCTCGTTACCATGTGTGGATGAATGGGTGCGAAGCTAAAACGTACGAGTGGGCCTCTCATCTCCCTTTCGGTATAATAACTCGTTCGTCGTCAAGTAACCTGAGGCATAAGCCACGCATTTTGAGCTCGAGGCTGGAGGTGCGGAGAACACTCCGCTGGCCTGAAGCAAGAAGGTGATGACGAGGACAGAGAGGTAGCTGTACCATGAGGCAGCGACCCTAGACTGAGAGGTCGCGAAGAGCATAGTTTTCTTTTTTCTCTCCCCTGGGTTTTGACTGTGTAAGTGAAACGAAGTGGATCAGAAAAAAATTAGTTCAACATCCAAGTCGCGGCGATGTAAACGACGAATGGCGACCAAAGCCCCGAGCGACCCACTTACGAGGGCTGCCTGGCTTTATATTGCTGAGGCAATCACTTACATAACTAGGCGAACACGACACTGTCACATAGAATTGACTTGGTGTGACTGACCAAGCAAACGCCAAGAAAATCACACAACTAAATTGTAAGGCACCGAAAGGAACAAGCTGATATTACGTAGCCAACATGAATTTCTATTTATGTCGGGGGACGACCTTGTCCGAAGCTCGCACTCAACCTTCTCGGAGTTTAACGAGTAGCGGCGTGATAGGTCTTCCTTGAGGTGACATATCCTCATTGGCCTAATGCCATCTATTCCAGGACAGTTGCTCCGGCCGGGGATAGACCTTTTCGAGGACGAGGAAATTGGCTTGGGACGAGTTCCACGGCATGGATTATCCTTCTTACCCAACTCCATGCAACATTTGTCGCTTGTCTTCAGCTGATCGTCGCTGGCTTTCTACGGGTATATGGGTGAACTTCAATTGTAACTGAGTCCATCGAACTTGGAGTATTATTGACATGCATAGATACCGATGGATTTCCCTCAGGAGGCAGTTATTATCAGCCGTCGGTGAAAGTCGTCAAAGCGCGCAGAATCCAATGAGACATTGGGTCACGCGTTGAGAGTCAGATACGGGCCTTTTGCACCGCAACACACGCCAAAAAATGTTCAGGGAGTTTCACCCAATGACTGACGCGTTCATTCGGATGAAATAACAAGGTTTTGTGGTCAAGGACAAAACAGATGGGGAATCTGAGCCGCGGTTCGGTTCGGCGTACTCCAAATTTGAGGCATCGGATATGGGAATTGTGTCTAGAGGGTGGCAAACAAAGTTGCAACATCTGACACATTTAACTCAATTCAGTCCGACACGGGACGACTGACGAAGTCAAACCAGACCCCATAGACTACCAAACGGATTCCAGGCCACCCGGAACACTTGGAGATGTTCGCGGGAACATTTAGAGATAGCAAGACTAATGCTGGAACCCATGAAAGACTCACGACAAAGCGGATCGCCATTCAGCACCTCTCGTTTGAAATGACGGTGTTTTTTACTCACGTATCGTTCGTACGGATGGATCACTGATGCGAGGTCGTTCAGACATCGATGTAGGTCATTTCTGAACCTAGATGCTGTTCGGATTGGTTTTAAACGAGCAGACGGTGAGAGATGTGGCGGAATGACGCTCCAACCAAGTGAGGCTAGATGAATTTCACTATGAGTTATGATTTCGTAGAATCCCAGTATCCTGCATAATGAAATCAATGAAGCTGAGCCGGCTGAACAACAGTGGTCTGCCATCTGATCGAGTATCAACGCATCAGCAAGCTTCCGAGGTCGATTGTCGTGACTGAAATCGTTTCAATTCACTGTTTCGCAAAATCAAACCACTGTATAAGAACAAAGACGGATGGGGAATCTAAACTGCCATTCAGTTCCATCAACTTCCTTTTAGATTTGTGGGGTCAGAGATGACCATCCGCGGTACTTCCCCATACTGCCGCACGCTGGGAACGTCGTACACGCTCCCTTGAAGGTTTCGTTCCGCGGGATCTGCCCGCCAGTTTGAGCACGTGTGAAAAAAGCCCCATTTTTTTATCACCATGTCTCATGTTCATGCCGACTCGTCGACCTCCTCTGTGTATTCCGAATATGAGTGTGAACCACCCCCCTCCGAGGCATGGATGCATCTACCGGTACTGAGTCTAATATGGACGAAGCTGAATCCAGCACGAGAGAACGATCAATTATCTCCTACAGCTCGAGTCGCGAAGGTCCTTTTCTAAGAGAGTCCGATGGGAGAGTCTTCAATGCTCAGAATGATGTATACTATCTGCCTGCAGGTAAGCTGGTAAACATCGCTCAGTACGGGCGTTAATCCCGGTTTACACCATCCAGATGATGTGGAATTCGATCGCCTGTGGGTCCGGTCCAGCCCGAGAGACTTGACAACTGAAGCAATTTCATAGTGCTCTGCAGCACAGGATACACTATCACATTCTCGGTTCGCTCTATCCTGGAGGAGATCTAGTTGACAGAATATTAGCTCCCGAATGGGGTGTTGAGAAGGCTGTACTTGATGTGGGGTGCGGCGCTTGTCATTGGTGAGTAGTTTGTGACATCCTGTTTCAAACTCATCACAGTTCACGAGTAAGCAGGGCTGTTGAGATGGCTTTGAAGTTCCCCCATGTTCATGTAGGAACTCTCACACATGGAGCTCCCTGGCCGATTGACTTTCTGTGTCTGGTGAAGGTGATTGGTGTAGATCTTGCACCAAGAACAAATATTCCGGAACAGCCACCTAATCTTCGGTAAGCCATCTTGCCTTATTTCTGATTATCAATGCTCAGCCTTCTTAGTTTGGAGTTTGATGATGTATGCCTCAATCTGCTCAAGTAGAAAATTTGCTGTAGCCCAACTTTTCTCTGCTTCTAGGCAAATCTTGGCTTCCCACATTACCATGGATGTTTTGATGTTATCCATTGTCGCTCAATTGTGACTGTGGGAGTAAGTAACTACTTTGTACAGCCTCTGCAGCAACTGACTGGAAATATGATGTGTGGTCAGATCCATGATCGAGATCAGTTTTTCCAAGAAATGGAACGTTGTCTACGCCCTGGAGGCATCATCATAGTAATTGATGGTGAAATGCCAACCTTGAATCACAACAGGCAGCGGATACCACCTGCTCCAATGGATGGAAACTATCCACAGACTCGTGGCTGGATGGCACGTATTATGTTTGGTATGTGGTATCTGGTGTCAATCCAACATAAGACTTACTTCCTGGATTCAGAGGCATCACAAGATTTTGCTGCACGTGGTGCTTCTCCTATTTTTTATGACATAGCTGGCGTGCTCTTCCAATCATTGGTGGCCACAGGGGCTTTTTTTAATCCAGTGATACAGCTGATGTATCTTCCTCTTGGACCATGGCCAGTTGGTAACACTGAGGCTGAGACACGCTGGATACAGCAGCTGGGAGAGATGATGAGACAAAATGGACTTGTGAGTTGACATTCATTCTTGCCCACACCTGTGTCCCTCTTTTCTCCCTGCTAGTTTGGATGATTTCCCCTCATTCACTGGCTTTTCTGCTTTGCAACAGGAGTTCACAAGATCTCTGCGTCCCACACTTAAACACCGAGGTTTCAGTGATGAGGATGTTGACAAGATGCTATTTGGGGCTGAACGAGGTATGTCTTCCCAATTCTACACTGATGATGTCACAAAGTCCTACATCATACTGAACATGCCATTGATCAACTTGTACAGAAATGCTTGACTTGTCAGTGTGGATGTATACACGATGGGTGTACATATATGCAGTAAAACCTAGGTAATTCAGATGTGGCTTATCTCCAGGGTAATTGTCTGCTCCCTTTAAAATGTTTGCATGTGTCAGTTTTTACCAACACAGTAGTTGATTGATGTTGCTCAAGCCCATATAGCCTTTAATATCACTGTCCACATTCACTATTCTCAGTGTCACTGTAGTGTAAAGAACGCAAAGGAACTGTCCATAAAATTCAAACAAAGGATAGAAGTGGAAGGACCATTCAGTTCGCGTTCTTTCCTAAGTGAGCAGGGACATTTGAAAGGATGCAAAGAAAGTCTCGGAGGGTGAACCGCTGGCCTAACTCCAATCCAATCACCACAAGCGAGAATTCATTAATCTCTTCGGAGCACACCGTAGATGGAATGATGCAGATTGCCTTCAAATTTGGGAGCACCATCCAGCTTGGATTCAGGCAGAGAATCATATCGTTTTCTTCGGGATCAGACATGCACAAGCTGAGCAGCCTGGAGCAACCTAGGTGTATATGTTGTAATTCACGAGTTGGAAGAACGCAAAAAACGCAGCTGAGCGACTCGAACCGAGACCAGGGTGGATGACACATTTTTCCAGTGCTTCAGGAGTGATTCCGATGGCAGAGGGCGACTCAAGCTCAAGATTCTCGAGCTGGGCCATAAGACAAAACACCCGACGGAGTTGGCTCCACTGTACACTCGTGCTGGGTACACCACATCAAAGTGCGCACAGAAGAAAAGGCGAAATTAAACTAACCACCGAACCATTAAGTCGAGGGCACCCCGGGTCATGATCACCAAAATCGCACTGTGAGGATCCCCGGCCAGTATGAGCGTAACCACAAGTGTTTTTAAAGCTTTTAGCTTCCCAGAGAACAGATGAGCGGAATGAGCGCGTGGTACACAAGAGTAGAGCACCGGGGAAGATTGGGATGAAGAAGCCTCTGTGATGCTTCCATACTCGGCGAAGATTGAGAGGTACTCAGGACGAGATGTACATTCACCGCTTTTGAACGCCGAATGAATATGGACATCACCTCCAATGCCAGTGTTATCTTCGGAGCTTGGTGCCCCCACCAACCCACATATCCCCAAAGATCATGTAAGATGACACCCCGAATATGTCGACCCGCGTCTGTGACCAGGGTGAAGTAGCGTACACGCTTCTCCACAGACGAAGCATCGATTGGGCACCAACACCACCATAACTGGCCAGATATCCGGAAGACTCGGTACCATATAAGAAATGATTTCGGGGAAGAGTTTTCCCAGACTCGGAGGTTGACGAGCATTCTGTGATAGAGATCAAGCGCTGCTTGCTTATTGGCATTCCAAAAGCTGTGAGGTGGGTGCTTGAGTAGGCAGGCCACCGGCCTCTATTTAATAAGACGGGAAGAGAGTGCTTCAGGAGCGCGTCCAGCGTTTGCGATCTCATGACTTTCGCTTAGCTCCCACGCTCTTAGGGAGATTCAACGGGAAGCCCGGACGCGAACAAACCATTCTCCTGTACCCATTTGCGACTCGGAGGGAATCGCTAGAATAGAACTTGTTGACGGAGTGCTGCGGGATGATGTTCAAGATCGATGAGAGGTTGCGAGAACTCATCAAGTATTTAGTAGCCGCGAGGCCAATTAAAAATGCGGAAGCTTTCTTCACTCACTCACACATGGGACAACTGCGAAGACTCTGACCTACGGTCTTGGAAACTTTACATACAGGGTCTATATCCCAGGCGTCCTGTTAGGCTCGGCTTGTTCCCTGGTCAGGATGAATGCTATCAACAGATCGAGTCGCTCTGCTCCTCACCTGGGACTGGAACAACAAACTCATATCCGGGCACAATAGTGAATGCTCTTGCAACAGTGATTCGATTCAAGCTGCGATGCACGAGAGGTCTCACGGGCAATGGTGTGTCAGTAGCATGCACTCCGATCCACGCAAAAGGGGGTTTTGTGGAAGGATAGGTGTGGAGCAAAGATACGTGGGGTCTAACTAAATGTTTCTAAGTCTTTCTGTTGTCCACAATAGCGGCAGATGACGCGTGTGCAAAACCCACCACGCCGCCGCGTCGTGGGGAAATCTCGATGTGGAGATAACGGCTGAAACAAATCACGACCGTTATCACCTGTTGGGTTTTTCCTCTGCGGTACGGCTAAGGAGACGATGCATTCTGGCGGTCATCGTGATGCTGGGACATTGACACAAATACTTATGCTCACCCTGTTCAGCCGTTTCGCTTGGGAGGCGCTCGGGCCGCAGCATCGCTTCTGCCCACAACTCAGTGTTCTGAATACATGCATCAGAACATCAACACTCCACATCATGGAGCCATGCAAACCTTGGAGGTCGTTAGAACCTCAGCGCCATCATCCGCCTCCACTGTTACTTCCTTCGTGATGTGGATTTCCAACCCAGGCTGACGCTGCATTGAGCACCAAGACCTCTCGTAGGTAGGAGGTAAATGCACACGTACTTTGGGGGGAAGTGAACTCCGCTTTTTGATGGCAGAGAATGTCCAGTTTTTTGCCATTGCTAACTGACTGTAAAAATCGGCCACACCCGGTTCACTGCGAAAAATGTGCGTCCTCCAACACATGTCGCATCAGCACAAGTCCACGTGCCTGTGCCGCGGTGAGGACCATATGACGACGGACTACCTTGAAGACCACCCACTTAAGTGCACCAATTGTAATGGACTATCGATTGCCGCGTGTATTTTAACAGAAGGCACGGATCTCACCCAGGACGATGGAAAGGAGTTCAGGAAAGGCCGCACACCCCATTAGCCTCGAAGTGATATATGCCCTTTCTTTGATTTTATCTTATCCTCTCTTATTTTACACGACACTTACCCCCCGACATCACCCACCGATTACGTCCTGATGATCCCTACCTGTATACCTCTTGTAGAATTAGGGACAGTTGCAGTACTACTGTTGCGGCGGCCGCGGGGCAACAAGACGCAATAGAAGTTCATGCACACAAGGGTTGATGGAAAAAATGAGGACTTTGGTGGTAAGGCTTGGAGTGACGGTGGAAATATGTCTGGCCAGGGGTTCCGTTCCTACGCAGGCTCAAGGAACTGGCAGGGACACCAAATCTCAGGCTACAAGTGCATGAGGGTGTAAGGATCACATCTTCAAGATTCTCTTATTCCCATTCCAAAACCTCGTGGTTGGGACAACATTCAATCCCCTTGCCCATGTCCCTTCTGATGGAATGTACATCGGTTTTGTGGGCGAAATGGGTGACCGTGAATAAAAGTCAGAGCTAATCTGGCGCGCACTAGGCACGAAGTGGGCGGTCGCTCAGCCATGTATCCATCGGTCTCACCAAGCTTGCTCGCGTGAAAGTCATAAAGAGGCAGCAAGCATGTTCTCATCAGTATCTAAGGCTCGCACTGAGTCCATCCGGAAATGATGGAACGGTGCCAGGGCACTAGGAATGCAAGTTGACGTTTACAGCAGTATCCTAAATACTGCGCCATTCCGACCCAAAGTGATCGTCGTAACCTGAGATCCCGAAGAGGGCGATAACGCGAAACTATATTTCAAGCCTCATCGCTTCCCCTGGAGAAATACTAGAGGCGTGAATAGCGGCGACTGGAAAGGCAACCAGCCTTCTGCAGCCTTTGGTCATGTACGGGTACACATACATAGACGTGCCGCAGCGATCTCGGAACAAATACGTTACAACCGTTCCCTTGGCCCGAACCGATTTTCATCATGGTAAGGCCCACCCTCTTCGAATCAACTGGATCCATTACTCTTACGAATAAACAAGTCCCTGCAATTTATCCACAGTCATGACTCACCAAAAGGTAGGAGTTTCCGGACTATGCATTCATCGCTCTCATCCATATCCGATACGGGGCCCCTACAGTCGGTCTCGACGCGATTTATGGTGTAAAGTGGTTGCCAAATGACACGGTGGTATCAGTTTCGGCAGATGGAAAAGCATCTCAGTGGTGAGAGTCCAGTGAATAGGGAGGATCGGACCTCGGAGTGCTGAGTTTCCTAAAGGAACGCCTCGGATGGAGCTGTCATCCACAGTCTCCCGCCCCATCCTCTAGCTCTAACTTCACTATCCACCGATGCAGAAGGAAACAGGGCTCTCATCAACTCCATAGAGGGGACCATATCACTCTGGGATTTGACGTCGGGGGAAGTCGTCGGTAAACGGGAAACTTTCGATCAAGCAAAATCAGGCATAGATGCAGGTAACACGTACCTGCTATTTATGTGCTACTATTTTACTTCATAAGCTATCTCCATCTCCCAGCATGGTCTGTATCGTTGCATCCTCAAGGGGGGAACTATGCATCCACAGGAGCCAGTGGCACTCTCCGGATATCTTCAGCGGATCCCGAATCATTTGGAAACATTCTCCAAACACTATCGCCACGCACAGATGGCCGGAACAAATTCGGGTTACATGCTAAATATGTACGTCACCTGAATCCCCACTCCATGCGTTTTGCAGCAATCCCCTCTTCAGAGTCCGTCCGGGAAACTTGTTGGAATATCTACGGAGCAAGGTGCTGTCTATGTATTCGATGTGGAAAGCAAGGCAGTCGTGCACTCGTTTTCTTCGCATGCCACCAGCGTGCGGTCTTTGTCTTGGTCTGCGGATTCTCAGGTAGGGACTGGCGATGTATCATTCGCAATTGACTCGATAATTGTGATACCTCTCAGCTTCTATGCTCTGCTTCCGACGATCGTCGAATTGTGCTCTACGACACTCGCAGTCCCTCCGCCACGTCCCCGAATGCGAACTCGAGCACAGGAGTTGTAGCTTCATTTATTGGTCATGCCTCTTGGGTGTTATCAGTTGATATTTCACCTGATGGGAAGTTGATCGCAAGCGGGTATGTCTCCTTCCCCATTTCAATAGCAAACCTCAACATCATCCTTGTCAGTTCGAGCGATCGCAACGTCAAAATTTGGGACTTGACGTCGCGGCAATGCGTCTCAACCCTTTCATCCTCATCAGAGCAGAGTGGCGAAGTGTGGGGTGTGTCCTGGAAGCCGGTTGCGGGCTCTTCGGCTCTCGTTTCTACCGGCGAAGATGGCAGCCTGAGGTGGTGGAGGACCGCAGGCGCGGGTGCCAGTGTATGAACAAACATGGAAGCAAATCTGGAATTTTTGGGCAGTGCATGTTATACGAGTATTAGATTATACAGCCATAAGCGTTCTTGTGCACTACCATGGGTATCAACGAGAACGGAAGCGCGCAGAGAATAGCAAAAGCCGAACTAGTTATCAAGTCCGACGATGATCGCAAACAGGACAGCTCTCTTCCAGCCGCGCGCGCACCATTGTTGCGCTGTTGAATGACAGTCAGCTCACTTGGTATTCAGAGGGTACAATCGAACTCACTACGCAATCTTCGAGCTGATGGAGTCTCTCATTGGGGCGCCACCACCAAAAGCTGGAGCGTTTTGGTCAATACGTAAGAAACTAAGAACGGTGTCATCGGCTCGGCGTGGCAGGGCACTTCCTCCACGAATACAGTGTGCATGAACTGCGTGTCGACATAAAAAGACAATCACCAAAGGCTGAGATTGCGACGTGGGAGGGTTGATGTTTAGAGATGAAAGCTGAGGGGATGGATAGAGGAGTTCGTGGCAGATCGGGCATATCTGTGTGGCTAGTATGGGGAAATCATTTAATAATCCTGAGGCACGTTGAGGACTCAAGACACTCACGTCCACCGAGGAATCCAGACACTTGCTTTGTTTGGAGCCGCTCTGAAAGCCCAGAACCATCCACATTTAAGATCCGTTGACAGCCTTCCATCAGCGATATCTACAATTAAGCGGTGAAAGAGAGAACTGGGCACCAAATCAGACTAAGCGAACCTGAAGATTGAAGTCCCAAAGGATCTTGATCAGAGCATCTTTCAGGCCTGGAATTTCCAGTCCATTCTTGATCCGTCGTATCAGCCTAATAGGATCAATTTCCGGCCCAACGTTCTCCAAGAGCCCACGGATAAATGCTGCATAACGCATGAACAAAATGCGAATGTGTCATGAGATGCACGTCACCTGGGCGTGTTTCAGAGTATGTGAGCAAGTCCTCCCACAAGTCATTGTCCCGCTGGTCTTTCGCAAAATCGATGGCCTAGAAGAAGAGTACACCAGTTGGGCTGTGACAACCACGGCGTTAGGACACGGGCATACTCTGTTAACATCACCGAGTCTCTCGATGATAAGGTTAAGAGCCTTCTTATTGTTGCCCATCCTTCCCAACAGGTATACCATTTCAGGAACCATGTCTCGAATTGTGCACACTTGGTACGCCTGTTGAACATAAGTTCAGCAGGCGAGTCCCACTCTGACCAATTGCGGTCACCTTCTCTAAACTATAGTATTGGCTCGCGCGCAGAAAGTCGATGAGACGCTTTGGTGCAAATTCGGCATATAAAGGGATCTGGGTCGAACGGCATCAGAGGGTCCACTGTCACAGTGCAACAAAAATATCCTTCCTACCTGTCTATCGGCATGTTCAGAGACTAGTAAAGGATCCTTGTCGAAAAGTGCATCCAGATAAAGATAAAGGAAGTATGGTCGTCCCTGAAGTTGCTGAAAAACACGGGCGATCTGGGAGGTGCTATTAGGAAACGCTGAACGTTCCGATAGTTGTCCACCTACTGGAATAGAATGTACGTGGTCTACGAGAAGCGATATCGACTTGCTTGTTTTGAGAGGACGTCCCTTCTCTCCGAATTGTTCGGCTTCCCCCGTTTCTTGTCGCCTCTGCCTCTCCAAGTCCTCATCAAATTCAACCAACAGAAGTGCTTGATCCCTGACTGCTGTAAATAAGTTGTGGTCACGAATAAGATCGAACACGCCTGGTCGACGTCGCCTTAAAAAGAATGGGAGGGCAAGCGTGGGCTGCCGATTCATAATGTACCTACATGTCAGAATTAGCTCCGAAAGCTTATCGTGTTGTAAAGTAGATGTCGCACAATTCGGCCATGCAGTCCATCAAGATTGGTGAACTAGGAATCCTCTCTAGCTCCGAGCGGACCGCATTAATGACAGCAGGGATGTCAAAAATCCCTACAGGCCATTCTTTCAGCGTTCTGAGAAGTGCCTATAGAAAAAGATTGATTGAAGCATAAGCATGACTTGCGGGGACACACACCTCTTGGTCTTGCGCGAGATAATGAGCAAGAATGACTTCGTAAACCATCCGTCCCAGTTGTGGCTGCGACGTCGGAATATAGGGAATGATGGCCTGTGGCCCGAAATGAGCACAGCAGACATGTCGCAAATGTCGCAAATAAAACCTACTTGCAATTGCCCCTTTCCCAAGAAACGGAAAACTTCTTCCTCCCACGATTGGGCGTCTTGTCCAAAAACTTTGGGACATAGTTGAGCGGCCAGTAAGTATTCACCTGAGAAGGAAGCTATGTGAGCGCAGAGGCGCGGAGATCATCATAAAGTATAAACCTTGTTGGAAGAGATGGCGTATGTACTTTTTCCCCACGTCTGTTGCATCCAGTCCTCGCACCGCACCCGTCTTCTCAAGTCTTTGGATCTCGGAAAGTGCTTCAGCGAACCTCTGGTGCTCTACTAGCCACTGAACATGGTCAACTTCATCCCGTGGTTTGACTACGGTGACGCTTTTAGGACTGGCGACGACGTAAAAACCTTCTAAAGGGTTGGTTCCCTCGGATATCCCTACGAAAGCTGGTCGAAGAGAGTAGTCGTTGCAACTATAGAGTTCATATCCAGCTAGAGCCAGCACGTCATTAGAAATCTCCTCGCCCGCACGTGAAATGATGCGTAGTTCCGGCCGATGTGCTGCCTTTCGGCGTTGCTCCTCGCGGGAACTGGTCACCTCATTAATGATTTTGTCGGGAACGATATAGGAGAGGATGATGAAGGATCCGGGGGGTGAGGGGTGTGGTGCAATGCCTGATATCATACAATCCACATGAAAAATTGCCGCAATTTCAACCACGTAAGGACTCTTTGCCGCAGCAGCCCCAGTCCGCGGCTTGACACGAGCAATTTTTACATAGTCTGCCCAGGCTATTAAAAGAGTCGTATCATCGCGCCATTGTAGAGTGCACTTATACAAGTCCGCCCTCGGACTGTCGGATGGACGATCAATATGTGCAACCCTTTGTGCACTCCCCGTATCATAAATTTTCACGTCAACATCATTGGCCCACACGATCAACGTTCCGGACCAGGAGGACGTCCAAATGGGACCTTCCCCAGAGTGGAGAACGGTTTCTCTGTGCCCGAGCCAAGACTTCTCGTGTAATTCTAGCTTACCGGCCATGCCACCACAGACGAAAGATCTAGAATTTCGCCTAGAGAATGATGGTTCCAGGGAAATTGTCCTCATCTGACGCTTGAAGTCAAACTTGTATACTTCCGGAGTTGTCAAAGCGTGAATGACAACGGTGCCTAACAATAGGGGTAAGTGGCGGGCGATGAGAACTGCATGCACCATCGAATGCACCATCGACTGACACTGTGGCGATAAACTCGCCATCAGAGTCGATAACCAGTTGATTGATTGTTGCAGAGTGAGGACGATATGACTTCACTTTATTGCCGTGAAGATCCAGTACGTGGACCATGCCATTATGTGTCCCAAGAGCCTTGTATCGGAATTGCTCAGAAATACGAGCTACAAGACTCATCAACACTGCTCACCATAAGGCGTTGTGAGATATCGAGCGCACTGGCAGAATCCTTTGCGAGAATGTCTTGAACTGCCCCTCCAACTATTTCATACTTGAGTGCAGGCTCTTCTTCTTCCACTTCACTATCATCCTCTTCGGACTCAGACTCGCTGCTGGGTTCGTCTGCGGAACCATCACTGAACTCAGAGCCGCCTTCGTCTTCCTCGACGTCAGGGTCGTCATTGGCTAAAGCTATGGGAGGGTCTGGTTCAGAGGGATCGGAAATTTGGTGCTCATTCGGCAATTTCAAGGGCGGAACGGACTCTATAAAGGTAGTAGCGACGGGACGAGAGGAAGAGGGAGGAAGAGAATGTGGACTGTCCGGCTGGCTTTGAGACAGCGAGTTAGACATTCCCTCATCACTGGAATACCCGGTATGTGATTCTGAGCTTTGAACGTATTCACGCCCGCGATCTTGGCCCACAATGCTTGACGCGTCTTCCTCGTCACGTCCGAGGACTGACATAATGATGTGGTTAGCAGTTTGGCTAGCACATCTTGGGTGAACCCACCGAAATTCGCCTCTACATCCTTTGGAATGCTATTGGGCACCTCCAAGGACATGTCCTCTCCGTTGCCCCGCTTGAGCCAGCGTCAAACCCCAGTCACGTGGACTGGAATCAGGCCTCGAGGCGCCAACTCAGAACTAAGTACTCAGTTGGACTGTAATCCAGATCTCTCTTCTTCGTCTTTGTCACATCTCCATCCATGCTTGGTCCGCACCCTGGATGGGAGGACTATTCAACCATTATCTTTTCGGTGTTCGGGGGTTGCTGCACTAATGCTTTCTGTCTAGAGTGCGTGGGCATAAGTCACCATCTTCCTTGCTGGTATCTGATCATCCCAAGAGTTCAGGAGTCTTCTCAAGGACAATGCTGACCTAGGATCAGCGCTTACTTTCCTTCAGCTCCTATATATTTCGTTTCAATCTGCACCGTCGTTCATAGACTTCCGAGAGTGGCTGCCGAGATTAAAGCCACGCAGTGTTCCATTAAAACTATGGCTTCTTCAAGTTGTACTCCTCACGAGTGTTTCGCTACTTAATAATTGGGCGTTCCGGTTTCGCGTTCCACCTGCTATCCAAATCTTAATACGATCAGCTGGAAAGTACCTCCAGCATAACGCCTTTAGATGACCTATAAATGACTTTCTTTTAGGACTAGTCGTTGCCATGTGTATTGGCTACCTTTTCTTAAATAAACGTTACACAAGAATGCAAGTTGTGAGTCACCGTTCAGTCGTAACCTGAGCTAACTAATGATCTTGTGCCTCATTAGGGCGCCGTCATACTCGTTACAATCGGTGTGGTGACTGCCACGCTCTCGAAACCCGCCCCTCCTCGTATCCCATTTCGCCATGGTGTATACCCACCTCTTCCTGCGGACTCACCCGATACACACCTTTATGCCGTGGGCGTCGGGATGATGGCTTTAGGGCTTGTGCTGTCCGGAATACTCGGCGCGATGCAAGAGAAGACTTTTGAATGGTTTGGTCCTCATTGGCGTGAAGGCGTGTTTTATACTGTAAGGCTCATCGACGAGTCGAAACCCGTGCCATTTTTGCTGATGCTTCACTAGCACGCACTCAGTATCCCGATATTCGCGTTTCTTCTTCCCGAAGTGAAGCGCGGTCTCCTTGTTTCATTCACATATTCCGCCACTGCGCGCCTCACTCCTCTGGGCACTCTCATCGCTCTCATCGGCAACCTGGTCACCCAATCTCTATGCGTCAAAGGCGTAAATCGTCTCACAACCGTATGTCAAAGTAAATCAGGATACATATTCAGTAATCTAATGATGATGGTCGCAGCGAATGTCATCCGTTTCGGCGAACCTCATCCTGACCGCTCGTAAAGCGTTCTCCCTATGCTTGAGCGTCTGGTGGTTCGGCGATGGGTGGAATACTGGCATGACGATAGGCGCTAGTCTTGTTTTCCTAGGGAGTATACTCTATGCCTTTGGGGCCAAGACGAATTCGCCACCCACCACGAATGTGTGGGGACAACGGGATAAGGTATCTCCGCGCAAAAACCATGAGCCAAGGGTGAGGGAACCACGGTTCTACGAGAATGGAAGCAGTGCCCATGCATTGCGGCACGACTTCGCGGTCAGGCGGCGACCTGCAAATGGAAATCCCATCAGAACACCGGATCTCGACGAATGAACGAGATGCAGATAAATTTCAACCCGTTCTCGGTACATTGAACCCACTCTCTCAGCTTCCGTTGGGACATGCTATATTTTACCGAAGCTTATATGTATTTATTTGACGTTGGGGTACTAATAATCCATTCAAACTTGTCCTCCCGATACCCGCCTCGCCCGGACGACCAACATTCAAACGCCGCGAAACTTGACGACGCGTAGAGTAAGATAGAGTCAGCGTGCAGGCCTCCAGTGCTCTAGTGCACCGGTACGGTGGCATGGTGTGGTGCCTTGGGCTGCAACAGCAAGACTGCCTCGTGGATATGCCTGTACATGCCTGTACATGAAACCCAGATTAGTTACTTTTGATTAGTGTAACTAGAAATTACGTGCGACGAACCCGTGCCTCAGATGTGGGCCCCAGGGCCGACATGCAAGTCTCATCATCTTCGCAGAAGACACAATCGGGATTGTAAGTCCGCATGATGGCAAGAATCATCCTGCAACGTCGAAATCCATCATGAGGTCATCCTCGCTGTTCATAAAGCTTCTTCGCCAAGCTGGGGAGCTCTCCGCCTCGACCATATTCGTATCGAAACTCGAATCGGATGCACTTGAATCCGTCACATCGGATGTTGTCTCGGGTGGGGCGAAGGCTGGAATGTGGAAACGAGGAAAGCTCTGCCAGTCCATCGCTTCCCCGATAGGGGTAGTTTCATCATAGAGTGCTATAGAAAGCCTGATGGACCCCTCGAAGAGCTGGGATGGGTGCATGCCTGTCATGGCTAATCGATGTGCGACGTCCACGGAAGCGAGCTGCACGGCCATCGTCGTCCGCATGGTGTCGCGCCTTCGGTGCTTATGCTTTGGATTACGCCATGGGTATATGCGTTGACTGTGCACCGAAGGTTGAGAGATCCAAGCGCCGGCGGCAAGGGAGAACTTACACTTCGTGAGCTTCCAGGAGTCTAAGAACGTGTACAAGGTAGGTCCAAACTACGATGGCGGTGGGCGGATGCGCGAAGCCGGAGATGAGTATGGTGGACTTGTATTTGCGATTCGAAGTCGGTCGCTGCCAAGTCTGAGGTGATGGTCGATAGCGCCTTGTCAAGTCGCCGATCTCGTCATCGTATATGTCGCTTTGCTCAGCATTATAGTATCTCTTCCTCGAGGGCCCCGGTGGGACATATGTGAAAGGCTGCGTCAGAAGCATTCTGAGAGAGCTGTGCCAGTAAGTGATCAGAAAGATAATGTGGAGCTGGGAAGGGAGTCAGGACTCTCTTTCGTGTGAAGAGCGTCCCACGTGACGCCTCATGTCAGTCTGCAGGCAGAAAGCAGTACTGTTTTCAACGTGTTAACCCCAAAATCCTGAATTTAGCCGGTTGCTTTTGTGACAGCCTGCTTTTCATGATGTCTGACTCTAGCCAGATGGTTTTAGCGCACAATCAGAACCTAACTGTGCAGCCTTTGCCTGCCAGTCAGTTCCCTCAATTATTTCCACTGATGGAATACTGCCGTTTCAGTGACTGTCTTGCCATTACACATGGATCACATTTATGTATTTGTCAACACCTGAGTGCATCTAGCCTCAAGACTTCGCATCCCTGTGAAAATGTTCGTTACCTGGCAACTAATATGACGACCGTATGTCCATCCCTTGCAACTCCAATGCAGGCTTTCGTTTGAGAATAACGATGATGTAGACATGAATTTAATCCTCACCGTCCTCATGTATCCTGGCTGGTTGTGCGAATGCCTGACATGCTTTGTCCTCAATGCGAACAGCATCGCAGGCACTACTTATTGGATGTAAGAACGAACCCAGTTGCACAACTCCCCTACACACTTAACGCCACCGCGGCCATCACTTGTCTGCACCTCTAGCTGCCGTATCGGGCAACAAGCCATAGACCTCGTCAGAGATGTTCTCATCCTCTCGATCTAACTCGCCAAAGCCAAACTCGCGGCCTCCATCTCCCTCAATGCAGGCTGAAATTTCATCGTCGCGGTCGAGCTCGCCAACTAAGGATCGATCGAATTCACCCAGACCGGGCGCTCTCTTCAAAGGCTTCCAGAGACGCCTTACATCAACTTTCAGAAGGGGTTCTGTGGATGAGAAGACCGCAAAAGAAATTACACACTCAAAATTGGCGTCCTCGCCCATTACCGCTGTAGTAGATGCGTCGCAGGCGACTGAATCTACTCCCAACACGAAAGCGGAGTCCACATTGTCCCTTCCTCCGGCCATCGAGCCCATCGAAAAACCCTCAGCTCCTCCGGCACCTGAAGTGGACGTGAACCCCGTTGTCGAGCGTCAAGCTAACTTCTCAGACTCTCCAAAGTCCATTTCCCAGGAGATAGCATCCATTGAGGAACTTCAAGACCAGAATCCGAAAATTGATCCGTAGGTTCCCCACCCTCTTTTTGTCTCGTTTCTAATGCGTATGCCTAGCGTTGAGGGCTCTCAAACCCAACCTGAAGGCGAAAGGGAGCCTCGATCGGAGAGCCCTCAGTCAATCGAGGCATCAGGCGTCCATCAGCAGCTTGCTGATGATCCTGAAGATGATCCTGACCTGCATGTGGGAACTGTGTAAGTGAAACCTCAGTTCTTGTTTCTGGGCCCCTTTCGCTCACCATTACGTTCAAGCGACGATAGAAGCGCCGTGGATATTTCCCTCCAGCAAGTGCCACCACGTTCCGAGCTCAATGCGCCCGGTTCTCCCTCATCGACGGAGTCCTCGTTGGGCGATAATGAGCACGTCATGCAGTACGCACATGCTCACGGTTCTTCTGACACCAGGTCGACATGCAGCTCCGGATACTCCAGATTCGATCGCCATGAGAATGCTTGGCTCGATCAGGACTCCGTCCTCGACTCGAACGGCCATGATCATGGCGAGGCCCATAAAGATCAAGCATGGGAAGAATCAACGCACAACGTCACGGCGTTCAACCGGGACGACTTCGACGACCTCGTCCAGGAATTTGTTGCCAAGTAGGTCCTTTTTCACTGAACTTCTTGTCGTCTTTGCCCGCTCACTGCAGAGAAAAGGACTGCAGCTCACATACAAAACAACGACGGCGACGGCGACGGCGATGATGACCATGTCTCTGTATCCATGCCGGAGCCACAAACGCTTACAACCTTGGGGCGGATTCGGTCGAGGTCATTTCTTTTGGGATACTTCACCATTCTCGCCTCTGACGCTGGTTAATTTAGGGAATATACTGACGCATTCCTGGATACATCTGCTCCGCACGACGAAACACAAGATCTGCCAGCGCAATATCCGACAACAATGCCTGTCCCTCTACATCAGTCTCCTCCCCTTAACGAAGTCCTTGATGAGTGCGTTTAGCTGATTTATTCCTTTCATTTCATTTGAAATAATCTGACCTTGGTTTGGCAACAGTCGCGATCCGTCCGTGCGCGACATGCCGATACCTCAGCCTGCTCCGCCTTATCCTCAACACCGCATACATCATCCTCATTTCGGCACGCGCTATCAACATCAAGAGCACTGGAAAGAGCATCGACTTCCAGATGGTGCAATGTACTGGACTCGACCTTTCCATCTCTCGCACACCCTTGCATTCACACCCGCGTATGACATCGTGGTGGTCGCCACAGACATTGACCTTCGAGAACAAGACACCCTCCATCGCCTAAATTCATTCCTTCTTACATCTGCCCCAGACATTGACCAAGAAATTCAAAAGCCTGCACCTCCTGGTCAACCTGGCGGTGGACGGGACAGCGGCCGGGAGGTCTGGGTCACGGCCAGGGAAGATGATGACTCCCTTCATACACCGATATCGCCCACCCAACTTCGAGGCAGTATCTCAGGCGCCAACGTCAAGGCCTTCAAGATCGTTTGGGTCGACCATCACGGGAGAAGCGTGAAAGAGGACGACAACGATCGGGAACGCGCGAGAGGCATTCAGGATGATGTTGTTTTCGGTATGTTGAAGCGTGTTCACAATCACGACAAAGTAGTGCTAACTGTCGCGCGCGGATTCCAGGCATGGCCGTCGAGTATGCATACTGGAACTTCGTTGAAAGCCATCCGGGGCATCGTCCAGCGTCGCGTCGTGATCAGGAGGACGCGTTGGAATTTTTGGCCTGGTGTTTCACGGACACTCTCTTTGCACCTAACGGGAAGCCAGCCTCCGTTCCATTCACTCGCGAAGAATGCAAGGAATTGCTAGATCTTTTCCGTTCTATCGAACGTAAGTCAAGTGGAATATATGATCAGTAATACAGGCTAAGTATCCCTGCTATCCCCTGACAGCCATCATCGGCGGTCGCGCCACGATGCTCAAAACTCGCATAGTTGCAAAGATCCTGCTACGCAACTGTGAGTACATATTTCAGAGATCCTGGCTCCCCTTTTAACTGTGATTTATAGTGCAATGGCGTCAACAGCTCTACTCAGCTTCCAAGAGCCAAACGCCACTGATATCCGGTGCACAAGATGTTGGCACCCTGTCGGGTTTTCCGATGCCCCCCGTCTCAGCGGCCGACGAACGGGACGTGGGGGCAAATGAGGGTGAAGACGTCGGACGCGGTCGACCCAACAGCGGGACCTCACGTACACTTCCGGTCCCCCCACAAGCCGGATTTGTCAAAGGAAGCATCAATCTCGTGGTGAGTCCTAGAACCTTCAGTGTCGTCTTTCGATGACTAATGGTTGTACCTAGGCCACACTGTTCCTGACAGCCACTCGCGTGTTCCTTTGGCTGCCCTCTAAAGGTTTACAAGCGGTGTCCTCTGCCGCTCGAGCCTCGGGCGTGGCCTCAGTTGCGTATTCGGCATCCCACCTCGCGATGGATGTTCTAGGCATCAAAGACCCCAACCATCCAAAGCCGTCAGCAGTAAATAGACGGAGTTCTGCTGATCGTCTGCCCCCAGGAGAGTCCGAAGACGATGAAGCTAGGAGCCATTTGCTAAAGACACACCGCCGGAGCGATTCTGTTTCTGTTGGTATATATCCATGCCTTAAATATTCAGAACATTCTAACTTCTGACCATATGTATATCTCACAGTATTCCCTAGCCCTGTTCACTCATCCCGACCCACGGCAGTCCGGTTCGCAGACTCTGATTAGCCCATCTTACGCAATCGCCGGCTCCTTTCAGCTGGTTCTCGTCATCTGGACCCTAATTGCGATCTTCACAGTTGCCTGCGTCTTGGGCCTTTTACGATCTTTGGGCCACGTTTGGAAAGACGAGGTCTACATCCCCCGTATGAGAGGCATGATCCACTCTGGAGCGATCCACCGTCACGTTAAACAGCCCCAATGGGGAGCATGACTTCTCTACGTACCTATGCCCCACCCTGTACTCATGGTCTGCGCCTGCCTCTTCCATCTTTACACCCCTTCTCTTTCTCTCTAACTCTAGGGTAATCTCCTTGCGTTAGGTATCTATTCCCCCGCGTTGTGCCTGATTATCATATGATTCTTGTACATCCTCAGCAATGCCAGTCATGATCTTATGATCGTATAATAAGAATGAATTGTCGCGTGAAAACTGCCGTCCAAGACCACTGGCGCCGACTTCCCGAAGCCAGCTGGCTATTGAAAATTGGAGTCTGGCACGCATATAGGTGCAAGCAACGCACTTGCTCGGCTTGCCACTGAAACCATGATGAGTTACAGTGCGGTCAATCCACGCTTCAATTGATACGCATGACATGATCAGATCCTCCCTCATTGGCTCTTCCACTAAAATGCCCGCATAATCCCCCATCGCTAAAGAGACTGGGCACTTTTCGCCTCGCTATCTTTGGGTGGCTCCGCTGCATGCCTGTGGCACGTTTCTAAGGACAGCCCCTCAACAAGGTATTAATGTTCCGAAGTGCGTGGGGCCCCGACGGTTCTAGGTGGAGCCGGGTTGCCATATATATTCAAAGCCGCTTCCCACGAAACAACACCCAGCCTTCGGTCATGCACTGTGGGCATGCAAGGCCCTGCCGCCGATGTTAACAGGGAAAATCACTATTTCAATATAATGCTATCCCGCAGTCGAAGACTTATCTGGATTGACCAGTCAGGGGGAGCATTCGAAGGTGCTTGACGACATGCTGCCTGACAAAGCTAAACGATCTTGATCGAATAGTAGAGCCTGACTTGCACACAGACCATGTCATGTCATAGTTTCTTGTTGCATTCGCTGCAGAAGTAGCAACAAAAGCACCTACTAAAACAGACCACAGTGGGTCCATGCCGCACGCCTGAGGCTCCTCTGTTCAGGCCTTTCCGGGTTGTTGTCGATCACTCGTCATCCGTCACTAAGCAAACTTTATGCTGTCCAATTTCTGGACCGCAAAACAAAGTCGGTGGTCAGTTTCGAGAATGACGACAACCGTATTGGCGGTTGGCCATTTGGACTGCATCCCAGAGCCAACTACAAATCCGCGTTTCAGGCCCGGCGTTCATTGGGTAATCTACAGATCCACAGCGCTAGCGACAAGCCAAAAAAAACATGCACATCAAAGTTTGCCGGAAGGAATGGCCATAGGTAACAGAGTTCTTGGTGACAGCAGGCGAAATATGAGCGCCTAAGAAAAGATACCGCCACTGAATGGATCCACGACACAGAACTGCCTCCAGCTGCGAAATTATAGTCTATAGTCTATCCCTTTGTAATCATTCCTAATAGAGTCTCAAAACACAAAAAGGCTACGTAGATAGTATCTCTGGGGCTCGAATTTTGTGGTAGCTTGGGTCGCCCTGAACCGTACTGTTCAGCACCCCAAAGTGATAAAGTGAATCACCCCTCACAGTTAGGGCGTCAAGATGAACATCGACAAGGGGTGCTGCGAGAGCATGCGAGGTAGGGATCGCGTCCCGGGCCGTTGCTCTGCTCGGCAGTAGGCAATACTTCAGCTCAGCATTAGACTCAGGCGAGAATCGGAGGCCTAGAAACAATTTGCAAGCAAGAGGCGGCATACCTGCAAGCTAAGCTAGGATAGAGGAATTGAAGCCCAAGTTTACGAGAGGGAATACCCACGGGATCCTTTGTGGCAGTGGACAAAATATGAGCTCACTGAGAAAAGATACCACCCCATTGCCCCGCCACGGAAATCCCAGCTGTGAAGCATTATGTGAGGGTCACGCACGTTCATGATGACAGCGGGGTGATTTTCCCGATTTCTTCACATCCGGCATTTCCCCTCTCATCCGTTCAACATTGCAATCAGCGATGGCGAATCGTTGCGAGCCCTCCAACGTCGTGAGGCACGATCCTCTTTCCTCCCAAGTGCGTATGCATTCGATCCTACTTGCAAAATGTCCTGATGTTTGGAGTAGCCTCAGCGTGTGCCGCTGCAGATCCGGGTGACAAGGCGCACGGTTGTCGAGGCCTCGATGTTGGCGGACAGCGTTGAGACACCCGGACCTTGCAAGGTCCGCTTAACTCCTCTATTCAGGGTATTGGTTTCTGACATGCATCTTCAGTGGTCCTGGGTGAGCGCAGGGGGACAGCCGAAATCGGCCCCTCACAAAACGGCCAAATAGAGTGAGAATAATTATCTATGCCCGTATCACAGCATAGCTGATGGTCGTTGCAAGGCATTGTCTCTTCGGCCGCTTCGCAAAAGAACACGGAGATAAGAGTCATTCATCTTGTCGCTATCTCGTCATGTAGCCTTCTTCACGATGCGGCCGTGAGAAGACCATCTGCTTTGCATTTGCGTCATCTACTGCTGCGCACAAGGGGACTTGGCTGCAAGAGATCTCATATCCCTCCAACTCTTTTTTGTTGAATTCTCCACTGCCTTCCTTGTTGTTCCGTACTTCGTGGAATATTAAAAGGTCGTCTCGCCCATATCAACTGGAGTGCAGTTATAACCCATAATCTGGACCTAGTATCCGATGTGTATATGTGAGCCTGAGCTGACCCGCCTATCTCTTCCAGTCTCTAGGGGTAAGGTGTGAATTCCTGTTTGGCCTCTGAACAACGCGATGCCTTAGGTCTCGTGGTATGCTCGAACACGACTACTCATGAAGAAACCCAATGTCACGGGATGCTTGGGACTCTGGACTCGTTGTCAGCTAGAGTGAAGTTGCCTCAGCATATGTTTAAGGTGTGAAGGACTGGCTGGATGTGTGGTAAGTGAGAAAGACCTTGAGCCTATTAGTATCAATTCGTTTCACTGATCATTGATTACGTATGTTAGCTTCGTATATCATATCTTGAACTCATCACCCCGTTATAGTACAGTATTCAGAATTCCCTACTGCCATTTCCTCCCGATACGGAGCTCGCAGCTGTCGGACCGGGTTTTTTCGGTTCCGTACGTTGCCTATCGAGTGATGACCAGTTCAGTTCGCTGCGTCGGTCGCTTTGGACCAACATCCTATCATAGGCCATTGGCGAGTCACAGGCTTGTCACGCCACTCCTACCGCACGGAGTCGTCAAACCCCACCCCTTTATACACTGAAGGTCCTGACTGTCACCTCCATGGGATCGTAAGCAAGACGAGTAGATTTCACTGCATGTCATCATCATCGCCAACTTCGTTCTATTGAAGCGCCGCAACAGCACCATAGTCCTAACGTTCATATGAGATGCATGCGTATGTCCTGGAAGCACTAAGATTCATCCTCGAGTTTAATCGCAGCACTTGAATTATCCAGCCCGGGGGCGAAGGAATCACCCCCTGTAGAGTCTCGCATCATGGATGGCTGTTGCGTAAACGAATCAACGATACGACCAGAACATTGTCTTGTACCCCATCCCGTCGAACGTTCATTTCGCGTAGCTTGGGCGCATCAAAAGAGGCCAGTCCAATATATAGCTCTGGAAGTACCCAGACAACCACAGATGTTGTGAGCAATGTGACGCCAAAGTGAAAATGGAATTATGCTTGCCAAACCGAGTCTTTCCATGTGAACGGTAATCCATCTGTTGTGCACCTGCCACTCAACCAGCGGTATTCCAGAACGACCCGAACTTAATGCAATCGGGATATTGTATGTGCATCCCTAAACTTGCTCCCGTTTCTTAGCGCATCCACTGGATACATTTCCGATCTCGGCAATCTAGGTGCTGCCAATATACTCCTACACCAGGAATCTCGGCTTTTTATGTAATTTACTAAACACCTCTACGGGCTGTCAGGCGCAACAGAGCCAATGTGCCGATTTGGGTTGGGATCCTCACAGCGAGGGGACATTAGGCCTTCTTAGCCCTGCAGTTCCAGTGCAGGTTGTACCCCCACACATATCGATAGAAAGCATTCATTGATGGAGAGCCTTCAGAAAAGCCACCGAGTCAACCCATGGTATGAGATTGTTAACTAACGTAAGATTACGGTGCCAACCACACGCTAAAGAACACACATCAGCGTTGGACGGAATCCGTTTCATACTCATGAGCCATGAGAACAAACCGTGACAATAGACGAAAGGCTACTATTTAGACATCCCAACAATCAAGATCATATCACCTTCGCCTCAGTGTCTTTTTTCCTTCAAGTTTTTTGAGCGTGTTCTGCAAGACCCGCACATCATCATCCTTCGTAATCATGAGGTCAGTGTGAGTTCGCCCATCTGTCAACTCGGAACAGAGCGGTGCGTCCGGATAACATGCCTGACCGAGTTTTCCACCCCAATCAAAGTCGATTAACATCAGCTTTTCTCCATCGCAAAGGATGTTTGGCTCTCGTAGGTCTCCATGAACCAGGCCGTCGTCATGAAATGCTTGCATGAGCGCTTGCAAGTCAGCTATCCACTGATCGCAGAAAAGGGTCAAGTTCGGTGAATCGGATGGTGGTACAGATGACGAAAGGTACTCCATGGCAATAACCAACCAACCTCCTGGTAGAGACTGGGACCCGACAATGGCTGGTGCGTGTCCACGTGAGGCACAAAACACATGCAGTGGGATCGAGTAACTACGTGTGAACTTCAGGAAGATTTGATTCCTATCGGGAATTGTTTCAGCAATGTACAGGAGGCGATAGTCTGATTCGGGGGGGTGGCGCCGAATAATCCGAAATTGGATTTCCTCGTCCGTTCTCTCATGCTTGCGCACCGTCGAAATATAGGGGAACATTGGATCTGCAAGCTCGATCGTGGGCGGTGTGTCGGCGAAGCGTTTTGCATCTTCATCTATGCAGCTTAATAGACGCAGGGTACCTGCAAAAGCTGCATATAGAGCGCGTCGGTCGGCACCTTCGCATGCAGTTGCAACGCACGACAAAGCGGGGGTGAGAGGGACGACACGCCACTGCTGAAGGAAGATGATAGCGTAGAACGTGACATATGGACCTCGTAAGATGTATATCATGTCAGACTCATCTGAAGATCCAGAGATATTCAACTTACCAACAACCGTCAAACCAAGGCACGGCACCCTCCAATTCCTAAATACTCCGCCGAAACGTCCCATAGCCAACGCGTGCGAGTGGGCAACGTAGGAAGTAAGCTCGACTGCAGGAATAGCGCTGATCTCGACGAGATCATTTTTGAATTCGACTATGCACAGTGCTGCTTCGAGTGGTCCATCAAAGTGACCGTCTGTGCGAACACTACCAATGGAGGCCACCATAAGTCTTTTATCACTCCCACAAAGCAAAATGTTGTTTAGGCCGTGTAAACCATCCATCTTCCTGCTATCCTCATCGTCGTAAATTTGAGTCATTTGTTTCGCGAAAGAATCGACAGCCCCTTTCAGGTCCTGTTGCTCCTTACTCAAGTGAGGTCTAACCTCGCGGCCGCAAGAGACATCCAGGAAGTGACCAAAGCCTTTGTAGAGGAGGGAAATAGGGGGGATCAAGTCGGATGTAGGGCGATCATCCAAGATTCTTTCAGCAGGTTTTTCCTGCAGTGACATGTAGTTATTGAGCTTTCCCAGCTCGGAAGGCGAAGTTTTAGCGAGTTTTGAACGTGAGGCTGCATAGAGATAGTCAATATCATGGGGTCGCTTGCGAAGGAAGGGAGAAAACGGAGACACTGCAACAACCAAGATCAGGTTAACTAAGAAAAAGCAATATTCTCTAGTTACCAGCGACTTGTACATGCAGGAATTCACGAGAAGGTTCCACCTCCCATATCCTCACGAGGGGCTGTGCAGGGTTATCCAGGAGGAGCAAGTCAGACTGGTCAATGGTGGGTACAGGGTATAGAGGCACGGCTCTGAGGACCTGAAAGATGTGAGAGGATGTTGACGATAATGCTGTAGCCTACCTTCCGGAGAATGAGGTATGGGGAGTCGACATATTTAAAAATAGTATGCTTGAACCTTTCCTGAATCAGAATCTTCAGGACATCGACAGGTGCGCTCGGTGAGATGGATATAGAGAAAACATCTTGATGGGCTTCAGAATGGCACCAAAGTAGATATTTTACTTCAGCTGTCATGATTTCAAAGTGGTGGGAGTGCAAGAGAATTGCGTGCAAAGCGGGTAGTTGGATTATTGTGCAACAGCCGTTCAGTTGATTGCGTGTCGGATCGGAATGCCCCAATGTTGTTTAGTCCGATCACCTATTACTCGTCCCCAAAAACGGTCAACCCAACACGACAGCTCAAAAGTGGAGCAGAGGTTAAATATCCAGAATAAACAATAACTGCGCCTGACGCGGCAGAACCGAAACCTTCAGCATACGTCTGATGCAGCATGCTTTGACCCATTCAGGCTAAGTTGCGCGAGAAATCACGAGAAATCCGTGATTAGCGAGGGAAGGCATGTGAATGCCAAATCGGTCCCGACTGGGCGCAGCCAGGTTTCCCAGCCATTGGCAAACAGAGGCGGAAACCTGAGGTCAGCTGGCAGACTGCTAACCCGTGATTAGTCTCGTGAAATGCCGCCTGACGCGGCATAACCCGCCACTCTTCTCCTTCTGATATCTCACTGATATAACATGTGCCCGGAGTACTGTGAACATTTTAAATTTAATGGAGGCACGAGATTAAATATGACTTATGTGCGCCGGCCTCAGCGCCTCAGTTTTCTTCTGGGTATCCGCCGTGCCCTTTGCTAGGTCAAGTCCTCGTCTGTACGCAATATTCATTGCTTTATGTCTTTAGACTGTTCATCCGCGATGTTCAGTTTTTCTTAGTTGTCTGGTATGAAATTGTGTCCTTATTTCTGATTTCTGCTGCTTGATCGGTACGTAGGTTTATTTTCTTTCTCTTTACACGCGTCCGCTGTACGCTTCGGCCTCCGTGCCTTCTTTCTTTTATGCGCGCCCGCTGAGCGCTTCGGCCTCCGTGCCTTCTCTTCTGCGTCCGCGGTACGCTTTGGCTTCTCAGCCACCACCTCTCGCGTCCACCTCTCGCGTCCGCTGCACGCTGTTGCTCTACAATCTTTTATCTCTCTTGCGTCCGCGCACGCTGGAGTTTATTTCTTTTTCTACAACTCTGACGTATATTTCTAACTAATTCTCTTATTAGTTTTGGTTAGGGTGGTTGGTTGGCGTTGAATATTCGGTCTTGCATTGGATAAGGCAGTTAGCCTTGGTTACCCTTTGCGAGTTGGATCCCGGATGTTTACGGTGTCTTTCTCTTTTCGGCTCATGCCTTGTTTTTGTAACTTGACTTCTTCTCTTTTGTTGGCGCTTCTCTGCTGCTACTCTCACTTGTCTTCATCGTTACCCTCCACCTGCCCCATCGCCTCCTTTTTTGGGGGGGTTTTTTGTATCTACCGGCTCGCTTCAAATCAAGAGGCTTCGACTTCCTGTCGGGGCCGTCGCCACGCTATCCGTTACGCCTTCGCCCACGCACAAGTCACCCAACCACGCTCAGCAAACATACACTCGTCTCGATTCCCACCACATTTTTACTGTGCTGTCACTTACCGATCAGCAGTCCCTTCTCTGTTCTTGTTCTTCTATGCGTACTTCACATGACAATGATCATATCAGTCACTTTTGACTGATCACTCTTGATCACTTGCAGTATGTACACCAAGGGGTGCTGGTGAAACAGCCGTTAGAGATGTTCTGAATATGTTCTCACAATAACTGCGTGCCAATAATGTCAATCGATTGTACCACATGAACATCATTACATACGGAATGCGAGAGCAGTAATGCAAACGTGCAAATCCCTATTGAACAGCCCACAAATGCAGAAGACCACATAATCAGACTTGAACGAACACACGGAATGCGTTCCAGACAGCAGACAATGGCAGAAGAACACCCACCCAGTCGCCGGATGAGACACAATCTATTGACTCACCTACAATCCCACCCAAGACGAAGATGAAGACCACAGAAACGCAGACACCTTCACCAGACTGTGCGTCACTGATCCATTCTTTTCTATGGGCAAAGACTCAAAGATGGATTGCTCTCCCCCCAATGAGGATGACAAGGGTAAAGGAAAATCGCGAGATGCATGGGCTGTGAAGTGAGTACCATGTGATGGAATCCGTCTGCTCAAACTCTGACAGTCTAACTGTTTTGGCAGCGGGAATTACGGTGCCAATGATATGCTAAAGAACAGACACCAGCGTTTACGGACGGAATTCGTTTCATATTTGTGAGCTATGTGAACAGACACACCGTGACAACAGACGAAACACGAGTCCACAAAATGAAAGGTTACTATTTGGACATCCCAACAATCAAGACCACCTTCGCCTCCTCACATCCAGATGATGTATGGGCTGAGTGCAGTACGTCGCTTTGAGAGATGCCAATCGTGGGCCAGAAACAGTGGGGAGATATGCTCTGGGGAACCTCCAGAAGGTCCCGTACCACGAAGTTAACCACCGAAGAATAACTGTGGCCCTAAAACATGAAAACTTGACTCTAGCCCAAAGTAGAGCAACTGCTTGAGACCATGCCAATATCATTAAGTATTAAATCCCAGACGCGATTCACGGACGCCATGATTGCGTCGATCCCTCATGAAGGCAGAAGTCAGGTGATTCTCACCGGGATCCAAACTCCGAATTTATTGTTATATTGTTATATTCCATAACCGTCAGAAGGGCACTTCAAATGGGAACCCTGCAAAATATTTATTCATTTCAATACTAGAGGCCTGGGCCCGACGATCCATCCGAGCTTGATCTCCGTACCCCGTAACCTTACACCACTTGAGCTATGCAGCATTCCATGACACCCGTAGCAATCAACAGCTTCTATCGACTTCACTTCCTCATCTTTCTGGTTGATCTCTTCGCACCTCCAGCGTTCATTGCTTGGGCTCTCTTGCGCTTCATTTACCCTCCTGCCTTCACAACCAACCTGCTCTTCCACGGGTCATGCGGAACCATGGTCTGCCTTGGATATTGGATCGCTAAGTTTCAGTGGAATCAGTTCAAGAATGCAAGGAATGCTGCAAAAATGGGTGCCGTTCTACCTCCACGGATAAAGGGGAAATGGATAGGGAATATCGACCTTGTCTTTGAGTCAGTGTGGTTCCCCTCTCGCTGGGTGCAGCCACGGTGAGATTCACGTTCAACTCAGCTCCGTGAATACTTTCGAACGGGGATATGTCCTCGAGAACATAAAAACATACCTTGACACTTACGGTTGTGACACCGTCAACCTAGGGTTGTTATGGCAAGACGTCTATGCAACGAGAAATCATCACGTAATGAAGACCGTGCTCGCAACAGGTTTTGATAACTTCGATAGGGGGACAGAGGCGAAGGTGTCGTGAGTCCCGTACAGATCATATCGATTATGATAATATATCTGTATGTCAGGGCGTATGGTTTGTTTGGAGACGGCATTTTTGGGTCGGATGGGACTGAAGCGAAGGCGCACAGAGCAATGTCACGTCCTTTCTTCGGTGGGTTGTTTGCAGGCGACAGGGATGATCGCTTATCACACAATTCTCGAATATGCAGTTCGTGAACGTATTCGCGATTTTGATAATTTTCATCGATACACCGATAAGGTCCTCTTACATCTTCGGGCCCGGGCTCAGACAGGGCTGTCCATCGACGTGCAAGACATATTCGGGCGTTTCACCCTTGATGCCGCGGGCGGATTTCTGTTTGGAACCGACTCCCTCAATACTTTGGACTCCCCGCTGCCGATTCCAGGCAAGGCCGCTCTTGGCATGAAAGGCTCACGTGCTGAGGGTGATTATGGTGGATTCGTGGGTTCATTTGAACAGTTGCAAGTCGTGATGGCTGTCCGGGATCGATGGAACTATTGTTGGGCTGCTAGGGAATTCTTCAAGGATCATTCCGAAGAGCATAATGCCGTTATCGATGCATTTGTTGAACCATTAGTTATTGGGGCTCTTCAGAAGAAGGCGGCGAGGGGAGAAAAGGAATGCGGCATAGATGATGGGAACCTTGTTGACCACTTAGCAGATGCTACGAACGATGTTAGATTGATCCGCTATGAGGTGAGTCCACTTTACTCCCTGGACTTGTTCAATGAGTTGCCTTGCTGAACATCGTCTTAGCTTATCAATATGCTCCTTGCCGCACGGGACACAACCGCCTCGCTCTTGACCTTTGTCATGTATATGTTTTGCTTATATCCCGATGTCGCTCTCAAGCTTCGGAACGAAGTCCTGGAGCATATTCCTGAAGGATCGCCCACCTTTGAGCATATCCGGAATATGAGGTATCGTAAGCTGCCTTCGACTTATCTCCCGTGATTCGTCGTTGGATAGACATTACCCCTTCAGTGCGCGCAGTCCTCAATGAGACTCTTCGCCTGTACCCCCCTGTACCGTATAGTGCCCGTGCGTCGAAGGTGGCCTCACTTATACCCGGAGACAGCTACACGGGTGGAAAGCCAATTTATGTTCCGCCGGGGGGAACAAGAATCAACATGTTCCCTCTCTTCGCGCACCGCCGAGAGGACCTATGGGGCAAGGATGCCAATGAGTTTAACCCCGAGCGTTGGATTGACAAGGACAAGGTCCAGAAGACGGCGTCGGATCCTTTCATGTTTCTGCCCTTCAGTGCGGGCCCCCGAATCTGTCTTGGCCAAGTGTGTGAAGCGTGATCGTTCGATGCGGGAATAGAGCAGCTTACTAATACCGGTCTCCTTATTTCTAGAACTTTGCTTACAATGAGGCTAGCTTTAGTGGGTCGAGATACTAACATTCTTGCCTTGTTCCTCATGACATGCTTCTTTGCATTCCCAATAGTGATCATACGTGTTCTTCAAACGTTTGATACGTTCACGCTACGTCAAAAGGAGGATGCACCGATTGGCTCCTGCCCACCGGGAGTCTGGAAGAATGCCGGAGGAAGGAAAGCTGTGGAGCAGGTGTGGGTTCAAAGTGCCGTGACAATGTTCTCCAAGGTTTGATTCCTTTTTTTTTTCCTTGTCCAATTGGTCTGGTGCCAGGTGCTAACTTCTTGCTCCCATTTGGCAGGGAGGACTATGGGTCAAAATGGGCCTGCCCGTGAACTAACGTGGCATTTGCGTTGTGGCAAAAAGTAATATCTAAATCTGAAATATATGTGTACTGGTAGACCTACATACCTCGCATGTAGCTACGTAGGATTCGGTGTATCTCTTCGGCGGCGCTCAGATCCCTTGGGCAATGTCCAACGTTTGAAAAGCAAATCATTACAGCTCGATCGACGGACATAGCGCTAGTGCTAGTGCGTATATCTGAGGCATAGCCCGATTCTTGGAAGCTGACGGTCGTTAGAAGTGTTGGTGGCATACGTGGCCCATTATGCAATATATCCATTAAGGTAGACTAGTGCCGCCAGATCCGGAGCTGAAGATTACATCTAGATAGCAATATTATCCCAGAAACAAATGCTGCTCTGTACAGCCTGAAATGTGAACGGGGATCGTTCCGATCATCACGCTTCAATTCAAAGTCCCACACCAGTGGACTCCAAAACGTAAGAGCAGGACAGAACGTTCGATAGATCACGGTAGGTTTTTATTTATGACAGTTTGACAAGGACCAGACGCAAAGAGAAAAGATAAGACAAATTAAGGCGTAAATAGACGAGACTGTGTGAACAAGCGAAGGCGAACAAACGTCTAGTGCCTAGCCTTCTTAGCTTTCTTTTTAGGCTTCTCCAGATCAATGTCCTCCTCATCTGACCCATCTTCCTCCTCATCTGAGTCTGATTCCATACCCAAGGCACCGAGGCTCTGTGGCACAAGAATCAGTTTTATTGATGATCAGCATCGCATCGCCACTTACGTTCTCCCCACGGTTGAAAAAGTAATCAATTGCAGTGGGATAGAGGTCAAACGCGATGGCGTTTGCGATCTGAACGCGATTGGTAAGATCGAATCACATCACAAACGTTGACTTAAAGGGGAAAACTTACTTCGCCATCAGCGTCAGGGTGCTCAAAAACGTTGAAGAAAGAACCGTGGTCTTCCACAGACTCCTCATCATCTGGGTCCGTGACTCGTGGATATAACTGGGTCAAAGTCTTGTCAGGCTCCTTCCAACCGATTTTGATCGTCTGATGGATGCATATGCGTAAAACCAAAGCATCGTGAATTAATTGCATATTGACTCACCGATGGCTCGGTATCCCGCTTCAAGTCGAAGTTAAGAATCGCATCCGAGATCCCATCCTCATCTGGCTGATTGGCAGCAGCATCGCTGGAGGGGGTGAGCTTGTATTCTTTTTTGAGAACAGATTCAGTAAAGAACGGGTTTGCCGCAAAGTACTGTGTTTTGGCGATAAGTTCTGTATTCTCGAGGGCAGCTCCAAAGCGCCCCAACTCACGAACTCAATGGTAAATGCGCGATGTTCCCTGGGGTCACGCACGACATTGATGTCCTCGAGGAAGGAGAGAGCCTTCTGGTCATCGAGGAGCGAAGTCGCCTCTGACAAAAGGATATGGTTTCGTATGGCGGTCCGCCAGAAGTTGGGAATGGCCTTCAAGGTTGACCGGCGCTTCTCGTAATATTTGTCCAATCGAAGAAATGTTTGACGCTCTAGCGCCAGCTCCACGCGCTCGAGCTCTGGGGATCGAGTACATAGACGCAGTTAGTGATTGACGGGCTTGAACGAAGGTTATGTTCGTGGCGGCCAGGGCCACGAGCTCACCCTTCTGGTTAGCCTCCAGAGCCTCAATCTGTTCATCAGTGAACTGTGCATCATCCTCTTCCACCTTGGAGCGCTTTCCAATCTTTGACATGGTTCAAGCACGCTTGGATGTTGAGAAAAACCTTTGAGGTGGTTACGAAGAAGGGAGTAAATCCAGGCGGATCCAAAAAATATTTCAAATTTTTGAATTAGTTTCGGGTCCTTATCTGAGAAGGGTATTTCCGAAGGCCGAAAAGATCTTCCAAAAAAGTAAATTGATGGCGCCATGCATGGCTGGCATCGTGGACAAGCAAAGAATCGAGAACAGGAACAGTGATTGGATTACAGTGTAAGACAGAAACAAGAAACGTCATTTGGCTGCCTGATTTTCCTGGAAGAACCCTGGGTTTGGTGATCACTTCATCAGAACAGCCCCTCCTCCTTGGTTTGCACCTATGAGCCATTTTTCGGTTGCCTTTTCACTGTCGAAAAGATTTCGTCTATTTCGTCCATGCGCTTCCGCTTCTTCGGTGAGCCGAGTCCAACTTCTTGTTGGTCTTCTCTGTGGTCTTGGGCAGTAGACTCGTCTGTAAACAATTGTTGGGAAGTCCCTCTAGGTGGACCCAAACTCTGTTGAGAAACCCATAACGATTTGTTCCGTTGGAATAGGGTAATGCGGATCTTTTTAGCAAAGTGTCTCCCATAGATCGACTGTGCAAGGAAGTATTCATGAGGAATGAGAGACTCCGCGATTTTTCTCTGAGGATTTGCGCTTAGAGGATAGGCCGGTAAGATCACTCGACCGACGAACCTTGAGACGTGCATCGGATGCGTCCCAGCATCTATCGGCAACCCGACTACCAAGTCTATCATCAATGAGTATATGGTATTTGCCCAGGAGACTCATTATGAAATTTCTTCTGGCGGGGTATGGGACTCTCGGTGCCTCCAGCACGACGTCCAGCACTCGAGATCCTGTTGGGTCGTGTGCTATTTCTATTATCACATCGGCAGACTGCATCCGTAAGCTTTAGTGAATGTGATCGACGTTAGAAAACCACGTTTCCCAAGCCCAAGTCAGCCGCCACACCTTTCCAAGACACTAGCATTAAAAGGAGCGTGTACACGGAGCATGGACTGAAGCAGGAGTGCACCTTGAGTGGAGAACTTCGAGTCATTGGGCCTTCCCTCCTTACGCTGCGGAGGCTGTTCCAAACCAGAGGGCTCATTTTCTGGTTGGTTTTGGGAAGCTTGGCTTGCATGATATGCCTTAACCGGAGTTAGCAATGACTCATCGTTGAATTTGAAGAATTCGAAGAACACACCTCCAGGGTCTTCAGGTGCAAAATGCAAGGTATGATGAATTGCTGATCATCCTCCTTCGTGATGCCGAAGGATGAAATGATCGTCTGGATACAAAATCAAGGTATGTAGACAATAGTGTCCGGTCATTGACTTGCCTCGATGATTTTTTCTTCCAATACACCGAGACTGGTGGATCTCTCTACGAGCGCTCGGATTGTACCAATGCGGCCTAAAGCTATTGAGAATTCCAACTTTTAAGTCAGTCAGAAGTATATTTGTGTTGGTCTGAGACGTACATATAGACCTTGCCCAGCCGCCTTTGGCTTCTGCTAGTAGACCGCGCAGGTGATCCTCGTTGTCGATGCGAGAGACCGCCTTTGCAACGACGAAGTTGACAATAGGATGAGTAATGTATTGTCCAAGACGACCAACAAAGTACGTCGCCCAAATCTGATGGAAGATTTGTGGGGGTGAGATCTCGACTAGGACTTCCATCAGATGCGAGGAAGTGGCATCCTTGAGTAAGGCTTCTATATAGTCTTCCCGAATTATGGTACGGTCCTGGTTGACTGTTACAGGGCTTGAGGGAAATTTTCCAACAAAATATCGATTGGCGCACTAACGTAGTCGAGTGACCATCCCCACGAGAACACGGTCCATGAGGGAGCCAGGAACTTCGGATTCTCCACGTTTTGACTCGATAGCTAAAAGCATCTGTCTGCAGAGTCACAAATTAATGCAATTAGAGGCTCATTCGTTCATACCTGCAGAATTGGGCTCGCAACAGGATTTATCACCATGGCACGGACTTCGTTATTCCCTAAACTCTGGCGAAGCGTCTCCCCGTATCTCCCTGCCATTTCACCAAACGAATTTGGCACCTGATACGGCGACGATGTCTCCTCCCGACGATGAAAGACTGACATCATTGATCCCTGACGCTGTCTAAACGCCTCGCTTTTCTTTGATCGACTGTATGAATTGTGGCTTGACTTGGCATCACCCCCAACGCACGACGACGGATCCAATACTTTTAACATAGCGCGAATGACATGTGAGGCAAACTGGTCCATCATGAGTTCACAAAGGGGATCTATCAATTCCTACGCAGATGGGAGTATCAGCGAATTTTGCGGCGCTAGAATCATACCTCCATTACCTTGGCCGCGTCAAGGATGATGTCCGTCATGCTTTTCTGCTCCGAGAACGCAAACATTGCAAATTTACCACTATGCTGGTCGATTAGATTACAGTCAGCATCCCTTCTCAAGAAAGCTCTAGCTAACACACCTCACGGCTGACGGTGTGACAAGCTAATTCAAGAGCAGTTTGACACACATGAGATGCAAATCGGTGCTTGGAAAGTTGCACCCAGCTGGGAGTGTATCAGAATAGTGCTTAACAACAGAGAAGCCCCTTACGAATCAGCGAGCCGTTCCATGAAGGTCCGACGTGCGAGGTCATCCATAGAGTAACAGAGACGTTCGAGAACAGCGGAACAACGAGGGTCCGTGGCTAACTGGGGCTCCTTCCCAGAAATTTCCGCGAGGACTGAGGTTATGAATGCCGTACGCTCTTGACATGATATGAGTGACAGCAACAGAAGAGGAACCGTGCCAAAACATACCTTCAAGGGGCCTCATGGTATCCGAATATTCGTAAGTAGCTTCTCCATTATTCCATTCTCTTAATTGCGCCTCAATGGTATAGATGTACGATTTGAGGTTAGGTTCTACGATGCCGAAGGGTGCATCAGGATCTGCTTGGGTCGTTTGGCCAGGCTCTGCTTGGGTTTCGCTGAACGACGTAGGGCCACGGGTTTCCCCACTGTGATCCTGATCCTGTTGCTTTAGTTTCTTCTTCCCCCTTTTACGAAGCTCTTTAGGCATTGTGAACTTTGGCAGAAGGATACAGTAATTGAATTGAGCGTTGTGGCCCAACGAGCTTCCTAAAATGGCAACAAGCATGAGCCGTCCAGAACTCAAACCATTTTTTAATGGCGCGTCTAATCGCAATTGTGACTGGTGCCAACACGTAAGATCTTTTCTGTGCGACCTTTCATCTGTTCTCTGACGTGAACGTGCAGTGGCGTTGGCTTCGGCATCTGTCTCCGCTTGCTGATACAGCTGTCCCAGCAGGCACCATCTGATGCTCAGCCGCAGGAGAGGGTAGACCCCAATTTTGCACTCTCATCCAGACCACTCGTTCAGTCTCCTTACAACTCTGCCACGCTTGTTCTGGCCTGTCGCAGTAAGGAACGTGCGTTGGATGCGCGTGAACGTTTATTGGTTGCATTCGACGTTGAACTCCTTCGCCGCAAACGCAATAATCGTGGCGAAGACGATGCTTATGCTCGCCATTTTCGTGACACGCTTCAAATAGATTTCGTTCAATGTGATTTGGCGAGTGTGTCCAGCGTGTTTGAGTTTTGCGATGTCGTTAAGCAAAGGTACCCAGGAGGGTTGTGTTCGCCGTTCCTTGTTGACCGTTCGTTCTAACATCTTGGCAGGTATCCATATATATCACACCTCATTTGTAACGCTGGGATCAGCTGTTTTACCGCGATTGATTACTACGCTGCTACCTGGCAAATTCTTCGTGATCCCCTTGCGGGTGCAACCCACCCGACCTACATTTCGCAGTCATCGGGGTTGATGAGCGACGATGGCCTTGGACTGGTCTGGCAATGCAATGTTTTCTCCCATTATCTGGTTGTAAGTGCATCTGACATGATCTTTCGGTGGACTCAACCACCAGCTATATAATCGCAGCAACGAGAGTTAAAGGAATTGCTATGCGCTGCTCCGTCGGTGGCGCGTGTCATATGGTTATCCTCAATGGGAGCTGCGGCGGGACACAGTGACCCAGAGGATTGGCAGTTGATTCGGTCACTCTCCGCATATCAAGCGTCAAAACATCAGATAGAAATCATTGCGCACCAATTGAACGAGCCGCCCAACCCTCATGTACGGCACATCGTGGTGGGCCCTGGTGCTGTACATTCGGGCATGGGCTCGCAGCTCCTCGGTCCACTCACGAGTCTGATCATGATAATCTACTTCTACATCGTCCGTGTTTCATTGAAAGTTGTCATGAAGTGCAGAACATTAATAGAAGTGGTCATACATAGGTTCGATGGATGGGCTCTCCAAATCATCCGGGACAGGCACGGAAAGGAGCAATCTCCGCAACTCATGCTTCGCTAGCCCCTATTGACCATCTCCCTCCTTCTTCCTCTGCTCCACGCCTCGACGCGCAGACGGATCGACTCGGGAATGAATTTGTCAACGTGTCCCGCACTGACGGACATACAGAAATGTCAGTTGTCGCAGGAAGATTGCTCGAAAGGATTGATGGGCTTTGCGAGACATTCGAAGCCCGGGATGGGAGGAGAGAGGGCGCAGACAACCCTGAAAGTGGATTGGACGGGAGCGTCGTGATTGTCTGATCACCAGTCCATTGACATTTTCTTAACATCTATGTTGTCATTGGCCGTTGTTGCTTCACCTAATGGAATACTTTTATGTCCGGAGCGTTTCCGGGGCATCTGGAACTTCGGAATAGTTCGTAAACCATCTGAAGACTCTGTGCTTCCCGGGCTGCAGTCCTTCTAGATTTCGTGCATGTTGTTACTTTGGGGATTCGTGCATACGCTGAACAACTCACAACTCCTGCGCCAGCGGTGCCCCGCTCTAATCCCTCCAAAAGAGTACAAGCCTTACATATCTCGTTGCTGGAAATATAACCGCATCGCAAACAAGTGCCTGCTCAAACCCTGTGAGTACATGAACAAGGAAGGAGGCCCAAACTTGCGTTGCGGTTTTATCTTGACGTCCTCCTGGACTTGCAAAGCCTCACCGGAGTATATTATGTCAATAATGACGCTCGGTCTTATCGCCTCGAGATCCTTCAAGTAAGCTCGGGCGTGACCACGGTATGCATCAGGCGAATATATGCACTCGGTGGAGAAGTAATCTAACTTCTTGAAGTACGCATACATCACAATTTCCTTCTCGTAAGCGTATTTAAAAGGCTTGGACCGCCTAATAGTGTCTTCACCCGCTGTGGATATCTGGGTACACCGGCCAAGGCGAGCAATGTCTCCCCTCATGACTAGCGAAATTTAGTGAAAAATCTGGTCAGAATGTAATCGTGGCACTGCTCACTGTTCATCAAAATGGTCTCTGCGATGTCATCTGCATTATGACCAGTAACGATATGATCCACTCCTAAGGCCGCGGCACCTCTATCTAAAGCTTGTCGACGGAAAACACCGCAGAATGTGCCTGATCGAAAAGGTTATGCGGTATCGACGCAAGGAGATAGGCCCATACAGTTGTTTTTGCGACCAATTTGCTGGACGATGCGGTCCATCGTCCATCCGTACAGTTCATCGTAGCTCAGAATCTTCAGTGGCAAACCATATTGTACTTGGTTCCTTTTCACAGTCTAGAAAAAATAAATAAATAACACATCTCGAAACTACGGGAGGACACACTTCGAGAGAGTCATCCCGATACCCAGTGATTCCTTCATCGATGGAGAGCAAGACTAACTCCAACCCATAATTATACCGGTCATTAAGTGTTTTCATTACATATGCTAGTACAGTGGAGTCTATAATATCTTTGTTAGTCGCATGCACGGATGGCATGAGTCTTACGAGCCTTTTCCTCCTGATGCTCCAATTGCGACGCGATCTCCAGGATGGAATAGCTCTGCAGCAATGATAGTATTGTGGATTTCTGTCTCAAACACCCAGAAAAAACACTCCTTGCATACTTGCTGCCCAGTCTTTGGTCGTCTGATGATCGCGCGTGTTTCAGAGCACAGAGCACAGAGTTTTGGAGCCATGTCCAATTCAGAAGTTCACACGCTGGTGTCACGTGTAAATCACGTCTCCCGCATTCGGGAGCGCGACAACAATTGTCAACAAAGATCATCAAACATTGTCGTGTTTCTTCAAGCCAACAGCTTTCCACACTTGAGACGTGACGGTGAAAACAAGTCTCTCTCGTTTGTCCTACAGCGAATCCCACTGTTGTACACTACCCTCCCTCCCCTCTTATAATGTCCGCTTCAATCACAGTCGCCGTCCGAGTCCGCCCTCCAAATCCTTGGGAGTCTGAACGCCTACAGTCTGGCTATGACAAAGAGTCCTTTTTCATGGGCGATGGTCATCTCACAACGTCGCCCGCAAAAACTGCACTCACATCAAGATCTCTTCGTCCAATCGTACAGGTCATGGATGACAAGGTCTTGATCTTTGACCCCAAGGATCCGGACGTCCGGCGTTCCTTTGAGACAAGAGGCTTTGCGCCGCCCGGTACTAAACGTTACAAAGACCAGCGTTACACGTTCGACCGCGTCTTTGATATGGACGCACGGCAGACAGACGTATTCGAAAATACCACCAAACCGTTACTCGATGGCCTGTTAGATGGGTTCAATGCGACCGTCTTTGCTTACGGCGTAAGGATAATTAATATTCCAGTTGGCACGTCTCTTATCAGATCCCTATAGGCCACTGGCTGCGGCAAGACGCATACTATCACTGGCACTGAATCTGACCCGGGCATCATTTATCTCACGATGGCTGAGCTATTCCAACGAATTGAAGACAAGAGGGACGAGGTGATTTGTGATGTGTCTCTCAGTTTTCTTGAGATATACAACGAGGAGATTCGGGACTTGTTGGTGGATGGTGACGCATATATTCCTCGTGGGGGGCTTGCAATGAGGGACGATCAGTCGAACAGGGTCACTGTCCCTGGACTTATTGAAATGCGGCCCAAGACGGCGGACGAAGTGAAGGAAATGGTGATGCAAGGGAATGCCCGTCGCACTCAATCCCCAACCCACGCCAATCAGACTTCTTCACGCTCACACGCGGTTCTACAAGTCAATGTCGCACAGACACCCCGAACCGCTGGAACTACAGAGGAGAAAACGATGGCTACACTGTCCATCATTGACCTCGCAGGAAGCGAACGTGCCAGCGCCACAACCAACATGGGCCAACGGATGATTGAAGGTGCCAACATCAACAAATCACTTCTCGCCCTGGGCAACTGCATCAATGCCCTTTGCGAATCAGGCAACCGAACCCGACACGTCCCATACCGCAACAGCAAGCTGACGCGTCTCTTGAAATTCTCTCTTGGTGGGAACTGCAGGACAGTCATGATTGTTTGTGTAGCCCCCGCTTCGAATCATTACGAGGACACACAAAACACTCTCAAGTACGCGAACCGTGCCAAGGACATAAAGACAAAGATTTCCCGGAATTATATCAATGTGGATCGCCATGTTGGCCAGTACGTTGAGGCAATCAACCGTCTGAACGCCGAAGTCTCTGAGTTGAAGCAGAAATTGGCTGGGAAGTTGGACACAGAGACAGAAATCCAGCGGCGGAAGAGAAGGGAGGCTCAGGCAGAGATTTCCCGACTCCGAGCGGACTTATCAGCGAAATCTGAGCAGAGCCGGAGGTCTTTGGTTGATGGCGCCGCCTGCGAAGCTCAGCTCTTCGTAGCGAATGTGCGGCTGAAACCGATCCACGCACGTCTTGCTGCAATCGACAAAATGGACCCATCGTTGCAAACATCTGATGTCCTAGCAGAGCGTTCCTTGCTTCAATTGCTTTCCAGTCCCGACGAGCAGGCCGTCGAGGCTGACTCCTCCCTTCAGCGTCAAATTATGAAATCCGGTAATTGTGCTTCACTCTTCGAGGCCACTCTTCGCGCGGTCTCAGAGCGGAAGTCAGATAGACTTGATGAGTCTGGTGTCGACGCAGTGCGCATCGAAGCGCAGTTGCAAAGAACGGAGATGGAACGGTCCAAAGCCGAGGCTAGAGAGTCCATATCAAAGGCAGCCGTCGAAAGCCAGGCAAACTTCGTCACTGAATTAGTTGGGTTACTCGCGCGTTGCACCGTTATGATGGCGGATGGGAGTGTCACCCTTCAGTCGGTGTTTAACCGCGCCGCAGAGGCTCAGTCTGAGACATACTAAAGGCACGAGAGGTTGCTGCAGCGATGTCTCGGGTTGCTGCAAGTAATGATTCTGCATTCACGGCCCTCATTGGTCAGAGCACAGCAGCATTTCACTCCTCCAAATCTTCTGCACTTCTAAGCTTCACCTCCCACCCTACCCCTTCTATACTAGTTCGAAAGCCGTAACGCGAAGCGGAATGGTTCATCGTGTTTCCCTCTTTGGATGTCGAAGAAGATCCTCCATTGGCATGGGGGGACACGCAATGTCGCCCCGCCGCCTTCCCACTAAATCTCCTCGCCGCCCTCTTAGACAAAGTTTGTCAAGAGCGGAGCCTAAACGCGAGGTCATAAAGAAAAGCGTTCGCTGGCGCGATGAAACCAGCCAGGGCGAGATTGACGACAAGGGTCTGAAGCCGGCAAAGAAAAATTCGCCTATTCGACCTCCAATCGCCCCTTTGGTTCTGCAGCCAGGCATGAATGGGAAGAAGAAGGCTGGAAGCGAATCAGATGGCGAATGGGAGGACGAGCGAACCGAAGACGGGTCTTTTCATCCGCCCTGAGCGTACCTGCACCCCAACCTCCCGCCGCCAAGAGATCCTCGGTGCCATCGAAAACCAGGACTGGTCGCCTGGAACCAAAATTCCTTAAACCGTCACGTCCGTCACCAATGTCAAGCGTGGGCGAAGATGACGAAAACGAGACATGAGTGAGGTTCGGGCGTCCCCATTATCAAACATTGTCAACTCCCCACCACGGCTTACTTCGTACGCTGCGCTTGGGGCGTCTCCTCACGAGCTGCGCCCGGGCGTTCAGCGATTTTCAATACCACACACGTAGACTCCAGCTTTGAAAAGATCAACAAAGCCCCAGCTTCTGTGACCAAGTCTCGACGGAGATCTAACCTGGGCTCTGCTCGAGTGGAACGGTTGTCGAGAAGACGGAGCAGCCTCATCCCCCGACCTTCGCCTCCATCTGCAGCATACGCATATAACCAGCCTCGCAAATCTCCAGCAAAGAAAGTTCGCCGGTCCTCTATGGCGGTGCATTCGGACTCTTTGCTGTCCTTTACCTTTCCCACAGGCAAAGCCGGACGATCTTTGTTTTCGAACTCCCTTTCTAGTTTCACCAATGATATAAGTGCTACTGGCAAGAAAGTTTGGCGGTGAACCGATACCATTCGTTACTCTAACCTTTCGTCGTCGACTTGCATTGTTGTCCACCATCGCATTCGTTATCGTTATGAGTTCCCTTTGTCTTGTCATGTGTCTGCCAGTTTATCATTTATACTACTTGTACCCGTACGTATGCGTATGTTCTAGCTCAAATGGATTCTCCAAACCAACTACATATTTTTGGCTCGATTCGTTTACGGATCATTTCATGGCCTGACTGGTGCTCGACACGTCTCCACGAGCGTGTGAGGTGGTTGAGCTGAATGCTCACTACGACTTTATAATTATAGAGAGAAGCACCATATATATAGGGCAGCATCGGCCTTGGAAAGCTCACTCTCCCCATTAAGTCCTAAGTCATTAGGGCCAACAACTCAGATGCGGCGATGGTAACTTAAGTTCAGTGAGAATGAGCACAGAGGCCAAGCAAACTAGGTTAAGTGCCCCGAGTACCATGCAAGGGTAACAACGTACGTCGCGTGTTCGACGTGCCTGAAGCTAGTTTTTGCAGGCGCGGGGGGCAAGGTTTAAGGAGGAGACAGTCACGTAAGCCATTCACACAAAGTACAATGCAATCATCAAATGATGGCGATAAAGAAATAAACGAGGCATTGGAATGGATGTTAGCGATTGAACAAGGCTTTGTTGCTGGCCCTGCACCCTTCTATGAAGGCGGCTTAGGTGCTAGCTTTTCATGTACACACTACTTCCATTACATTGGCTTGTAGTTCAATATGATCTGGTAATTAAGAGTGATCGAACAGTCTAGGTGAGAGCAAAGGAAGTTCTACATGCAAGGGCATAACGCGTACACAGCATAGGAACAGATGACAGCGATAGAGAAAGCAGAGGAAATAAACAAAATAAACATTGGGAGGGAGTTTGGGTTGAATGAAAAGATGCTTGGAGGGAATCAGCCTTCGTCCCCATCCTTCGTCTTCCCTCCATTTGCTTGTGTAGGTGAAGGGGGTGTCGGTGACTTTTTGTTGCCTAACCCAAGATTTGCCTTGAGCGAAAGTTTGATCTTCTTCACAGCACCGGGTTTGTCATTCGCCTCCTTTGGCGTCGGACAAGACTCCTTGATCGCCTGGGGCTTGGCGTTGAGATCGTCCTTCGTGTCAGTCTCGGTGGCAGGTTTGGCTTTGGCGGCACCTGCACCAACGGAAGGCTTGGGATCCGTGTTGGCTGCCATCGGATTCCGACGTCTACCAAGACTACCTTTGTTTGCTAGGAGGGACATCTCGTCGTCATCATCATCATCCCGTCTGCGTTTCAGCGGAGGTGCACCGACTGAGGGTCGGCGTCCTGCCTGGCTGGTAGCGGCTGCTATAGCTGCTCGCTCAGATGCATCCATCGCAGTAATCGATCCACCACGTTGCCGCTTATGGAGTGAAGGTTCAGGGGTGGGGACAGAGGGTGAGGGAGGTGATGAAGTATGATCTGAAGTGGGGGAGGATTGGGTATTGGATACGAAGGGATTATGGGCTGGCGATGGGCTTGCAGCACGTGGGGGAGGCGAAATGGGCATGGGGGATTGGGGTCGTTCTATGAAGGGAATATCATCATCATTATCGTCGTAGTCTAGCCCCAGACCCCGAATGGGATACGGTTGCGGTACAGCAATGGGTGACGTATGCGACGAAGTCGACATGGAAGGGTTGAGTGTAATGCGACCTGGTTGCCGGACCAGCCCAGTCAGTTCTGCCGACCTGCCGCGTGCGGCCTCTGACCGTGTGACGACACCACCTGAGACCCGCTTTCTCTTGAGGCTCTGCTGTTGTGGCGACGACGGTGCGCCCTTGGCTGTGGACAGTGTGACTAACGAGCGCCAGGAGTCAAAACCTCGCCCTCGGTACCCTCGTGCTCGTCATCGTCATCCGCATTGAAATAGGACTCCTCTTCTGTGTCGAGCGTGCCTTGACCCCATTTTCGTAATGTCGAGGGCTCCTTAGCCTGTTCGGATGGAGAATCGGGCTTCGGCGGAGGAGCATTGATTTGTTCCCAGCGCGTAATGAAGGCCTTGAACCTGGGACCTACAACAGATCGCTCGGCCAGCGCGTGAATTCGCGGGCCAAAATTGTCCATGATGTGAGTAATAGCTACACGTATGTTATCCTATGTGAACCTCTTAGACGCATCCTCCCTGTAACACTGTCTCTGAAAAACTCACCTTTCGAATGTGCTCGAATAGCTCCTGACACGAAGCACTGATGAGATTATCACGACTAGCTTCTCTCTCCGTCAACTCAAGCGTAGACCGAAAGATATCGTGCTTTATCAAATGCCGAGTAATGAACTGATTGTTGGCTTTGATACACACCCGGAAGAACCGCAGCGCAACTAACAACACCAAAATTAGCAACTAGAGACCACAACTGCGAGCAAACACACCTAATCGCATGTGCTTTTCGCGTGTCCGGAGAAGCGTGGCAATATGCGTGGAAATGTTACTTGACAATACAAAGTACTGACTCCGATGCGAGTGCTGAACAAGGAACGTGCACAGTAAATCACACAAATACAAAAACAAAGATGACTGCTCGCGATTGAGCCGTAGAATTTCGCCTTTTCGATGTATACACGATTACTGATCAGAGACCACTCAATGGTTTTGGTGATGACGCCGTATGCTCACCCGTATGTTTCTTCCACTCCGGAATCTCGAGCAATGGTCTGAACATAATAGTTATGCAGTGATCGTAGAAAAAGGGAAAGAAATGCTCGTTGATCGGGTCTTCGCGCAGTCGAAGCACCATAGCCGTCTTCTTACCCGGAGCCGTTGAATGAGCAGGGAAAGCAGGAGGATCAGTATGATATTCTTCTCTCACCAAAGTGACAGAAGGCCCAAAGGGAAGTGTTAAATGAGACAATGAACATACCTCAGGTCCATTGGCATTATGGGCGTCCATATTTGGCAACTCCAGAAGCATCCTAAGCGAATCCCCGATCTGGTTTCGGAACGGTACATCCTTCGTCCCGCCTAACCGGTCCAAAGTGCCTTGAGCAAATTGGGGACCGAAGAACCAATCTCAGCCTTCTTCCTACCCCCCAAACCGCCGCTTCCCTTGAGACCACCAAGGCCCCATTCGTCATTGGCCCACGTCCGATACCAGCGCCACCAGCGGCGGACATAGCGGTGGCATGTTCCCGAGCCTTTTCAATCTCGAATTGCTTCACAATGTGAGAACGCACGCCAGCAACATGGTGGTCGACTACGATAATGAGAACCTCCGCAGCAGCATCTAACAACGCAGCCCGATCTGCGTCTGATATCCAAGCATCCTCGTCCACTCCTGCCGTCTCTATCGACGCTGGCGCCAAAACTGGCGCCTGTGTTTGAGCCTGGTACGAGACTCAGATTGCGATCCAGATCGAGCCTGAGACAATTCGATTTCCTTCCCCTTCTTGAGGGAAGGTGGGGGCAATCTCAACGCCCACTCCAACGCAAATAGCACACCCCGTTCAACAAGCGCACGATACAATGCAATCCGCGTTGGAATCTGGACGTTCTTCCCCATCAAACATAGCTGGTGAATGAACTTTAGCGCATCGACTTTGGAATTTGACGTCCGTATTGAGTGACTCGACGACGACGTTGGCATAACGGATTCGGCATTATTGCCATTCTGTTGTGCCTGCGAGAGGGGGATGGTAGATGCAGTTGGGGAAGCGGGAGGTGAAGGGGCTTGTTCTCTCGCGCCAGAAAGAATAATGGTATTAGGGGGTATGTGTGCATTAACGATCTCCGGACTGGAACAAACGGTTTCAATAAGTCGCTCAGGAACATTGGATCTGCATGATATGATTGATGATATCAATCTGGTTGACCATTATGTAGGAGCTGAGGACATTGAAGGTGGAGTCGTCGAGCACACGCGCGAGGACGACATCTTTTAGGTACTGTAAACGATACGTTTGGTGGATTTTGCGCTGAATGTTCGGGTCTCTAATTTCGATGACTTGCAAATATTCCGAGGAATTTTTGAGGAAATCACGATAAGATGCTTTGTAGGAAGGGAATTCGGGATCATATTCGAGGATACCAACGACGCCCAAAAAGACATCCTCGTTCAAAATATAGTCGTATATCCCATGGTCGTTTATCGAGACTGCATCATCCAGTTAGGCGCTATCAGAGCCACTGAGATAACTGACTCACGGATTGTGTGCATGATGCCATACAGAGCATGCAAGTCACCCAAACTCTCGAGATCCTCGGCTTGCTCCATGACGTCCATGAGCTGCTTGATATAATCCTATGATTCGCCGTTCAATATCAATCACCAAATGAGTTCAATACCGATGACAAACCTCGGTTAGAATATACTCGCTTATTCGTTCTCGGCCATGAATCGTTTTTGCGATGACCTTGATGGCAGTGTCAATATCCCCTATTATCCCGAGCGCTGGGTCAGGCAAGCGTCCTGATGCCACAATCGATGCAACGGTCAAACGGGACTGCGAACTCGCACCAGGGGGTAGCGGCGACGAGCTGGAGTCATCCCCGTCTAAGGAGAAGGCGCCACAATGATTGAGTTAGAGTGATAGGAACGGAGCGCAGGAGGGAGTCACACTTACTCTTTCCGCGAAAATGCCGCTGGACTTCGATTATAAAATCCCAAATCTCTGTACAGCCTTCGACATCTTGGAAACTGAGCGCCCAGTCAGTCCCGTCAGGTTCTGTCCAGACAATAAGAGTTTCTATGGGCCACCCATGAAATTGGTGGATGAGCATGATGTCAGTATAGAAGTCATGCTTATCGGAAAGGCCTCATTGAGAAAGCTCCGAGGTGATGGGTTGCGATACTCATGACTAAAGCGTTTAGAGTTTGGCTCTCACCTTGTTGACGTTGATATACATCCGACATGCGAACTTCCGATCGCAACAGCTCAGTGTCTCCAATCTCTGCTTTAGCGATGATGGCGGCTTGGTCGGACTCTTCATCGTATATCCCAGTGCACAGAGCAGTCCCCCTGTCCGTCCATTGTGTTCCAACAAGTTCGTAGACCTGCAACAGTAAAAAGACTATTAACTTGACTTGGATATTGAACAGGGGAGTAACGCGCCTTGACGCGGCGCATATCAGCCATCCAATCATCGGTAGTCCATTCTTGTTCATTATCAGAACTTGAGCCTCCTCCATTGATATGCTCCTGTCCATCGGAGCCGAAGTGTTCTGCCGAATGTGGCGGATCGTCATCGATATCCATGTCATCTGGATGGGCAGAATCCATTTGCTGTATGGGTCTTAAAGGTACGGAAGAGGGACTCAAACCAGTCTCCGAAGATGACGTGTCATCATGTTTATCCACGTCGGGCTGCTTTGGGGAGCCGGGCGGTGTGGGACTCACGCGTGGCGAAGACACAGGAGTCGGAGGAGGTGAGCGCGCAGGCATGAGCTGGGAAGCCGGGAGAAAAGCCTAACAGAGTAATGATAGATGGAAGCAGCCAGCCGGTATGTTCATGCGCTCTTTTCGGATAGGTGTGTCGACGACACGAAGGCGGAGACAAGCCGGCACGCACGCGCGAGACGAAAACAGTTAAATCGTGTCGTCGTGACGAGTGTTTTCTCGGCAGATTCCGGCTTGGGGATTGTCAACCCGAATTCAAAACAAAGGAGCTTGACAGAAGAGTGCTATGAGGATGCTTTCCAGTGCGGTTCGTTCCCTAAGGCATCGACTACTCTCAACGCTCTCTTCTGCCGCAAGGAAGACGCCGCTTGTTGGGCAAAGTTTTCCTGCAGCCGTGACTCGAATGTCGGTTTGTTTACCGTGGTCCCTTACAGCCGGGAGTTATCTCCGAACTCCACCTAAATGAACGGCACCGATCGCGTGGTTAACGGCGATCTCCTGAATTAGATCCGATCAACCCGGCGCTTATCTGCTATTCGCGGACATCTACCGTTGGTTGCTTAAATCATTAGTCTAACATAGTGGCGTGCGCACTTTTCCTCGTTGTAGAGCGGTTCTTCAGGCTTAGTCGACGATTGAGGTACGCTGGAGGGCGATGGCGAGTCAGCTTCTATAGTACTACTACAAAGACCCCACTCCGCTATACAATCTGTGTCCAATGACATTCTCATTGTCGTCTCATCGTCCACATCCATCAGCATGGCACGAACCCACCTGTTGCTGTCCTGGCAGTGAGGCGCGTTCTTTTGTCAGTTCAGAAGTTGCATCATATCCCATGCACGGTTACAGCGATATAGGCAGCCAAATCATGGCAGACTGCGAGAGCAGGCCAACAGCGAGTCTGGCGATCATCCTTTCCCTTTATGCCATTTAGATCTAGGCGGTCAGATACTACAACTTCTTAACATCCTTGAGCTGGCATCGCCTCAGCGAACCATCTGATCTATTGCAGCGAAGACCACAAATGGACAAATAGGTATCTGGCCACCCGCCCCCACCTGGAGCGGGGCGACTGGAATACGATTGCCGCCGGCCCAGATCCTTTGACGCTAAGAGTGCAAAGAAGTGAGTTTCTGACCCGTCGTGCAGTGAGAGGGAGCGATCATGATACACTCAGATTGTGATAATAGATCTATTTTATTGCCCGTCGACGTGGCAGTGCAGCTATCCCGGCACGGCTATTGTTTGTATTTACATGCATTTACATCGACGATTTTACGTCAAGAGTCTATCGCCATCCAGCGCCATCCCAGCCAAGCCATATCTACCATTTGGCAGCTGGGCACCTGTTAGACTGATCACAGGGACTCCTGGATTTCTTGATGTGATGACCAATGAGTGGCTCACAAGCCCACGCGATCGGCTGATGAAAATTCAAACTCTCATAGCAGTACTTAATTCGAACTCAACAACTTCCCACTCACAACCACCACCATGAAGGTTCGTAACCACCCGTTGCAACGATGTTTTGTCAACGTTCAAACCCCAACTCAATAGATTCTCACGCAAGAAGAAGCTGATGAGTGCGTCACAATGCGTTTGCCGGCCACAAGCTTGCAAGCGCACGTCACTTTCAACAGGGTCGCTCATCTCATCCTATTTGCTTGTTTACAGGCATTACAGGGTCGTACTTAGAGGAGGCGCAGAAGGCTTCGTGTACTCCTCACTCGTAGCCTTTCCACTTTCGTACTACCTTCACAGAGCATGGCCTGTAAGCGCCTTTCATCGGACTTCAACTCTAGCCCTTATATTTATTAAATCCTTCCCTCCAATACCCACCGGATAACCCATCAATCATCACCCACCCCACTGATGAATCAAATAACTCGTTCATTCTAAAACGCCGGGAATGCGCGTGGACTCAGTACTATCGCAACCTTCCTCTCTCCCTCAAAGCCCTGGGTGTTGTGATACTCACAATCCCCGCTTCAGTCATCAAAGCCGAAGTCGATGGCAACGCCTGGGAACGTTCCCGCTGGAGAGACGCTGGTGCTCTAGAGATCGACGAACTCCAAAAACGCGAACAGCAACGCATCGCGAACCTGGGTGGGAAACAACGATGGTTGCATTGGGCAGCTCAGAGGAAGTACAGCATTGTTGGGGCCAGTTGGGCATTGAGCATGGCAATTGCATTTGGACTCGTTATGAGAAATCCGTAAGTTAATCCATACCTGTGCTTTGACTGGGCATATAGCGTCATAGTGGAAATTGATAGTATATACCTTACTCTTCTTCCATAGATATCAAACATTCCCGCAGAAACTTGTCCAAGCTCGTATGTGGGCACAAGGCCTCACCGTTGGCGTCCTCCTTGCCACTGCAGGTCTATCCACCTCAAACGCCCCACGCCACATGTCAGTTGACCATTCCTGGGCATTCATGGTGGGTGTTCCGCGACTTTATTATTTCACCTCTTAGCCGTCTGCTTACATGCATGCATCACTCATACAAGCTCGAAAAGCAAAGGATGGAAAAAGAGGAACAAGAAAAGAAGCTCCGAATTCCGGCGAACGGCCCTGATGTCCCCAATAAGTAGTCAATGCTGAGGTGCAAAAAATGACATGTACAAATTGGGCGTCTGGTCGACTTTCCGAGGTTTTTGTTTTCCGGCGCCAGTGTATTCTATAATTGTTGTCGATGCGTTTTCTCTGTATGCAGCCTTACATCCCCCCTCCTGGATTTTTTTAACGTAAAGCAAACGCGAATCAAAAATGTGGTTGTATATGTGCCCTGGGTCGGGAAGCGGACTCGGCTCAAGTGGGGCCAGCAGCGAATGCAACCGCACAAGGCCAGTGGTGCGACCTGTAACCGTTCCCGTAACTAGGCTGAGGGTGGGGTGCCAGATGGTGCTGAAATAGATGATCAGCACACGGTCGAGCCAGTCCAAAGGTATCTTGGTTAGAGCGAGTGGCACTGCCTGCGCGCACTGTCAAACATGTGATGAAAGCGTCGAGCAACCAGAGGCCTCATTGACACATGTAACGTTGAAATCTGGCATTGCGCACTGTCAATCATTGTTGAAATATTTGTAACAGGTCCAGCTCGCCGTCGCGTGCATCTGTGCGTGAGCAGAAGTATGTGAGCTTGAGACCGTGACACTTGCAACAATAAACTGGACTTTGTGAGTCGGCAAGGTTGGCGAAGAATGTAATCATTCCATGAATAGATTAGCCTCATTCCAGCCCAGATGTTGGTTGTCCGGTATCGATGAGTTGGAAGATCGGTCCCCAGCACCAGGGTCATCACCCGGCGCTCAGACAACCCCTTCTTAGGCATGGTAAGACTGGTTTTACAACACTCCAAGAGCAAACCCTCCTATCTGCATTGTGGAAGCCAGAGTGCACATTGGATGCGGTAAGTCCAGAAGTGCACAGAGAGCAGGCACGGAGCGGGTAAACTGGCGTAGGCACGCGCTAATAAAATGCAAGTAACCACGCAAAGGACCAGTGAAAACTGAACTGGGCAGCGTACGTAGGTTACAGGGCTGGAGGCGACTTAAGTACCAGCCAAGCAATACAGCGCAAGCGCGAAGGCAATCAGAGCAGATGGAAGGACAGAGTGCTTTGTCCCATCCACAGATGCAACTTGAACCATAATGCAGCCCAGACCCGGGGAGGGTGTCATCCTCAGCGCTGCCGGGTAATTCCCAGCAACGAATCCGGCCCACTCCGGCCCATCACTGACTTTGGCAGCGAGTATTCCAAGAAAGGAAACAAGAGTAGATCTAGCTATACGCCGCATCAACAAACGTGAATCACGGTTGGCCTCAGCGTACGCTACGATCCCAAAAATTCTAATACAGAAAAATTTGCAGGACCCGCTACGGGATAGCGGGTATATAGCATTTTTATTAGAATTCTTACGTTTGTTGATGGCGACGCTCATGATCTACGCTTGTTTCCTTTCTTAAATAGTCGCTGCCAAAGTCAGTGCGCATTCATGGCACCTGGCTATAAAAGCAGGAATTTTTGGGTCCTTACGACTTTTCCTCAGTTCACGTACAATGGGACTGAGCGATATAACTCGCTAGTCCTCCATTTCGTCTTATAATTTTTGTGCAAGTTAACGAACATGTATAGTCTATGAGGGGTTATCGGACGTGATGCACCGAAAGACCACAAGTCGCACTGGTCATTTCCCGTGTAATTGGGAATGGTACAAATCTGGAGCAAAGTGATCCACAACTGGATGGATGTCTAGATACCGGGATTATCATAGTTAACTGCAGAGAGTGTCTGCAAGAGACGCATAAAATTAGCAACCCAGGCTCGTGCACAACTCGAGACACCAATATTGATAGTTCACGCACCACATTTCTTGACTCAGAAACAGCGAAGGTGACGCCCCCCGGATCTGACGTGAGATAGATCTCTGGCCAACATGATCCCACACGGCTGATAGCTTTAGCTTATCTGTGTGGAAGTATCCCAAGTGAGTGTCGCCGTGCAATGTGGATAGAGAGGCCCTTCACCGCTAGGGCATGAATCCCTGAAGGAGACACTCACTATGATTAGTATCCACCCATTCGGGTGTGATATTGTTAGTTGAAGGATCGTAGAGCCAAAATCTCGTCTCGTAGCTCAGTCCAGGAACGGAGGCTGCACCACCAGATTGAGGGCCGTCACCGGAATTAGCTGCACCCGACGTCCAAGGGAAATTGATGGAATTAGATCGAGCTGGATGAGTGCTCAAGGATCGACGTACTTTGCACTGAACTCCCCAGAAAAACAGTGATCGCGTTTAACGCACCGAGTTTAATATTCGGATCGACGAGACCTGCCAAATAGGGACGGGCACTCAGAGGTTTCGCGCTCTGGAGAATTGCGTTTGGAAAACAAACTCAATGGAAGAAAAGACAACGCACCAAGCCATTCTCACTCTTGAAGCTCACGGGAGTGACACCATCTTGATAGAATGTGGTCGAGAAAGTATCGGCGTCGGTCGCCTTACTAACTACCATGTACCTATCAATCAAGAGACAGGCAGGTGTCAATTCAGATGCGACATAACTGAAGAAAGCGGACGAAACACCCACCGATCAGCACTACCATCGGTCGGCCGGAGGTATCCAGGATTTCCACCAAGGGGGTCTGCACCAAGGGGGTTTTCACCAGGGACGAGATTTACTTGAATTCTGCCGGTCCAGGCCGTTGTGCCGCTGACCTGTGCCCTTTTGGCAGCTAGAGACCAAACCGCATTACAGTCACACCATACATCTTCGTGCTACGCGTCAATGAAGGTGGCTGCAGACTTACTGTCAGATCGTGAAATATTCACATTAAATCTCCGAACTGGCGGTAAAGGGGGCAAGCCCCTCGCGAGTCGCTTCGCGTTCGTTCCCCCGTACACAGGGTCCCGAAGCTGAGGTGCAGGGCGGCGTAACACCTGCCGTTGGGGAAAAGGGAAGGCGAAGACGGATGCAGTGAAGAGGAGAAGCAAACAAAGGGCAACGCGCCTGAACATGTTGGAAAACCCCGCCGTAGCTTGAGGGCGGACGAGTGACCAGGCCAAGCCCTTAAATGAGGAATCCAAGGTAATCTAAAGAAATTTGAAAAATCTTGATGGCGAAATATTAAATATTGATCTCGCTTATCCCTCCATATTTGCGCCAGTGGGCACGCACGTATCGACATTATCAGTATAGTTGTGCGGTGCACAGAATTGCAGCACGTTGCGCGTCTAGAAATTCGAGGTACGACCATTATTCGGGTGTTATGTTCGTCGAAAAGGAAACGTGGGCGTGGGCGGAAACCGCTGTACCAAAGGTGAACATGGGACATACATAGTGAGGATATATTGCATGAGAAAGCAGCTGGTTCGACCCGCCAGATGTCCACGCGGTACATCTAACTGGTGACATTTTTGGGCCCTAGTGATTGAAAGACAGCAACGGTTGACGTCGTGAAGCCATGATATGTCTTAGCCATTTTTTCGATTATGTACTCATCTTAGCTATGTGTTCCCAGCGTATTGCTTGATCTGCGCTGGTTAATTCACTTACATATATCACGTCAGTCCTTTGCACTCATAATTCTTTCGAACCGACACTAGCGCTGGACAACGATAGGATGCAGCCAAGTGGAGTTGTCCGAATTATATTGTCAATGCCATATTGTCATATTGTCATATTGTTCGCTTATGGCTCTAGCCTCCATCATCTCCATCTCTTCTCCACCATATGAATAATGATTCCTGTACTGGCAACACATGGATTGAGGACGATCTACTTATATTGTCCTATGCTCAGTGCATATGTCCCTCGCATCAATTTGATTGACCTCTTGAAAGTACTACTACACTGATTTGTGGTCGATAATCCAACAAGAGCCACAGCTGCTTTCTGCTTTGGCCTTGTCAGTCTAGAGATGTCACCGGTTCGAATAGGAGCTACATAATTGAACATGCCGACTCGCTGGCAGGGCCGGGGGGCGTTTCGCTTGCTTTCAACACCCGGCGCTTTATGCGGTTAAACGGTCTCCTTCCGAAGTGTCGAGGACTGCAAAGACTTGTGGCACCACTTGCAGAACCCCCAAAGTATCGGTCTATGGACATCAATCTGACTTCGGATCTGGTACAGAGCAAAAAAAGGAAATTGATCCACAGCGGCTGATCTTGTCGAGCTGCACCACCATACAAGTAGCACTATTTGTTCATGCTCCCGCTCGTGGGCACAGTACTGTTTGATTCAAGGAGTTATTGTATTACGTAACTCCACTCACCCGATACATAACTGTGTTGTTTCGGATAACGCTCTCGCTCTTGTGGAGGCTATTTGTATTTTACCTGTTTTTCTCCGCAACAGTTCAGATACGCTCTCAGACGGGGTATGGTACTCTGCAGTTGAACACCCCGGGGAATACGACACTGAGCGGCTGAATGCTGACGTTATTAAATCGACACGCGCAATGCACAATCCCTGCTGTTCGCATGTTCAGAATCCCAAATAGAGGTTGCGAGCTTTGTCGCCACTTTCTGTCTCGTGCTTTAGTTTCTCCCACGATTTCATCCCATGACTGTCCCTTCTGGCTTACCACCTTTCGAATGTGTCCCATAGACTCTCGGATGCGGACGGATGTTAGGTCAGACCGCACGAACGGCTTTTTTTGCGTTCTGAGGACTCAAAAGGAAAGCCCAGGATTTATTCGGATCGTGATCGAATCGTTGAATTGGACTGTTCTAAAATTTACATATCACTGAACAGTAGTGCGTGAAGCTTCACCCCCAAGCTTCCCGCTTGGCCCTCCTCTCTCCAGCAGTAGATCTTAGCTACAACGTTGGCAGCGCGTGCCTTTCTGCCTCCTCTCAGTTGTGTTTGGATTCCCGCAGTTTCCCTTGCGTTCTCTCTTCGTCCGCGCCCGACCATGGCAAATGGATGGTGCCTCCTTTGTTGTCAGGATTTCAGCGAATTAGGGCGATGGACCCGTACACGTGTTGGACGGTCCACACACGTTATCTGCACCTCAATGGAAGACGAATATTTTTGATATCGTTGGGGATGACGGGAAGTCTCCCAAATTCACTGTCGTTCAGGTGGGCATCCGTAATTTGGGAACGGTTTCCTTGTTTTTTTTTTTTCGCTCTTCCCTCTGTTGATCTTCTTTCACAATAGATCAAGTCGTCTCCGTCGGCAGCCCAAAAAAGGCAATATATGATATGCCAACCTGGTATGTTACTACTAGCCATATGGAAATTTGCTGTTGTTGTTCCGTGCTTTCACCCCCCTCTTCTAGCTCGTACATTTATGATCTTGCTGCTGGCATCTACGATTTATCGGGCTGTTCCATTCCGGGAACGTACCGCATTTCTTTGAAGCCTACTACCTAGCAATTTGTTCAACATGGTGGGAAGCGTGTCGACGAGGATCCTTGGGAATGGTAACTATTTCGGCTAACGTCGACCGTCGCATCCTCGGGATTTTTCAAAGCATGCAAAAAGCATTTTGTCTCATCGTTCAGGCGCAAAGAGCTCAAGTCAATGTATTTGCCGCGGTTGCTTACGACCACAGTCCCGATTGCCCAGCTATATGCTCAAAACCCATAGAACTACCCGACCCGTCACGTACCACACCGCGGTATGGGGCACAGTTTGGGGCTTGGACAACAACGATTGCCTACGGGGTATGGCACTTGCGAAAAGGAATCCCGACGATGCCACAATGCTGAGTCTTCATTTTTTGTCGACTCGTTGCGTTTTAATCGTTATGTGCAGTTCCGCTGCTCCATGATGGCATGAGTATTTTGCTGAGGATTCCCCTCATTTGAACTGAAATCGGTTCATTGTCGTTGGTCAAATTTGTGTCCGCAAATTGCCGTTATTTCATATCGTGCCGGTGCAAGTGTCAACAATCACCCCTTTTTTGCCTTATGCTACCGCATTGCAGCCCCATGGTCGGGGAATGTTGACCGCTGCTGTTTCCAAATATTTAAAGTTTACAAGATTCGTCGCTTTATGTCGACCGTCGCGGATGCGTGCAACGTGGTCAGAGGATGGACAGCATTGATAAAGGGGAACACAGCATACGTAGATGTGATATGGCTATGGGCGGCTGTGTTCTGATCGTCTATGTTCCATTATGGTGATAAAAGGTTAACTTCGGGCCTCACCCGCTGTGGCATTGGTCATCACCAGTGCCAGCCAGTACCAGCTTCCACATGCTCTCGTTTCCATGCTTTGCCTCATACCTGAGTCGTTCCTCTTCCCTATCATTTTGGCTTCCAGGGACTTCCACCATTCGTATAAATAGCCGGCTGCACTTCCTTGTGCTTTGACTCTTTCCTCATTGTTGTGACAACTAACATGCTCTTTGGCGGCTTTTGGACTATCCTCTCGCTCGTTGCTGCAGTCAGGGCTGTAGCGGACCCTCCTCTTCATCTTACCATCCGGACGCCTGACGAACTTTACGATGCCACTGCACTCGTCGCGACGGTCAGGTTGAAAAACGTTGGAAATAGAACGTTGCGGCTGCTGAATGATCCTTACTCCGTCCTGACACCACATTGGGAAACGAACATTTGGGATATCCGGAACGGACATGGAGGTGTCCCAGAGTTCAATGGCGTCCAGGTGTGCTTACTTTTGATCTACCCAGCTGATGGGGGGTTGCTCCACTACTGGCCAATCCTCGCTGAGTAGCAATCGCACCGTTCCGTATTACTTTTAGGTGAAATGGTCGCCGGCTCTCGCAGCGGCTGCACAACAATATACTGTTCTCGTTCCAGGCGAATCGAGGACATACACACACAAGTTAGGCGAGAAAATGTACAATTTTTCAAGGTTGGGAGCCCCAAGAACGTACACCGTCTTGCTTGGCGGTTCTTCTCGATCTTTTATTCACGTCCCAGACAATGGCGTTGGTGACAAGTTGAATCTGGAGACTGTCACGTCCAAGGTGGAAGTACTGGGCACTCCTTCCACCATCATTCTCGGAAGGACGGTCCCACCTGTGAATACTCTTCGGTCGCCACGTTTGTCCAAGAGGATTAACACATTTCAGAGGTGCGAGCTGTGTGGGATTTGCCTCGCATATGATTCGCTAATCTTGATATTTAAAAATTCGTGGGTTCCAGCTGCAATGCTGATCAAGTGGTCAATATCTCTCGGGCGGTTTTCGTTGCACAGCAGCTTGTCAACGAGTCGTATCACTATTTGACTTTTCACGCGACAAATTGTTCATATCCTCGCTATGAAACGTGGTTTGGGAGCTGGACAAAGCAACGTGCCGATACTGTCACATCACACTACAACGTATTTCCTTCACTGGCGTCTTCCTATCGCTTGATGTTTTGGGCTAACATGGACCTTCGACATGTTTAGCATATCCGTAATGGCCAGCTGTTCAGCGATACGTATAATTGTTCCTGCGACGATCCGGGAATCTATGCATATGTCTACCCTACTGAGTTTGGGACAATTTATCTTTGCTCAGCGTTTTGGTCGGCTCCTATTCAAGGAACGGATTCCAAGGCGGGGACACTGATCCATGAGTGCGTCACCCCTACCTCACCCTGATATCCTTAGGACTTCTTCAAACCTATTTAGGTCAAGCCACTTCATCGATAATGGAGGTACACAGGATTTCGTTTACGGACAAGATGGTTGCAAGGCGCTTGCTATACAGAATCCATTAAATGCAACAAATAATGCTGAGTAAGTTTTCTTCCCCTGGTCTTCTCCTTGCTGATTTCGGGGCAGTTCGCATGAATATTTTGCAGAGAACAACCCTTATTTGAATTGAGTATCATGTTTTACACTACGATCCTTTTATCGAGATTCCGCCACACTCTGCCTCCAAGGACGCTCAGATTATATACAAGCCCCTCACCTGATTTCTGCATTGGCCTGTTTATTCCCAATTCTTGCTGATTACTCTTTGCATTCCCTCCCACGTCATTTCCTATGTGATAAATGCGTCCGATTTATTCGTTGTATTGTAGATACAGAATTTTTAACCATTACAAGCGAGATGCCCTCATAGTTCGGCCGAATCGCTGACATTAGCATTATCCTGTATCTCGATACAGTCTGAAACGCATCAGCATTGTTGTCATATCAACCTATAGTATTACCGCCGCGACCGAAACCGGCAGCGACTCTTGTAAATTTGAGTTGCATCGTTGAATCGCATACGATTCGATTAGCCAGACATCCCAAGTCCGGTCTCGAACGCCAACTTCCCAACTGAAGATCTCAGCTTTGCTATGATATGACATTGCCCTAGTCGGATGTGGATCATACAGTATGCAGGATCCCAGCCTCTACTCAAGCAGAATCATACAGATGGAAGTGAAGTCGGTCAAGTTCGTTCATTATGCTAGGCCTTGTGGCTGGTTCGACATTTGCGAGACTCCTTGGTTCGACCAGATTCACGGATCTTCACTGAGGCTCATTCACTCACGAACTGACGCCCCACTGGCATTGTCGAGTCCACCGAGGCCATCCAGTTCCTCACGGAAGCATCGTCATGGAAGTTGATGATGCGTCCTCGCCTGCCCTAGAAGTGTATGTTAGTCCAACTCGTCTTTCCCCTCTTCATGAATCATATACGATGGGCATACCACCTGAATGGGTAACGAACAGCATCGACACCATGGGGTCCGGCCATCAGAAAGCAGTAGAAAAGTGCCTAGTGCCGAACGCACGGAACAAAGCTAAGTATGTGTGACGGGAAAGAGGAAAGGAGCACCGTAACGGGGACGGGGACAATGAGGCGATGAGGATGCAAACCGCCCCAAGAGGCGAAGTGGATCGCATGTCCTTGTTACGTTCAGCTCTCCGGCTCTATGATGATGATCTTCAGACTGCATGGGAGAAATTCCATCAGTGGTGTGTAAATTTGTGCACTCTGTGAAAAATCTGTGAGTAGATACTGGGGTACCCTAAATCGTAAAGGGAAAGAGGTGATGCGGTCAAAGGGGTTATCTAAATATCTAACCCTCTTCCAGTATGTTATTCTGATATTGCTTGGTGCCATGGTAAACACCCTGCTGAGACCAACGGATCTCCCTGGGAGCTCTTCCAGTAGGGGCCGGTCCAATCCTTCAATGTGGCCACCACATGCAGTTGAGTGGCTAGGTTATCGTGAGAAAACAGCGTTGAAGCCTATCGAAATCCCACGAAAACTAGAAACTCGCCTAAGGCACCTCCTCGAGCGCTCTAAACGGGGTGTGGATGCTGTCGGCGAAACTGGCTCTGAGCTCCAAGAATCCGTGAGTCAAGGAAGTTACGACAGACGGCTAAAACGCTATTGCTAAAACGAGGAGAACTATTGCTCACGGAATTATAGGACTCTCCGCATCAGCAAGCTTTCAATCGGGTCATGGTGGACTGTCATCCCAATGACCAGCACGCTGAATGCATCGTTTGATACGTTTTGGTGCCCGGATCTCTGCAAATCGGGTACGATTAAGATGATGACGTTCGGTTGTGTCTCACAAGGGCTTCTCAAAGTCTCCGTCCAAAAGGACTCCGATCCCCGGAAAATTCGATAGGGATAAGTACTGTAACATTATATATAGTCTTCTTTCCTCCTCCAAAATCCTCCGTCAGAGGGCTGATGCCATCGCGGAGACCAGTGCTTCTGCAAAGAGATGGGCGCCAGATGACCCAAGTCCTCCAATACTTTGTGTGGGGTCCCGAAACGCTCATGAGATCCAAATGGAAGTTAACTTCCCTCGAGGGTGCGACTTCTCGCCCATAGAGCACAACGATCCCCATAGCATCCGAGCCATAGCGTTGTAAAGGTACCGCGGTGGAGTGCTGTTAAAGTTGGAAGAGCTTCTCCCTGGAGGATGGGATGCTGTGGAACAATTAATCTGAGGCTTAGATTCACGTTACCAGCATCTATTGCAATAGAATTCGAGGTAATTCAATGACGACCGGGTATTTCAGTAAACTCTTAGTCCATGAACGCCGACGGTGATGAACAGCTAAAATCTCTTATAGAGGCCCTTAACGTATCTGGTCGTGAGCTTGTCTCAGGGGAGATTGAAGGTGATTCGGGTTTCTAGTATTGCCAAAAAAACATCACAGTTCGAAGTTCGTTCACAGCTTTACAGTCCATTTACGGAGCAGATGCAATAACATTGCATGCTGACTCTGAAATTGATCACTCATCTTCGCTTCGATATAATGTTCTCTTGACGTGAGATACAATGCTTTTCTTGGGTGTTTCCTTTTGTTCTAAGTATGTTGTTCGTACTGTTCAACCTAATCCATACCTTGACAGCCTTGAACCAACTTATGAGGATGTTTCGTTTCGAATTTGTGTCTCCATTCCTCCCCGATACCCGGAAGAGTGTCCACCTCAACTTCAGCTCCTTTCTCGTTATATCGGTAGCTTTGGGGTCGATACAGATTTGTTCGGTATCGTCACTCGTGCCTTCATTTCTACCGCTGGGGTTCCTTGGTCTCCTGGAGATGTGTCAGTCTTCGATGGATTGGAGAGCGTTAAAAACATTATATATGGATGGTACGAAACTCGTCTTAGCGAAGCGAAAGTTGTCCAGCTCGCCCGAGAGGACCAAGTTGGGGAACGTTCTCACTCTCAGAGTGGCGAGGTGCCTGGAAATTTGGTTACTGGATCAGGACCTTTAGCCCCCCACGCCGTTTCCCAACTCCCGCCTGGAGTTGAAATTGTAGAAAGCCCACCTATCCAGGACCGGGGTTCGGTCTTCGTTGCTCGAGTTTGTCGGATTGATCGTCCATCTCAAGTGAGAACTCGTTAACATCGATGCCTGCGTGTTTTCTTCCCTGAATGCCATCGTAGGTGCCATTGATTGTTGAGAATATAAGGTCGGATCGTCGGATCGCCCGTGCTGCCCATCCGACTATCCATGCGTGGAGGTGCACGGATAATGGTGTCCTCCACCAAGATAATGACGATGACGGGGAAACGGCAGCTGGGGGCAGATTAGCACATCTGTTGCAAATTCTTGTAAGGATATGTTCCCTTGATTGTGTAAAACTATGCTCACATCGATCGTACCTTTTAGGAGGTTGACCATGTGTTGGTAGTTGTGACTAGACATTTTGGTGGTGTTCTCTTGGGAGCCGACCGGTGCGTACGTGACGAGAATGAGTGTTGTCCCTTCCAAGCTAACTTTGGTGCTACACTCAGCTTCAAACATATAAATCAGTGCGCTCGTGACGCTCTAGAGCTTGGTGGATTTGTGGCTGATGAAAAGCAACCACGAAGAAGCCGCAAACCGGCGAAAAAACGAGCATAGAGACGTCCACCTTGTCGACTCGGGCTACAACTCAAGGGAATAGTTTAGATGTCGAGTTAAATGGATTAGGCTTTGGCTTTTCTGATGCACGGCCAAGAGTGCTGCCATGCTGCTAAAAAAATCTCAAATTGGAGACCAGAGGCTTCGGAAACGCACAACGTGCACCCACTGGATTGCTTGCGCTACTCTATTGCTCGAGGAGCGCGCCGAAATCAGTGGCAACACGATCGTCTTAGTGATGTGTGCTGCTTCGCAAATCACGAGGCAATAATGCTTCCACGCAACATAGTGGAAGCTTGACAGAACAATGGACGCCTCTGCACCATCTGATCGATCCACACCTGGTGGACGAGTTCAGTCCTTAGTTATTCTGCCCCACCAGATCCTTTGGTGGCGTTCTCTTGGGAGCTGACTGGTGTGTATGCGATGAGGATGAGTGTTAGCCCGCTCGAGCTTACTGTGGTGCTAGGCTCAACTCCAAACATACAAATCAGTGCAGGGCTTGGTGAATTTTTTAGCCGATGACAAGCAACCACGGAGAAACTGCAAACCGGCAAAAAAGAAGAGCATAGTGACGTCTGCCTTGCTGAGTCAGGCTACAACTCGAGGGAACGGTTTGGAGATTAGAGCCTAGCTGTTCTGATGCACAGCCAAAAGTGCTGCCATGCTGCTAAAAGAATCTCGAATTAGAGATTGGAGGCTTCAGAAACGCACAAAGTGGACCCACTAAATTGCATGTGCTTCTTTAGTGCTCGAGGGGTGCGCCCATATTGGTAGCAGCAGGATCGTCTCAGCGATGCATGCTGCTTCGCGAATGGCGACGCGATAACGCCTCTGCAGCATCTAAGAAGACGTCGCGGATCGATCCACGCCCGGTGAACGAGTTCAGTCCTTAATCATTTCTCCCCGGTTCCATTTGACCATGATGTGGCCTGCTTTAGACCTTCTCTCTCGGGTACAAGCCACACGGACTAAGCAGCGGAATGCTTTGATAATATTACCTCCGATACTCTGACACTCTGCTTCCGCCAACTGCTTGAGCTTGGGAGATCAGTCGGCTGCATCAGAGTTACTTGGAGTGCTTCCGGATGGACAAGAGACGCCTAGTTTTAGTGACATATTGAAAGGGTGACATACGCACGTGTGCTGGGGGCGTTCCTCTTCAATATTTCCATTAGCAGCTTCCTGGTTCCGCTTTTGTCTTTGTTTCGGGTGATGAAGGATGGAAGAAATCGCTGATACTCCTCTTTCGGTTGTTTTCGCTCCTCTGTTAGGAGGGCCCGCTCCACCCGCAAACCTGAACAGCAACACGTCCTTCCATTTCCTATGACAAAGATGAAGGTAATGCTTGCAATCGAATTTTTCACTCCCAGGAACGATGCGCCTCAGATGATAGATATACGAAAGGACACAATTATCTGCGCCTCACCTATATGGATCACGATCAAGATTGCAGAAATCGAGGTCACGGTATTGAGGCGTCAGGAGAATTCTTTTGTCTTGCGGCCAGTGCGCGTCGCGTGCCTGCAGAACCTAGTCCGGTTCAACAACTGGATTATACTTTTACGCCTCTCCATGGTATGCATGTCTATCGCAGTGCGGCAGCAGTAGTATCCGGTGCGCCGTTCATGGGAGCTCAATCTCAGCGACAACGAGGTGGAGCCTGTTATCCGCCTCACCACCCGCCCCACCACATGTACAAACTAGATTGCAGCATGAATTACGACGTTTCTGCTAGGTCGGACAAATGATCACTGTGGTGACCACGCACTCTCAAATACTCATAAAGTTTAGGAGTCGCTCTCCCAATTCTGCCCTAATATCCCAATTAAGTGTATCTGAGATACACATTTGATGAGGCTCTGTGTGATGTCCATGCTGGGTGCTAAATCTGGGTGTTTTGTTCGAAACAAAGAACATGTGTGTGCTCTGCATGTTGAATATATATATAGACATGTATATATATATAGCAATGAAACTGGCGATTGCAACAAATAACTGCCACGCGGTATACAGGTGGGGTAGGCCATGTAGCACAGCTGTGTGATCAGAGAAAATCGTTTAGCGAGCAATATACACATTGCATATATACAGAATAATGGTAAAAGCAAGGGTATGGAAGAGTGGTATACACAATGAGAGGAAAAGGAAAAGTCCGTTCTATGGGCGTCACATAATGATACAACCTGGCTGACGATCCTCCTTGTCCTTGTCCTTCTTCTTTTTCTTTCGCGATCGGATAGTCGGTTTAGTCGGCGGCGACGATGTGGGGTTGGGATTCGCGGAAGGGGGTTGTCGCGGCACGGGTGCTGCGGTTGTTGGGGCATTTGGACCTCTGGGGAATGCAGGTCCACGGAGCTGCGGCGGCAAACCATCCACGGGTCCCGCCTTCCGACATTGTCGGATGAGTTCGCAGAACGACTCATCCACAGAGACGGCCAACTTGGCACTCGTCTCGATAAAGCCGCACCTCCACTCCCGAGCCAGCCGCTCACCCTCCTCCGTCGTAACCACACGTTCGTCTTGAATGTCGATCTTGTTGCCAATGATGACGATCCCGGGGCGGGCAAATCTCTGCCCCAGGGAAGCTGCCGACCTTGGCGGTTGCTTGCCATCTATGATGGCCTTGTAGAATTCGTGCAGTCGATTAAACGACTTGCGCGATGCGACGGAGTAGACCAGCATGAACCCCTGGCCCTCGCTGGAAGAGATGAGAGAAAGGTCGGTGATGAATGAAGTCGAGGGCAAGCTCACCGAACCCATTGATCACGGAGGGTCGCGTACTCATCTGAGATACGACTCAAATTAGCAGCCGCGGCAGGTCGATACGAACAGTGGTGATCACATACCTTGCCCTGCCGTATCTATTATCTCTAAAAAGGCCTGTCTGTTATCGACGAGAATCGTTTTCCGATATGAGTCTTCGATTGTCGGATCATACGACTATGACAAGGAATGATCAGAATCCTCTCATCTCATAGTGAAAGCGTCCCACCTCTGTCAACGGAAAATGGGGTGAGCCAAACACACGCACTCTAAATATCAGGGATGGACTCACCAATGAAAGCGTTCATCGAAAACTTTGGACAGTAAAGAAGCAAGTAAGCACTGGTCCACCGTGATGCTAGAAATGATCCCTACTTGGACGGCAAGAGCAGTCTTGCCAACAGCCCCCTCACCGAGAATCGTAAGGCGCCATTGGTCCATACCGGGTGCCGAAGTAACGAGAGATTGTTCAGGATCCCGCGGCATAGCAATAAAATTTTGGAGAATCGAAAGACAGGCGTAATTGTTTATTGGTGTTAATATGAATGGGGGTATTTAACTTGCGGAAGAACAGGCGTTGTTCGACGTTGATGAGAAAAAAAAACAAACACAGGCGATTCGAGAGTGCTTTAAGGCTATTTCCGTGGTCATGTGACCACATTCTTGGGAATACTCATAGTTATTGCTGGGCATTACAAGGGCGTTACGCAAGGCACGGCGATTGAATGAAGAAGGATAAAAGAAAATAATAATATTCTAGATGCCGAAAGTGTCAGAATCGCGATCCCGGAAGTGAGAGGAGAGACTTGGGAAATGGAAGGGCCTTAGCCTCAGTGACTCAGGTGGAGCACTGTGCCCTTACTTAATGTCCTGGGGATTACTAATTTCGGAACAGGCAGAGAGTCTCAGTTTGGGGTATCATATCCCTTCAGCTCCGGACCTCCGATCTTGACTCCGGAACTCCGCGCGATATCACCTCGGACTCCAGTTCCCGACCTCCTCCAACCCCCCCCCCCACCTCTCCTCCATTGAGTATTGACATCGCTCCTGTCCCGACTATAACGGGGTGCGAGGACTCCTTGGAAAATAATCTTCAGATTGACCAGAGTAACTGTAAAAGCCGACGATGATAATATCTCGAGGGAATTCATAATGTTATACGTCCTCTCCCTACCAAGTGTTTGGCCTTTTTTCCACTCATTAGTTGTACCTCCTCCTTTTCAAAATTGCACGCGTCTATTCAGATCAACAGTTTTGTGTTTGTTTACTCCATTTGTTGAATTCGATTCCGATGGCTTTGCTCTTAGAGAATATTTTGGTTCACTCGTTTCTGATCCGTTCGCAACGCCCATTTGCGCGCATGTCCCTGGAACCAAAGATCTGTACAGATGCTTTGAATTGGTGCGCTTCAGCTTCAAGTATGGTACAACAAAGTCGATGTGGTGTCAAATGTTACAAGAATTGTCTGGAATATCACGGCAAGACGCTCGCCCAACACGACTACTGATGAATCAATTATGCAAAGTGGCTCGAACTTGCCCCTTGGATGCACCCCTGAGAACGAATCATATTATCCTTTCTGCTCTTGCCGAATGGAAGACATAACAGACACCCACCGTGTATCGTTCTTCCCATCATATCCCTTTGGAAGGCCCTCACCAGGCTTCGCCTTCCCTAATTCTAGAAGCTTCTTAACTGCCTCGTCTTGATTCGTCGTCCCGAAGACGCTGTCAAGTTGCTGCTTGGAAGCTCTCCCTAGATACCCTTGATTCCCTTGCTCACTGGAGAAGATGTCAAACGCTGATCAAATAAAAGAATGTAATGAATTTCGATGGAAGTGAATCCAAGTGAGAGGGGTTAACGCACAGTCGACGATCCTCGACAAGGGAATCGAGCTTAATTGAGGGCCAGAGATTAGCTGCGAGATAGGAGGCATTCTGTAGAAGAACATCAATCGATGCTTACGTATCACCTAAATGAGGGATGGAAAGGGATTGTTGGACTAGATGAATGTTAACAATGCATCTTTGACTGACCGCCTTTCTTCCACTTGTTATACTATATCAAACATCCACACGAAGCAAGTGAAAACATCAGCCAACTTGTCTCATTTCTTGGAACACCGCCCAGGGCCGTAACTTACCTCCTCGTCATTCACAATGATGATGAACTCTTCCGTCGACTGGGTATCAGGCTTGTATACAACCTTGGTAAAGACTTGCTTTTCGCGATTCCCAGTCATGATGAATTCGAAGGGATTTCGTGTTTCTGGAAAAGCGTTCGGTTGTAGAAGCGGAGCGGGTGAGCACGAGACTTGTTGGGGGCCCACTGACGTCACTCCGCGGAATAAGCCGTTTCCCAAATTCATTTATTATCGTTGGCCTGTCAACCTTGACAGGTGAATGTTTGTGGAGTGGAAGCAGAGTCTTGGATGGCCACAGTTATCGAATCGCAACTTTCGGAAAGGAAAAATTATAGGCTACTTTTATCCTCTAGGCAGACGCTATTAAATGCTTCTACTCCCTGAATTTCACAACATAAAAATACGAGAACCTCACAAAAGCCCAGAGCAACCCGATTGAACAATATACACTCGTCAGCATGAGCGGTAGGAATTCTAACTGCCCATTCCCGCCGGAGACAACCTCAGCACGATCGCACGTCGTCTTGAAGGGGTTAGAATCCACCACAACACATGTTTGAGCAGTGGGAAAGGCAGATGAAGATGACGGACGACGAGAAGTCAGAAAAGGGAAGAGTACGACAAAAGCTTGAAGAGGCACGAAGCCCGCAAGATAGAGGTTCTCCATGCGTTCTACGACAGCGGTTATTAATGTATTTGGAAACCTGAAGGAAAACATTTTTTTTAAAGATTTAATTCGAAGGAAAGGAAGAGACACATAACGCACTCATAGGCGCGCTTCTGAAGCATCCCATAAACGATGCAGCACCACCCCGTCGAATATATTACTTTGATGATTGATTCTAGACATGGAGACGGTCAGCGAAAACCCTAATCCAAGCGAAGGGAGACATCTACCTGAAGGTTTGAAGATTAACGGGAAAAGCGAGTATATTCCTGCAGCAGAGGCAATCATGAACACTCGGAGGTGCAGTCCACTGTCAGCAGCCATCAGACTGTACATGGGGGGGATATGAGTGAGGACACAATTCCCCGGAATATTCGAATGTACCTCAAGGGAACGAGCACAAGCAGGATCGCCTTCTCATGTACATGCCATCCAAACATGAATGATGCCCATCCGCAAAGCGTCAAAGCGGTCAAAAAGCTCTTGTGCGTTGGCGTTCTCCATAATTTAACGAGATATATCTGGAAGGGCAAACATTAAACAGGATAGAATCATCCAAACGTAACTACCTACTGCCTGGAACAGGATTGTGAGGGTGAATGTATGAATGGGCACGACGTTGGGAAGAATGGCGAAAACGGTGTCCCCAACCAAGCCTCGACTAGACGATGCCACGCCTGGTTCGTACACATTCACGTCCTTCCCAGCCCAACGCACGTCTGTTTCAAATGAACGTGCGTCGAATGCCCCATCAATTTGTAATGCTTACACTTCAAAAGGATCCTATCCGCTGCAGTGACGAGAGCCCAAACGTTTGGCGCCCAATACGCATGGTTGAGGCCTCGAGTGAACGGAAATAATCGTGAGAAGATTTGTACGATCTGTGCCCCTCCGTTCTTAAGCAAGAAGAAAGGACCAAAGGATGCAACAAAAACAGCCAAGACGGTGTTCGCGAGGGAAAGGAAAGAGTTAGAGATGAAATCGCCGCCGGGTGTCATACAATGGAATCGAAACAGATATATGAAATAGGCAGGCTAAAACAAGAGTGGGCGGTCAACCGTTAATGGACAACTAAGTGAACTCACAGAAAGATACATGTAGATATGTTTAAAGTTTAGCAGGACAGCAAACAAAATGCCACTCTCCAGATGCTTCCCCTGGGTTGAGGACGCACATGTCAATCCATTTTCATCATGAAAAAAAAAACAGATGAGAGCTCGCACCTCGCTTGCCATTATGATAGACCAGACAAGGATCCCAAACAAAAATCCGTTATATTGAAAATGGATATGATCCACAATGAAGAAACCAGGGTGAAGAAAGAGAGAGGCCGCAATAACACGTCCAATGGACGGATCCACACTTTTTCGGGCAATTCTGAAGTGGAGAAATTTGCTTGAGCGCCTAAGGCTCGGAACGCACATCTTAGTACACGAACCTGAGCAGAGCGGCACACAAAACTAACTCGGTGACAATGACAGTAGATCTTTGATAGTACACCACAGAGGTAGCATCGTAATTGAGATTTAAGAGCTGCACTATTGATGGGTCGATAAGACGAGCGGGCAAGGATAGCAGGAATTCGAAATAGGCAAAGAATGGAGGGTAATCCAAAGCTATTTCGTGGCACCATCCCATCAGTCCCGTGCCTAGACAGTCTAAATCAGAGTCCAACGTACTCCATTCAGAGGTGGTCTTCATGTGCGAAGAGGATTAGCACGGTGGGGGTTCCTACAAGCGGAGAGCTCACATCGAAGTACCATTTTGACATGGGGAGGGAATAAGTTATAGCCATCCAATTCCGATGGACTTCGAAGTCTGTCGAATGACTGTGCAGAACAACGAGGGGCTAAGGAACACAATTTCCCAGGACACGCTTCTACTGACTATGCAGGGAATAATAGAACTTTCAAGACTGTGGAGAAAACAAGAAGATCTCTTTCCCATGTAAGTAACCATCCTGTCTCTTGTCTTGGCTTCTTTCCAATTGGAAATTGTGTTTTGGACCTCGAGGGCGACGTCGGAAATCGCAGTTCGCTGGCACGCTTGTCTAGCAAAGGTACAGAGGATTCCCGTAGCCGGGACATCGTCGCTGGAAGAGCACAGTCTAATAGGTTGCGTAGAGGCAAGATTCCACAGATAGATGGTGGGGCAATGGCAGTCACGCTGGCTGTTGGATGCTTGGCCTTGGTGGCTGTACACTGACGCACAAGTTCGTGGTCCAACAACTTCACGATGAGCGAGAGAACAGTGGCCCCATCATTAGTAGACAAGGGAACTGAAGGGTGTGCCTCATCTCCAAAATGCCCTCGTTGGTGCGGCCAATGCTGATCACTCATTCGATTTCCATCCAATCCAGAGGTGGCGCGTTGGCGAAATTGCTAACTTTCGCCATTTCACTCGCAGTCGTGCCAATATGTAGCTACTTTATGTCCTTGACCTACGTATGGAGAGGTAATGCAGCACCTCTCTCTTCTTATCATTTTGTCACCTCATGGAGCTCGCAACTATCAGGGAATGCAAACTACGCCGCTATAACTGCAATTGTCATGGCCAACGTAGTCTTAGTTTCTTACATCATTGTTTCCATCCTGGAGGACAAAGGGGAACCCACTCCACTGAGAGGAATCCCTCCTCAAGTACCAGAATCGAAGAAGTCCCAATGACGGTCCTCAAAAATTTCCTCTCTCAGTACATTGAACTCTATGTGGGGCCATACTCGTTTGCGGCAAACACTTCTCATTGCACCTTTAATATTATCGGGCCCTGTAATGTCCCCCTGTTTGTGAGGGGACTTTCCTTCTACTTAACCCAACGGAGCTTTTCTTTCGCGTGTTATAGCCTCTCTTCTACTCCCTACGGCTTGAGTGCTCCTAACAATCCAGCCGTATCTCCTGCATGGCACCTCCCTATCCTAATGTACGATACTTACTACTTTCTCTGGAATGCAGGGCGCAGTGTCATCCTATCAGTGATCGTCCAGCCCTGAATGCCCGCGATTGGCCCGCAGTTCTTTGCCCAGAGCCGCTAACCAATTACGATGAGTAGCTAGCCCGCGCCACGCCTTTGTGCCATGAGTAATGTGGCTTTGGTCACGGACTTCCACCCATGATGGCCCCCCTTCCACGTGTAGAAAATCTACACCAGTTACGCGCAACAAAATTACTGTATGTGATCATTCGAACAAAAATTGCACAATAAAAAATTCTGGGCAAGAAAAAGAAGAAGAATCCATACATGTGCAACTCCAGAGGGAAAAAAAGCCGTAGCCACAGCTTATGCCAGTCAAGAAGAATGTATTGGTAATCCTGGCGAGCCACACGCCAAAAAAAAAACGTTAACAAGAGATCCCATCCCTCCAAGAAAAAAAAAGTGGAAAGTGCTACGAAGGAAATGCGAGGACAGGTGATAGGAAACCGTACGAACCAGTCGAATCCGAAAATGACATGTGAAGAACTCGACAGGAAGTGGCGGAAGGAAGAACAAGCGTGTAGGTTTCCAGAAAGTGTTGAAGAAAAGTTTGTGAGAGTCATGGTGTGGTAGCGCCCCAACAAACAAGAGACAAAAAAGATCCCAAGTGCTTGCTTTTTGAAAAAAAGAAGAATAGGGAGAACGGATCCGATAAACGAGAATAACAGCAGAAACCGCACGAAGGGAAACCAAAAAAAGATTGTTTGATGAAGTGGGGGGTAATGCAACAGAGCGAAGACGAAAAGATCTTGGTACGTCTCTTCTCCGTCGCACTACCTCTCGAACTTGAAGAGATGAGATATGTAGGATAATATACATGAAGAAAATTGGGTGCCTTTTTTTTTCTGGTTGACGAGTCGGCTCGAAAGGTCGAAGATTGTCCGTCCATCGGAAAGAAACACAAAAAAGTAACATCATGAGACAGCGAAGTTGGTTCTGAATCGTTGAATCGTTGGGTGGCTGCAAACGTGTGAGTGGCTCTATGCGAAGATAAAAGGAAAGGATGTTTCGTCCAGTGGGCGGATGAGCGGATTTTTGACTCCGGACCTAAGCGGAGGCGGCCAACTTAGATACTGGATGCGACATTAACATTTGATTTTTTTTGGGGGGGCCGCTCCACCTAAAAAACGATGGGTGTTTTTTTTTTTCCAAGTGGCGTCGGATCATAACACGGCTCCATGGCTCTGTGGCATTTCACGCCCAGACATTTTCATGCTCGCATTATTCAACCTAGGAGTGACAGAGGCAGTCAGGGGCAAGGGCCGCTCGGTTGTGGTGGCGGGAGTGGGAGTAGAAGGATCAGGAGGCATCGCAATGCGTGAAATCGTGTGTCCGCGAAGACGATTCCGATTCGTAGGGATGGGGAGAAGGGAAGGCACTGATGTGACGGCAGACGCAGGAGTACTATGACGCACACGTGGAGTCTTGGGAAGTTCGAGATCTAATAGCCGTTCTTCTTCGTTCGCATCAAATGTAAGCGGAGGAGACGGTGGGGACGTGATCTCAGTAGTTGAAGGTGGCACGCTAGGAGTAGCAGGAGAATTATCCACATTGGGATAACACCGAGATGAAGGGGAGGGTAGTTCTTTCGAAGCAGTAGTAGCCAGGCTCGAACGACAAGCAGATTCGGAGCTAAACGAGCTCTCCGCGGTAGAATATGAGGAAGATGCTGAGGAAGTCGAGCGAGAGTGATAATACTTCATGGAAGTAGAAGATTTGGCAGACAGAGGAGCGAGTGAACTTTGGTACGGATAGTTAGGGATAACAAAGCTATAGCTAGAGGCGGCAGAAGGTGGAGGTGAGGGAAATACCTGATCACCAACAACTTGGGGGTGTGTACTACAATCGGTAGTAGACAACTTAAAGGGAGATTTAGGAGGATGGATGAAAGAAGGGGGAACTGGGAACTGGGATAGTGAAAAGATACTGTCAACTCTCGAGGTATTCCTCCTAGGGTCAGACATAACGCTATTGTTGACTGTCCCCCCACTCCCATAGACCACCACATCATCCTCTCCGAAATTCAACCCATTGGATGAAGTTGCGCTCAAGTTAAGAGGAGCAGGAACACGCCTCATCTCCATCTTCGCGAAATTCCCGGCTGTCAACGTCTGAGAGGAAGAGGTTGTACACGTTGATGAAGGTCTCGGACGCTGCGTAATCTCCTCCAACGCTATCACAAGTGGCGTCCGCTCGCCGTTCGTGGCGACAGGGGGCAGAGGAAGTGGCCTAAAACTCAACACCGAATGCGGAGGTGACGAAGATTCCACATGAACACGAACTCCGGCTCCGGGCCCTTGTGAATGCACATCCTTATTTGGAACAGTGGGTAAAGCACCATTCGGAGATAGCCCACCGGGCCTTCTCGACTCCCTTATCCTTGCTGCTTCCTTCGAAGTCTTCTGCTGATCTTCCGTGATCCCTACCAAATCCAGATCCTCTTTAATTTCCATCAAAAACCCCTTCCAAACTCCATCCAGCTCAGGAACGGACCGCTTCCTGGAAAGTGAAGACCGCAAACTAGACAAACTCGCTGTGCTCGCTGTACTCGCTGTACTCGCTGTACTCCCTTTACGCTGCATTTGGGGGCCGGCAGGACGAGAGTTTGTAGTCGAAGGCGACGCTGTCGCAATCTGCTCCTCTGCTTGTTGCTGCTGCTGCTGCTGCTGAATGGAAAGCATAGCATCGCGAAGAAGAAGGGACTGGTACGATTCCCTAGTTCTCAAAGAGCGCTGAGCAAATGAGAAAGTGGTAACGGCGGAACTAGCGGAAGGCGGGGGACCATTTAGTTCCAACGAGGATTTCAGCGAAGACGCCCCAGATAGAAAAGTCGAGGAAGCAGACTTTGGAGTTTTAAAAGATGCCCGTTGTAAACTATGAGTGGGAGAGGGTAACGATGGCGTCAACTGATAAAGACTCGCAACAGGCGACGACGTTGATTTCGAAGCAGACGACGGACCACCAAGGTTGGAAACGGACCGGAACGCAGGTCCGACAGGTGGAGGACCGGGCAATTCCACTGAAGGAAGTTTCCCCTGATTATCATTCTCGAAGGCGTCAAAGAATGATTTCCCAGCTTCGGGTCCAGAAGGTCCCATTTGCCACGCGAAACCACCGCCGTACGCGCCATCCTTCTCCTTCGTCAACATGCGTGCGTTCGACGGTAGCTCAGGCACGGGAACAGTACCCGACCGTTCCCTGACCGCCTCAGCGGGGACAGCTGTGTTCGTCGGTCCAACGCTCCTCGCTCTGCGTCTTCCCACGGACCCTCTTTCCCCATCCGTACCAGAACCGACAGCACTTGCGACGGCCGTCACACGTGAAGACTCCTGGTCAGACTGTACGATCAGAGCAGCGCCAGGTCCCTCCTTCCCCTTTTCCTTGGACTTATCCTTCAACGACCGACTGCTCTTCGAATGCCAAAGCGAATGGAAGCTCCTCCTAGAGCCCAAAGGTGTTGAAGACACGCCTTTCGAGCCAATCGCAGGAGGGGCGGTATCTGAGAGGGGTGATATGGGCTTAGGCGTCGTTCCTTCAAGTCCGGGACCATAGCCAGTGTCACTACCAAAGCCAATATCTTCACTTCCTCTCAACTGTCCTGATATCCCGGAGCGCACAGATGGAGTGGCGGAGGAAGCGGAGAACGGATCCCAATCACTCGATGACACATCTGTTTCAGTCCCTTGGACGCGAACGGACGGTACAGGTGGAGCAGGCGAGCCTTTCTTTTTCTTGGAGTCCTCCCGAGGGGACAGAAGAACAGAGACGGCTCGTCGAGCGATACTCGGCTTAGGAGACTTTGTGTTAGAGTTGCGCTAACGCATCGTCACAAGCATTAGCAATAATCATCGAGGGATAAACGAATAGAGCTGTGCGACTAACCTTGGGAGAATTGGAAAACGTCAGAAAAGGCTTCATAGGGGATCCGAAAGATGACGATTCAGACCCTGTGATAGACTCTACAGGCGTCGGAACCTGGTCTTCCAAACCTGCCTGAACGCTCAACTTGGACAGTTTGCTCGCTGGCTTCCTTGGGGATAAGGAACGCCTGAAGGATGATGGCAAGCTAACACTAGAACGAGGGCCAAAAGCCTGCAGCAGTGCATTCGACGGTACAGAAGGTGGGGCTCTGGGCGATTCAAAAAGACCAGGATCGCTCTCATCCCGATTGTATATGACTTCATACTCGAATTCCGAATGGACGTCATCCGCATACGTACTTGTAGGGCTCGGCGTATCAAGACTTAAAGGAAGGGAGGGTCTTCTACTCCATGGACTGGAATCAGGACTCGTGAGAAGGGTGCCACGGGACGAGTAAGCCGATGTAGATGTAGTGGCAGATGGAGACATCGCCATTGGCCGTGAAATTGCAGACGTAGCAGAAGACGTTGTAGATGCAGATGCAGACGGAGTGAGAGCGGGGACAAGATTGGCCGGTGGAGGAGGGAAGAGAGGTGGTCCGGAGAGTATAGCATCGTTGTCCAGTCCACTGTCAGATACTAACCTGTCTCGACGAGGAGAAAGCTTCCGCCGGGGAAGTCGAGAATGTAGATAGTCAGTATCGAGATGGACTATCGTCCCTCCTACACCAGGAGAGAGCGAAGAGAGATGATGGAAATCTCCAAGCTCCCTCCCACTGCTCGCTCTGGCCTTCTTTTTTGACGAGGATGATCCGCCACTAAGAAGCGAGGAAAAAGCCTTCATACCGTTGCAGCTACGATCACCACAGCTACTGTCGTCGATTCTGCTCCCAGAAGCAACGCTTTGAGAGCAAGATAATGGGGTTGCGAATCACGCCCTCCGCGCGTCAGCTGTCGTTCCGCCGTCGTGAAGAAAAGATAGATCGTGGAGAGGGGGAAAGAGTGTGGGTCCACGACGCCTAAATAAGTACAAGTGGATGTCTATTGTAGAACGAACACGTCAAGACGATGAGAAGACCATGTCTGAAAAAAGAAAGGAATGAAACTGAAACGGAGCTCACGCCTTTTTTGCGGAAGAATGGGACCAAAAGCAGCCGAGTAGGAGGAGGGCGTGTTGGAATGGAAGAGGAGGTACGTTGAGGTTTATGAGGGAAGAAAGAAAAGCGCAGACGTATATTACGATACAGAAGGCTGATATCTCAGTGAAAGATATGAGTTAATTTTGTCAAACGAGCCCATATTGCTGGAAATTCAGAGGATCCGGCTCGGTCCGGAAGCAAGTTGTCTTAACGCGGGGAACCCTGTCGAACAGTCACAATGCGTGAGAAATGAATCAGAAATAAATAAATAAATAAATTTCACGCATTCGGGGGCTGCCTCGTGTAGAGTCCTCAATACCGATAAAGAGACCCTCATCCAGGGTATGCTCAGCCACAACTAGTAGGCATCTCCAAATATTTCAGGGGATTCATACTTCCGTCCAGAAGAGGGAGCAACAAAAACTCGCGTGCGCGCGCACAAGCGATATCGCGATACAAGTTGGGATGCATTTGAGAGTACACATGAACAAAACTAGCGGGGGAATAATAAATAGCCAAGTACGAGTGACAAACAGAACACTGCGGAACGTGAGAGCTGGGAATCGTAGGAGCGGGGGAGGGAGGGGACGGCATCGGGCTCAAAGTCTACATTATATCATGCACCTAACTGGGTGATGGGGGGCGATGTTGGGGAATATGTATATGGAGTAGGGAAATTGTTCAGTTGGAAATGGAAGCGGAGTTAGAAAGAGTAATATATAAATCAATGTAATGGGGGGCACGAGACCGTGAGACCATCTATTCTCAGCCTAGAAATCCTCATCCAGGGAACTGATAATGGGAAGAAGAGTGATGTAGCCCTCCATTTTTTGATCGAGCAGACAAGAACAAACTTACAATAGTTTAGAAGGCACGGAAGGCTCAGCCAATGGCGTCACAGATGTCGTAGACGCAGCCGGCACCAAATCAGTGTTGATATTGGCCTTCCGGTAATCAGACACACGCTTCTCAAAGAAGTTGGTCTTGCCCTGAAGTGAAATCATATCCATAAAGTCGAACTGTCCAGGTGTCAAAGACGATACTAAACCCGACGCCCAAAGACTCACAGGATTCCCCGAGTGATAGTGCTTGTCATTCCCCAACGATATAAGGAGGCGGTCGGCAACAAACTCGATGTACTGCTTCATCAGGGTAGCGTTCATGCCAATCAAGCTCACGGGAAGCGCATCTGACACACACATGCATGAGCCCCAGCAAAATGACCGAAAATGTAAACACGTACCAGTCAAGAACTCGACCTCAATGTCGACAGCTTCCGTGATGATACGGCGTATAGTCTCCGGATGGGGGCGCTTGCGCAGATGGCTGAACAACAGACATGCGAAATCGGTGTGCATCCCTTCATCGCGGCTAATAAGCTCATTAGAGAATGTCAGGCCAGGCATGAGACCACGCTTCTTGAGCCAGAAAATGGAGGCGAATGATCCAGAAAAGAATATCCCCTCCACAGCCGCGAAGGCGATGAGGCGTTCGGCGAAAGTAGAATGCTTATCAGAAACCCATTTGAGCGCCCAATCAGCCTTGCGCTTGATACATGGAATAGTCTCAATGGCATCAAAGAGATGATCGCGCTGGGCAGGATCTTTGATGTAGGTGTCAATGAGGAGTGAGTATGTTTCGGAGTGGATGTTCTCCCTATGTGACCTCAGTAAGCAACTGCAAAAAACATCTAGTCGATACCACACCACTTACATCATAATCTGGAAGCCATAAAAGCACCGCGCCTCAGCGGCTTGTACCTCAGAGCTGAAGCGCTCAACAAGGTTCTCATTGACGATTCCATCAGACGCAGCGAAAAAGGCAAGGACATGACTAATAAAATGACGTTCGTTGTCATTAAGCTTGTCCTCCCAGTCACTTAGATCCTTGGACAAGTCTATCTCTTCGGCAGTCCAGAAACTGGCCTCAGCTTTTTTGTACATCTGCCAGATCTGTGTAGCCAAAAAAGGAAAGCGTTGTAACGCGCGCGTCGGCCGCGTCGTCAGCAAGGAGATGGTGTGAATCATAGGCAACTTACTTCACGGTACTGGATAGGAAATAAGACGAAGCGGCGTTGAGTCTCCTTTAGTAGTGGCTCATCCTTCTCGTCGACGTCAACATCGCCAACAAAACGAGTACGATACTCGTCCACTGGCTCCTCAGCCTCGGTCTTCTTGTCCTCCTCCTTACGTACGGCCATGAGCTTCTCGAGAGTAGAGGAAGGCTTGACGGGCGAGTCGAGAGTGAGGTCATCAAAGGAGGCAGCGGCCTTCTTGGTAGGAGTTTCGAAGATCGACGCGGCCATTGTATTTAGAAGTGTGTGAGGATGCGAAAGGATATATAACTCGATGTCTAAGCGCGAAGGGAAGGCTGCGGTTAGGCAAGTGAGTGGATGATGTGAACGAAAGACTATGTATGTTCAACCTTTTTTAAGGTCATTTTTTCGGATGCTCTCGGTGCCGAGACGGACATAAACATGTAGTTGGCGCGCTCGACCAAAACAAACAACCGGATGCAAATTTAAACTTGTCATCGCGTTTTGCAGCGATCGGACGCGTGGGGGTGCCATGGAAAAGGTTTTACAGCGTGTTTAGGTCACCCTGCATTTGAACTGGATGGTTTTGCAAGACGTTTCGTCTCAAGCGAGGGATATATCACGTCTAGTTGGGGACCCGGACAAACAACAAACAAGCGACAAAGTCCAACAACTTAGCCATTCCTTCAGTTCTCGACTGCAAAGTTGGCCCATTCATTAAATATACTGATTTAAAAACATATTATCATGGCTATTGAGAGTTTGAGACAGTCAGACTGTCTGGAGCAACAGGAAATCCGCGGGGACTCGGTCGGCTTGCGCAATACGATCGCACCCACAACACCATTCAACAACAGAAGAAGACTGTATGCCGGAGCCCTCGGCATAACTGTAAGTCAATCGTCAAAGCGGCCAATGTAACCCCAGCGATCGACACAAAGTTCCGATGGCTGTGCCACACGTGGCCAGTTTCGGCTGCCGAACTTGTGGCGCAACAACATGCGCCAAATGACGTTTCAGCGTGTGGCGTGCGTCGCCCTCCCGTCCAAACCCAAGATAGCGTTGTGGGAATTATCGGTGCTGGCCGCGCGGGTTACCGTCCATCAGTTCAGCCCAATCTCAGGCCACTGAGCCCGTGCCCCAAAACTGATCCCCAATATTTCGCCCCTTGGCTATACGTCTTTTCGCCTCGCCACGGTGGATTATTGAGTACTTTTCCGAGGCACTCCCCAGCCATTACTTCGTATTAGAGAGCGTGTCCACATCGTATGTATGCTCAACCATAACATCACGAAAATCGGGCACAAGGTCCCCTATTCCAGAGACTCATGGAGCTTTCAGAGCACCTGAGAGCACCTGGAAGGTTTTCGTGATGAACGACGTTCTGAAACACAAGGCCACGACTGGGGAACAAGCGTCTTCAAAAGGCCATTTCCCAACACATTGCCTTCCAGCATTCCAAAGGTGTTGCTAGCAAAAGATCGCGATTCGCCAGGTGAACCTGAAGGGGGCGCCCCTTATCGCTGTCCAGTCTCTGCACCGTATCAACGCCTCCAGTATAGACGTCAGATGTGGGTATTAGTCTGGAGGCCCCTTATCAGGGTACCTCAACGCTACTCAGTATTTCTCAGTTGCTTTTCCATCTAACATGGCGAGTCCATCACAAACGCTAGCACTAGGGGTCCGGTTCCTTGTTCGGCCCTTTTCCCCACTCTGACAGGCTTATCATCTGGAGTTCACGCAGATTCCTTCATCCATATCCTCCTTATTTATTACACGAATCTAGTGTAATAGCCTAGAGTTTGAAGGCGTTCCCGGCTACAGTATCCATTTGGACGTCTCTCAAATGAAGCTGTTCATTCACTGATCACCTTGTAGCTCCGTGGCGGAAATGGACCCCCCTTAGCTGAACCCCCTGATGTGGAGACAACACCGAATACTAGGCACATCCGTGTATAGAGTAGGATCGAGTTTTCGACCCTTGGAACCCCTAGTGCTAAAGAGGTTTCTATATCGGGGGATCTTGGACGTCTCGCATCCTGGCTCGTCTTCGAGTTTAGACCCTAAGATTCGTGATCGGACCCCAGGTTATGCAACCCTCAGGAACAAGAAGCCTAGAAGTGCTCTATATAATCATACTCTCCGATGAACATATCCCCCCTATCTGACAAATTGCTCCATGCTCTGATCGGTTGAGCTCACTTGCTCCGCGGAAATTGATTTTTCTCTCTTTGTTAGATGTGTATTTATGGGATGAGCGCTGAGGACCTGTCACCCCGCAATTGACAGATGTCGTCACCTCCGATAAGCATTTCGCATCGGATGTCCATACACTGATTTGTGTGTAGCTGCGAAGCCGTGAAAAAGCTGTCATTAATAGAGCTCCTGCGTCTACATCTCTTTTCGAACGCATCTGCCGGCATTGCATCCAAAGTACACAACGACATGGATGTGGATCAAGTCGTTCGTCGCTAACACCACACAAATAATCATCATATGCCACCTGAGTCAGTCAATACCCCAAGAGCAAACTCTATAGTGATTAGCATCTTCAAAAGTGCACCAAGGAACCCCTTTTCTCGCTCGCGAAGAGATGGGGTTTCCGCGCGCCATTAAATGACAAGAACCTCCGGACAGCTCCGCCGACGATGAGGTACGTACACCAGGCAGGAGTAAAATTAAATCCTGACACTCTTCTCTGGGCAATTCTAGGGCTAAGCTGCTCCATCTTCGGGGTCCATCGCTTCCTTTGGTTCCAGAGCGCGATTGAAGGCCTGTCATTTGAACCTCAGCCTATTTGAGAACAAGAAGTTTTATAGGAGTATTGTATGCTCTCTAACATGCATACCCCGCCACATTCTTCAGAGCTATTCGGTTGATCATGACAGATTCTTCGATCATGATCATATTCACTTGCTCCGCGGACGTCATCTTGCTTTCTTACCTGCATATTTGTGGGATGAGCGCTTAGGGCACGCCACCAGGCACTATATATGACAGCAATGATGGTGATCAGATAAGCATTTCAAATTATAACGGATGAATTGGACCGCCAAGCATGCAGAAAGCAAGGTTGTCTACCCTCTCTCTGGTTCAAATCTATCCATTGACATGGTGTTCTACCTACAATGACATGTTTATCACCGACACGCATAGACATGCATATACAACCATCAACAGTCTCATGCCGTGATCAACCAACTCCCGAAAACCAGGATCGTTATTTCCACACAAGGCAGTGTAGTGATGCTTATACACCCTTTTACTCGCAAAGAAACGGGGTTTCCACACTTTAGGGCTAAAGGGGCTAACTCACGAATTTAATGATAAGAATCCCCGGATGGCTCCACCAACATTTGCAACGTCGATGCTGTTGGGCAAAATTTATCAGTCAAATTCCATGAAAACCATGCTAGAAGAAGCCCACAGGAACGTATCATGACCCCACACACCACCTAGCTCATAATACACAACGCGATCGTTCCCAGCCATTCTCAACGCGTCTGCGAGCTCTCGCTGTTGCTCAACCGGGAACAATATATCACTCTGAACTCCCAAAATAAGCGTCGGGGTCTTCGATAACGGCGATAATCCCTCGGAAAGATCCGACAAATGTGGAGGGGGTGTAGATGTATGCAGGGATCGTAGAGGTGGCAAGCCGGGAGATGATGAGGATGGTGTTGCGGGTGGCGAGAGACCGAGGGATTGAATGGCTGGAAGGGTCATATCAAAAAGATCCATCGCCTTCGATATGTATATCAACGAATTAGCGTCGTATTTTAAGCAAAATTGCTCGCCCTTTCTCAAATAATAAGATAGTTATCGAGAAACGCGACATGGGGCTCCAACGAACCTGGTGATCCAAGTATGTTTCAATTAGAAAGTCAGAACATAAGGCTGGGGTTCTCGGGTGACCTGGCTCATGGTGCTGATCTGGGGGGAGTTCCCTTAGCTTTCGCCCAAATCGCTGTTCCCATTCCGGACCGGAACGATAAGTGATTGTGGCTATTTCTACATTTCAAATCAGTCATAAGCGAATTCCAAATGGATATTGACAAAAAACCCTCACGTCGGGCGAGCTTCATCCCCGTATGGGGCGGTAAATCGTCATAATAGAACCCATTCTTCCAGTTCGGGTCGGCCATCAGGACTAGAAACCAGAGAATGAGTTGAAGGGGTAGCTGTCACAACACAATTTCTTACCACTTCTCTGAGCGAAACGCATCGCAATGGCGCTAGGACTGCTCCTTGCCGTACCACTGATGCTAACGATCTTCCCTACCCGATCGGGATGAAGCCACGCCGTGGCCAGACTCGTCATCCCGCCCATACTTGACCCCACACTGGCATAGAGTTTCTTGATCCCGAAATGATCGAGAAGGTGGAACTGCGCCCGAGCGATATCGAATATGCTCAGTACCGGAAAGTTCGTCCCATATGGTGCGCCGTCTTCGGCAGAGTGAGGGTTTATCGACGATGGACCCGTTGAGCCATAACACCCCCCTAGAACATTTGTGCATATCACAAAGAATTGATCGGTGTCGAGTGCTTTTCCCTGGCCGACAAACTTCTCCCACCAACCTGATGCTGGGTTGAGCGACGTAGAAGCAGCATGGGACGAGGCGCTTAACCCCGTATGGAGCAGGATGGCATTATCTTTCGCAGGGCTGAGCTCTCCCCACGTTTCATAGGCAATATCGAATTCAGGAAAAGGGGTTCTTGAGTAAATGAGAGGGAAGGGTTCGGAGTGGTGGTAGATCCTGTAGGAAGTAGGATTGGGACGAGCGTAAGGAGGCTCAGGGCCAGAGGCGGACGGATTTGCCGGGGTCGGTGATGGGCTCAAGAATGCAGGTGCAGGCCGCAAGCCAGCTTGAAGACGAGATTCTCTCTCAGCATGTGCAACAACGCACGGGAATTTTGGGGATGGCTTGGCTTGTGGTGCTTCTACACGAGCCTTGGCTGCAATTGCGCGCGATATAGAGCGAATGGATTGCCTAGTGACATTTCCACAGACTTTAGCGCCGATAAGGGCCGTGGCCATTGTCGTTGAGCTCGGATTGCGCCATCGCGGGTGCAAAGTGCGACTATCAGATAGGTGGCTGTGTGCGGCTGTTTTAGGAAATGCTAGTCAATGCATGTGTTCAGGTTTCCCGGCTCGGCTTGGTGACCAACACCAGAACTGCCCCTGCTAACAACTGCTAACACCCTCTGCCAAGAATGCTAAAGGTGATCGCGTGCCGTGGTCACACGCAACACCGGGGAAACGTTAACAAGCTTAATCACGATTCATCTCTTATGGCAATTCCCTCGCTCCCGTTCCAACCCAAAATCTATGACAAGGTCTGGATAAGATTTGACTCAGACCACGATCACTCACACCTAGACTGCACATCAATATCAAGGTCATGAGCGAGTAATTCGTTGACCGCGTCATAGTTGGAATAAGCCATGACTGGACCATAAGTGTTTAGAATCTTGGGTATGAACGGCATGGCTTGGTGACCATAACCGAGACCCTAAGTAAGCACACGCCAGACGCTCGTAATGGGTGGATGTCACCTGGTTTGATCCGTATGCCAAGGTCGCCTCCACAATGAGAACATGGTCTTGAGCCTGGCGGGAATCCCATTACTACATGTACCTGTAATAAATCTCCACTTATTGCAATGCTTGGAGTCAGAAATACCGTCCTGAACTCCCATACGTACTGATGCGCTAATATTCGCATCTTCGCCCTAAATCAACCCTTCTCCGCCTTCTCCGTATCAGTGCAATTTCGGTGAGAACGATCACTCCAAGCAGTAAAAGCAATGGAGGGTTGGCAACGTCCGTCCATGACCCCATCAGTGTGAAGACCCCCGTCTCCATTGCACCTCTCCTTGCAATCGAAGCTCCATCCCCAATATTCAGTCACCACCCGGGAACTTAAGTAATATGGATTCCAGCGATCTCGGCTAAGTTGTTCGGGAAAAGGTCCATGAATGACCCCGAACGAAGAGGCCGCTCTCGCAGCCCATGATCTTTGCCCACGGTGCCGACGTTGCGAAGATCACAAAACGGGCCTGCAGTTTATGCCAGTCGTTGGGGAAAGGGGCTGCACATGCGGGAATGGATTAGACCGTACGCGATATCCGCTACCATGTGGGCGAGATACTGCCCACGATCGTGCCCAGATGATTGGGTGGCTACGAATTATCGTGCTTCCCTACCAGAGTGACAGATGGAAAGCGCATTTACGGCTTCGAGAGGCCCGCCTGCTGCGAAACGCCATCACGGCAAAATGTCCTCAAAATATGAGGGAATTTTGACTGTGGGAAAGTCGGGCTCAGGGTGACCAATGAGTACCGGGGAAGCATGAGCGATTAAGTATCACAATCCCAACTTCGACGATATGGAGTTGATCGACAGGTATGTATACGACTGCATGAATGCCCCAAAAGTCTTGTTTACCCCAAACTATCTGCCGGGTATGGAGCCTATAATTCCTCGTTGAAAAGAGCGGAAAACTGGGGTCCTGATTCTCGCTTGTGATCGGAGTCCACACCGCATTCCGCCACCTCAGATACCGTGAATTAGAATCCCTGTATCCAACAAGGTCGCCGACGGACTTCCTTGTTTTGGAATAAGGTTACGCAGTCAGCCTGGATCATGTACATATCCCTTTCGTGATGCATAGTTCACAACTTCGCAGAAATGCTCCTGATTTTCATGAGGCGAGAACAAGCATGGAACCAGGCATCAGACACCAATATTCCGCAGATATATGGGATTCAGAAAGTTTCAACACCTTCGACGTCCCGTTCCAGGTTCAAAAGGAGTCGGATCGCGTTGCCTTTCCAAGGAGGGTTCCGTGTGGTCAATGGGTAAGCTCCATCAGAAGCAGGCGCCTCAACATAGCCGTGTCGGACACCATCGCCGAAGAATACGTATCCTGGGATGTAACGATCAATAAAGCTGGCAAGTGGAGCAATATAAGTATCATGTTCGAAATCATCAACGGTGATCAAAACTCACAGCTTGACTTCTTCGTCCGTCATTCCTTTCCCGCCATTGTGGGATTTCATCCAGTGCTCTTGCTCCAGCCTCCATTTGTAAATATGAGAATACGGATGAGTTACGGGGGGTGCAAGCTAGATATCGGCCCGTGAGTGCAAGTTGCTAAGATATACCCGGGGCGCAAAACGCACCTGGATGAAACCCGAGAAGAAAGGGTAAAGCCGCTCAGTGTATACCCGCAAAAAGGTGTTGATTTGTTCGAGGTCCTGAAGAGACAGTGTCTTGATGATTTCCTGGGCAAGTCCCATTTCAGCCAATTGCACGGCTCGGGCATTCCCCGTGATCGGTGAATCACCTATGTTGTTGGGCCCAATGGTGTACAGGCTGTATCTTCGCCGCAACTCTTCGTGGGAAAGATGATGGAAGCCCATGCACCACCCCTCTAAGAGCACAACGTCGAGAGGAGCAGCTACAGTTAATTTGGATGAGGAACGATCCCCATAACCATCAAATAAGCTTTTATCAAATACTGGCGTCTCAACGGGAGCAGTAGCCTCCCCATTAATGACCGAGAGGCTCGTCAAAGTGAGGTGAAGCAGATCAAGATCGTGTGTTCCGGGGTGGCCGCGGCCACTGAGGAGCCAATTGTTTGGATATTTCTCGGCAGTCGATTTGAGTCCGTCATACGGCAGGTATAAATCATCCATCGAAAGCACTGAGACCCTCAGTGAGTTCGGCGGACAAGACAAAGATTCACGAAGTTCATTTGTGATTGTCGTCTTTCCTATCCCTTGGGGCCCCTGCATACCAATAAACAGAGGCGGAAGCGTCGGGCCCAATTGACTTAACGAGGCTCGATGAGCAGATAGTGCGCGAAGCACATACTGCGTCACAATGGATTGTTTCGACATGATGAAAAATGTGTTGTTGGGCATTGGCAAGGCGTAGGGTCTTCGGCGTAAATATGCAAAAACAAGGGTGAGGAGAGTAAAAAAGTAACAAGCTCGATTTCCAGATCTATTTCTGCCTCAACTGGTTTACCGTCGTAGATAACAGCGTGATGAAAACCGCGTCTGTGACTGCCTAAGCGGGAACGCCATACTAGGGAGAATGCACGAGAAGCCAATATTACTGGAGGGAGGCAGAACAACAAACCCCAGCCTCGAGATTTGCTCAAGATGAGAGCTTCGGGAAAAGAGAAGGGAGAAACCCTCCCCACGCATGATGGGTGATTGTGCTCAGGGTCGGACCCTATCGCCGACGCTTCATGTATACGTTGTTTGTTGACGAGTCGAGCGTTGGCGTCGTCCCCATGTCTCCGTTTGTATACAGATCGAGTCTTGGCTTCGGTCTCGGGATTGGCTTTGATGTGCTCGCGAGGTCTCCCTCCATAAACCCCATATCTTCGTTAAAATTAAGCAACCCGTAAATTCCCTGCCCTGTTTCCCGGGGAGGCAGCGGGGTTGAACTGTCATTCGTAGGCTCGTGTCCTTTGGGTCTTGCGCTCCATTGTCATGTCACCGGTAGCTTTGACGCAGTAGTAGCACTGCCATGTTCAAGTCTGGGCGTCCTGCTAGCACGTGGTTACTTTCTTTCCGATTTCCGCAACCTGTGATTGTAGCTGTGACTGCGGCGCTCAGTAATCGGTATATAAGTAGTATCGAGATAGTGTGAAGAGGCGTGCGCGTACACCTCAAGGTCTGTGTCTCTAGTATTTACCTGGGTCTGGCCTTGATCGATCGTTCACAAGGTTACAAATGGCGAGCTCTGAGCTGTTGAAGCAAATTCAATCAGGAAAGGCTCTGAAAAAGGCAACCACAAATGATAGATCTGCCCCCCAGCTATCGGGTGTCAAAACTTCCGCCAGCCCTAGCGGAGGCGGCAGTGGTGGTGACAGTGGTGGAGGTGCGAGGACTTCGGGCGGTGGTGTCGCACCTCCCGTTGGTGGTGCTGGCCCGCCTCAGCTGGGTGGTCTTCTGTCAGGTGGCATACCCAAACTCAAACCTGTCGGATCAGGGCCCCCTTGTGAGTGTGCCTCGATTATCAATGGCTGCCATTAATGCTCAAAACATGTCGGTTTTATCAGCTAAGCTTACGAATTTAGCGAAACCACCTTCAATACCGAAGAAGACTCCAGGTGCACCCTCCGTAACCCCTGCACCACCTCCGCCGCCTCCGCCGCCTCCTGTTCCTGCCAATGCACCTCGTCAACCCACGGCGCCGCCCCCGCCATCTTCCTCAGGCAAGTACATTATTCGGCGATTGGGCGAGTGCACCCAGTTCACACTTTTGTAGTCCCTCGCGCTCCCCCCAGGGCGCCTCCACCTCCTCTGTCAACATCCCCTGCGCCTCCGGCCAGAGTGGCACCGAAACCTCCTGTGATTCCTCGTGCGCCTCCTCCGGCACCGCCTACTTTGACGGCCCCAGAATCACCAGTGTCAGCCCCCGCCCTCTCCAGGGCACCACCTCCGTTACCTGGCCGTGCCCCACCCCCAGTGAATCTCTCTGCCAGTTCAACCGTGCGCCCTCGTATGTCTCTTTCCTTTTAATCACGGGTCATGAAGTTGACATAGGTTATTTCTACAGCGCCCCCCATACCACCGGTGCCATCTTTATCTTCTAGTGTTGATTCCTCTTCGAAGCCATGTAAGCTACGTTCCCTCATTTGCTGGCAACTGGGCTCATGTATGACTATCTAGCGCCATCTGCCCTTTCTGCTCCCAGCCTTCCTGCTCGTCGTTTACCTCCCGAACTGCCTCCGCGAGGGCCAACCACCAATAGGAATGCTCCACCACCACCTCCCCGGTCTGGGTCAATAGTCCGGCCATCTTCTCCATCCAGTGCTCCTTCAACACCTAGAACACCATCAGCTCGATTAGCCCCGCCCCCGCCGCCGCGACCTGCATCTTCACAACTTGCCACCCTACCTCTGCCACCGGGGCGTGCGCAAGTGGTACCGAGCACTGAATCTGGGCCCACGCGAGCTCCACCGCCTCGACCAACTCCTTCGCCTCCGGCAGCGTCATCTAATGCCCCCTCTATCCCTGATCGACGCGGTTTTGCTCCACCACCACCTCCCCCTCCCCCTCCTGGAGGACCGCCTCGAAACAGAGTGTCTTCGACCCCACAAAGTATTTCGTCGTCCTCTCATCCTGTTCGTCGACTAGTATCCTCGGTGTCTGCAGGAAGTGGACAGGGAGCAAAGGAGAATGGCATAAAACTGTCCAAGAGTGAGTTTGCAGTAAACACCATTACTCTAAAGCTAATTGCTCGTCCAAATCTAGTTCCTGAGCCTGCAGCTGTTTCAGGCAATCTTACGTTTCCTACGTCAGACATGTTCCCTCCCCCTCGCCCATTTGTTAAAGGTGCTAGGGTATACACGAGTGGAGGCAACAAGGGTTCCCATTTCGATCTCTCTGTATTATAGATTGCACCTTACCTAATGGTTTACGTATTTCAATGGATTAGCTGGGGAAATGCTCAATTTATTTCGAATTTCATGACTGGGCAATGCGCTAGGCAGGTGACCAGCCTCTATAGTAGCGATGCGCTGCCATGAATGATCATGGGACAGCCAATATTGCCATTTTTTTGGCGGAACCTTTCGTAGGTTTCGCAGGGTGAAGGGACTTCACCTGAGGGTTTGTGTGGGACTCCGTGACCATGGTCCTGGGCCACCCGGGGAAATCGACGTTTCGCAGGGGCTGTGCGTGGGGCTGTCCAATTTCCGCCCAAGCGTGCTTTTCTGTTGATCAATCATATTGATGCGTGGCATGTGGCTGTACATTTGCATATTGAACACGTCGAACTTCAACAGTACATAAGTAAAGCAAAGCCGTTCCTCCATTCCCTCCATTCCTTCAAAAATGCGCATCTCTTCCCTTTTAAAATCATCGCTACTCATCGCTGGGGCTGTCATTCCATGGTATGCAGTAAATGTTCCTCTCAACCAACCCTTCCTCTTGCTTTCTGGGTTCACATGCTGATTAATAATATTGTCTCCATGATCCGAACTTAGGCGGGTAGCGGCGGGTGAAGGTCCCAGCGATGTCATAGACCTTACTTCAGCCAACTTTGGCGCTGAGACGCAGAAGGCTGGCCTTTTACTGGTCGAGTTCTTTGCGCCGTGGTACGTTTTGGTTGCTCATCCTCATCTTGGTCATGGTTGAACGCTTTGATCAATTAGGTGTGGCCATTGTAAAGCGCTCGCTCCTCACTATGAGGAAGCTGCAACGGCTTTAAAGGAGAAGAACATCACGTTGGCGAAGGTCGATTGCGTTGATCAGGCGGACCTTTGCTCAGAAAATGATATACAAGGTTACCCAACGCTGAAGATCTACAGAAAGGGGAAACCGACAGAATATGGAGGGCCTCGCCAAGCTGATGGCATCATCAGTTACATGACCAAGTGAGTGTCTTGGCGCCTACCCGCCTATGTTTTTCGTTTGTTGATGAGGGACTCCAGACAATCTCTCCCGGCCATCTCGACTGTTGCCTCTGAGAATCTCGAAGAATTCAAGGTCGCTGATAAGGTCGTTGTGCTTGCGTATGCTACTTCTACCGAAGAAGCCCCCATTCCTGCCTTCTCTTCCGTTGCTGAGACCTACCGTGACGATTACCTGTTCGGTTTAACAACCGATGAGGCGGCCATCAAAGCGGCTGGCGTCACCCCACCTGCTATCGTTCTTTACAAAAAGTTCGATGAGGGTCGCAACGACTTCCCTTCCGAGAAAATTGCTTCTGCCGACGTCGCTTCTCTAGCCGACTGGATCAGATCCAATGCTATTCCTCTCATTGACGAGATATCTGGAGAAAACTACAACCTTTATGCAACATCTGGCCTCCCACTTGCTTATATCTTCATTGAACCAACCGACCCTAAGCGGGAAGAGCTGATTAAGGAACTCAGCCCCATTGCCAAAGAACGAAAGGGCGTCGTTAACTTCGTCTGGATCGATGCGATCAAATTCGTTGAACACGCAAAGTCTCTTGTTCTCACAGAGGCTAAGTGGCCAAGCTTCGTGATCCAAGACATCAAAAGTCAGCTCAAGTACCCATTGGATCAATCCACTGAGGTCAATTTCAAGACCGTCGATGAATTTGTCAAGAATTTTGTTGCTGACAAGTTACAGCCCAAGTTGAAGACCGAGCCTGTTCCCGAGGAGCAAACTGAGAAGTACTATAAAGTCGTCGGGGAAACCTTTGAGAAGGTTGTTTACGATGATGATAAGGACGTTTTCGTCCAGTTCTCTGCACCATGGTGAGCAAATGTTACTTCCGTTTCGATCGGCCTATGCACTCAATGGATTCCAATTTCAGGTGCGGACACTGCAAGCGCCTACTGCCCACCTGGGAGACCCTTGCTGAAACCTACGCGGACCGCGCCAATCAAATTACCATGTACGTTCACTATCCATTACTGTTGTTCTGGAGATTGATACGACATTCGTCTTTCCCTCCCACAGCGCCAAGATGGATGCCACTGAGAATGATCTTCCTCCAGGAACTCCTTTCCACATAGCTGGCTACCCTACCCTCAAATTCAAGCCCGCAGGGTCTCGCGAGTTCTTTGACTACGATGGCGATCGTTCACTCGAATCTCTCATCGAGTTCATCGAGTCTAAGGCGAAGAATGACCTGACGAAGCCAGTTGCCAAGACTGCTGATCCGGCGGACAGCGCTCAACGCCCTGCAGCTACGCTTCATGAACAACATCAAGAATTATGAACACTCGAAACGATTTGGGCGTTGTGTCTTCTACACCCTTCCGTTTTCATAACTGTACCTTGTTTGAACACCAATTTCCTTTGATGAAACTGGAGCTCTCCTTCTGACGGAATTATGGGCATTGTTCTGGACACCTATTACTACTACGAAACGTGTTGCGCTGAAGGATTCCTACACTGTTGTGCTGGATCATTATGTAATCCGCTCGAATGGAATAACTGCCAGCCTGATCTACTCTGACATAAATGGACTCAGTTGGGGGAAGTGCTCGACTCTCAAGTTCAACACTGCTTTCCTCCCTACATTGATCTACGACTACGAATGAGGTGATGGTGCGTATATATATCTCCGCAGACTTTCTGATGTCTAGACTGGGCTTGGCATCGCTTCAGGCTCTACGCGATGCATCCAAGATAAGTGAGGAAAGTGAGATCAACGTAATGCGCGCGGAAAGCGTCGACGCCGTCGTGCCTCAACCACACCTCTTTCTCGGTTTTCGATTCCCTCTTTCATGAATGGGCCACAACATTTGAAGGACTATCATTTTCGTCCTGTTGCATGCTTGCCTGAGTAGTCTTCTTAAAGCCGAACAACCATTGAGCCCGATCGCTGATCAGATTAAACGCGTACTGACTGCGAATGGTGTTGTATCTCATCGTCGTATACCTGGTTTTCTAATGGCACGCCTCTTGACATAGCGCCATTTTTAAACTCTCTCACCGGTTCGGTGAGAAGCCCTGGGTATCACCTCCAGGTTTCGTAATGTCACTCTCTGCACGAACGCTCGTTCTGGAAAAAGAGTGCTTCCAGAAAGCTATATCAGACTTTAAGTTCGGATCGATTGGATAGATTACCTTGTTATTCGTCTTGATTTTATCCGGCGTTCCAATCGCGCGTGGAGTGCCGCACACGCCACTTAATTCCCAAAAACCTTTAGGCCAGTGAACGCCTCCTCGGTTTTTCCGTGGGCTTGAAAGACTGCTTTCCACTGTCATCTCCCACTTCACTTGAGGACACGTCCGGCAAATTGAAAAGAACTTTGATGGCCAAACAGCATCTCTCGCCTTGGATCCGAATGCCTTGGAACGTTCCCTCGCCAACCATGTTAGCGCGATGGAAGCTCGACTTCGACAATTGATACCACCGTGAATGTGGACTTCGACATCACTGGAGTCGTCTCCGTGATCGGTGATCGATTCTTCACAGTAGTAACTAGATCCTTTGGTCCTCCTGTATGCCCCATCACCTCGCGCAAGTATTCTTCTGAACAGTATTACAGTCCCGTACTGAAAGAGGCCAGATAACTCCATGGCCATCTCTTTCAAGAGCCTCCGGTGTGTGACAGCGTTTTCTCTCTGATCCACAAAGAGTTAGTCCGGAAGACCCACTTAGTCCAATCTTGCCGCAGCACACGAGAGTGCAACGTCAGAAGACTTAGCAGTGCAAATCGATTTATGCAAGATGGGGGAGGACATGCAGGGGAGAGGTGGTATCAAGACATAGCCGAAGGCCCCTTGGCCTTGTCTCACAATAATAATTATTGGCCTAGGAAGGCATGACCGATGCGAAGTTGTGCAAGGTAACTAAAACGTAAGGACTGTAATACGCAGCTAGCAGTCGCGATCACTGAGCACGATATCGATCGCGCGATACGATAGATATCGTGCCCCTTCGCGAGCAGGCCTGGCTTATATACATGATGATTATCATGTGGAAAACATGAAGAACAAAGCGTGAGGTCTGAAACCGAGCGCAGGCATTACAAAACATGAGTTAATAAGACAAAGCGTGAAACAAGCAACTTACAATTTTGGCTTACGTGCCTTGGTCCCGCCGGATCGGTAACTGGATGCCGTTGGCCAGTGGACTATTGTCTTGGACTGCTAACCCCAACAGGCACTTATTAGAGGAACACCGTTTAATGCAATTCCACGCCTAGTACTCCGATGGTTTAACTTGCTTCGGGCGTGTGTACCAGTATCTGATGCATTTATTTTTGAGCGGCACTTATGTATGAACGCTTGCCCTTTCGGAAGGGGATTAATGTGCCTTGCTTTGCCAGCGAATCAGCAAAGTCACCCACTTCATGTTCGAACGAAATTCCATTGCGCGTTCCTCGGTCCAAATAAAACCTCGGTCGAAGCTTTGTTATCGAGATCTACCACGTCGTAGATCTCATGGCGCCTATGTCTCTAGCAGTTCGTCAATTATTTGGCGGGGCCATCACTACTGAGCTCCCTGAAGCTTTTATTGATGCGTCGTCAGTAGATGCCTGTTCATGCTAGTGTTGGATTTGCATTCACCGTCTGAATGTGCGCCACCCTAGGGATTTGCGCCAAATACCAGATAACCAGGAGGTTTTTCTCTCACCCGTGGACGATGTGACGTTCATAGTCGAAATCCTCGAGAAAGTTGAAGAAGATAATCTTTTAGAGGCGGCGAAGTACGTTCCCCATAAGCTCTTCTTTAATCGTTCAGCTGACTTCACAAGGTTCCACTTCGATTCGCTAGCGCATGACAATGATGCACAAAATAATAAATCCATAGAACAAATAATACCTTCGAGCGAACCCTCAACTCAGGAGCGTCCAGCTCCGATCCTCCTCAGTGGGACCCAGCGCATCAAAAAATTCAACCGAACAACAGCAGATGATGTCCTGATCCTTTTGGCTCTCTGGCGTCTAGACAAATATAACATCGATCTAGTGCTGAGCTGCAATATCCCCGTGAAGACTGACTCCCCTGAAACTACAATCGTGGGAGCCGAGGTAAACGTAGAAGAGACGAAATCCACGTTTGCCAAGGCAGTTGGATCATTCAAGATAGTTGATTTTGGCTTATTCGGGGGCGAGAACGAACGTTAGGTCCCAAAGAAATTCTGCTAGGGGACACCCTGTATATCTTTCATACGCTGAAGATGTAATGTAATACAGCAACCCGCAAATTGTGATTTGATGGAGGTACGAGATTAAATTAGGTTTGTGTGCCATGGTGCCCCGGCACCAATGCTCTAGCTACCTTTTTCTCCTTTTGCGTTCGCTGTACGCTTGGGACTCTTACGCGTCCGCTGCACCGTACCCGTTGCGCCGTACCCGCTGTCAGCCTCACTGCCTCACTGCATGCTGTAACGCCGCGTCCGTTCAGTTGTGCTGATCAAGTGGATCCCTGCTCTCGCAGAATTTTGTCTTGCCCGTCTTCCCCTACTTGCTGTCTTCACACGCCCACCTTGGTTTCTCAGTTGTTCTTTTGTTTCTGTCACCCCAGCTAGCTGCAATGTCCCTGACTACCTGAAGAGTTCATCGGGGTATAACAAAACACACTGCTTGTGTACTTAGTATCGAGTCGTGTCGAGGCTCTTCGCTAGTCTTGTCGCAAGATCAGGCATGTATACGTCCTGCTTGAGCTGACGTTGTTCAATTTCATTCTGGGTTTCACCTAGTGACTTTGATCGTTCATCTTTCAAGAGCTTCGAACGGTGTCTTCGTGGACAATGTGTCTTTGAAATCCCGTATGTTCGCATATCATTGCATTCTTCATAATGTTACATACGCGTTGAAAGGTGTATGGGTTCCTCTCAGTGGTGTTCCAATGTCTACCCATAGATATTCTATGATTTGCCCTTGTGCATGGTAATCTGCAAAAGCGTAAGCAACATCCGTCGTCATCTGTCTTTTTTGGATAACTTTCGTATCTCCATTTTGCACAGTATATAATGATTTCCATCGTTCGTTGAATTATCGTCGATTCGCCCAGTTCTTCTATTTGAGGTCCACGATACCTCTCCAACTCGACGACAGTGTAACTGGGAGGGAACTTCATGTCTTGGACACCACTGGATGTTGGTGTTTCTTCTCAGCGATCCGCCCATATCCCTACTATTTCACCTCGAACTCCATTTGCGATGTCCATGTCTGTGTCCAGGTTCGTGGTTGTAATCACCTTGCATCTAAAGGCTAATTCAACCACTTCTGTGAGCCCACCTCGATAGAGTAGCATTCGTGTTGGTTATCTCGGAGATGGTCCCAAACCTCGTGATGACTTGGCAAACCTTTCCGCATTTCCATTCAAACGTGCCCTCTGTAAGCACTATCCTCCCCTCTGGTCTAATACATGATTGACTGATCTTCATGCATCCAAAGGACTTTTGTACGCCATGTACCCTCTCTGTGTACAACGTAACACCCTACCAGCCGGAACGCACACACCTTCATCTCCCGTACCGTAACGTTCAATGTAAATAGCGTGGATTGGTTCGTGTAACAATGCTTGGATCGAATGCTGTGCAGGTGACAGCGATGCAGAGCACGTACTGTAGTGCATATATTGGTGCAATACTTGTAGCAGGCAGAAGTCGCAAATACGTGAGGATTGCGCGCGGAGTCAAACACTTGGGACAGCTTAATAAATATAAATTAGAGCCTGCGACTGAAGCTCCTAGTGAACCGCGTCTGAGGAATCCAGCCACCGTACTAAGGAATGGCAGTTCTTGAGCAAAAGTAGTTCGCCTTGAGATGCTCCCGACTACGTTCGCAAGGAAACCACTTGTCTGGAATATCTTTCATATCCTGGACTTTAATTCTGCGACCTTGGAGACGGGGTGATGGGTAACAGTTCTTGCTCAATCAATCCCCTAGATCTAACAGCATACAACGTCGTCGTAATGATCGTCCTTAGATATACATTTCTACCGCAGAGGCTTCCAACCGATTGAACAACAAAAGAACCGTCAATTGTCACCAGTCGAATTTCTTCCCTGTTTTCGATACCGGGACTTCGGGGACTCGTCCACCACCTTTGGCATACCCAAAGCCGTCGAGCCAGGGCCACACCTCGCTCCGTTTCTCCTCGAATTTCTTGATGAACTCTTGCTTTTGCAACGTTAAACCAATACCGTCCAGACCGTTCAGTAAACAGTGACGCTTGAAGGAATCCACTTGGAACGGGATAGCGGGTTCCTCACCATCGCGTCGAACTTCGCATTTCTCGAGATCGACCTCGAGATGCTTTCCGGAACGGGCATGATCGGCTATTTTCTTACACTCTTCAGGTGGGAGGGTGACCGGAAGCATGCCATTCTGCATCATGTTGCTCTTGAAGATTTCAGCAAAGGATGGGGCGATCACGGCTCGGATACCAAAGTCATTCCTGATAAGTGCATGATCTTCAGTCATCCGCAACTCAGAAAGGTGTGACGTAAATCGCTTACAAACTCCACGGCGCGTGTTCACGGCTGCTGCCGCACCCAAAGTTTGGCCCAGTGCACACGAGAATGACCGCCTTGTCATACGGTGATCGATTGAGAACAAACTCCGTTGCCTCACCAGTCTTTGGATCCTTCCTTAAAGTATGGAATAGGGCGTCCCCTAAACCAGTACGCTTTAGCGTCTTGAGAAATTGTTTAGGGATGATCATATCGGTATCGACGTTGGCAATGTCCAGTGGCGCAGAGACACCTTTGACAATGGTGAATGGGGGAACGGCTGACGAAGTCGCGGCAACTGATACAGAATCAGTTTCTGTCGAGTTCGCTCTAGCCGCCGACGCTGCTGCTGACGGTGAATCCGAGAGGGGCACAGGCTTAGGTGGGGGTAGCACCTCATCCGTGAGGTAATCGAACGCGCTTGTCACTTTGAGCTTCGTTTGATCCAGATTTGACCCCTTCTTCAAGAATATGCGCACATCCGTCAACTTCCCGGTGAGAGCAGCGGCGGCAGCCATCGCAGGGCTCATCAGATGAGTGCGGCCTCCCGCCCCTTGTCTTCCTTCAAAGTTTCGGTTGCTCGTACTGGCACAGCGCTCGCCAGGTGAAAGTTGATCGGGATTCATACCCAAGCACATCGAACAGCCAGCCTCTCTCCAGTCAAAGCCAACACGCTTGAAGACAGCATCCAGGCCCTCTGCCTCAGCCTGTTGTTTGATGAGGCCAGAACCGGGAACAATCATGGCGTGAACGTTGCCTGGAACTTTGATGGATGGATCAGCAGAAGTGGCTGCGATGATGACTTGAGCAGCACTCCGCAAATCCTCGATGCGACTGTTAGTGCATGAGCCAATGAAGATCGTGTCGACGTCAATATCTTGCATTGGTGTGTGCGGTATGAGGCCCATGTAAGCCAGCGCCCGTTCGGCGCCGGATCTCTTAATAGGATCAGTAAAGGAGGCAGGGTCCGGGACAACTCCAGTGATCGGAACGACATCCTGAGGCGAGGTCCCCCATGTGATGGTAGGAACGATATCTTCCGCGCGTATGTTCACTTCAATATCAAACTTAGCGCCTTGGTCCGATTTAAGCGTGCGCCAATATGCCACGGCGCGTTCCCATTCTTCCCCTTGGGTGCGAGCGGACGGCCCTTAAGGTACTTAAACGTAACTTCGTCGGGGGCAACCATCCCGGCGCGAGCACCAGCCTCGATACTCATGTTGCAAACGCTCATTCGGGCTTCCATGCTCATCTCCTCGAAAACATTCCCGCGTACTCGATGACGCAACCGGTGCCTCCAGCTGTCCCAATTTTCCCGATAATGTGCAAGATAACATCTTTGGAAGCGCAACCGGGAGGGAGGGTTCCATTGACCTTTATTCGCATGTTCTTTGATTTCCTCTGCAAGAGAGTTTGCGTAGCAAGGACGTGCTCGACTTCGGAAGTGCCAATCCCGAAGGCAATCGAGCCGAAGGCCCCATGTGCTGAAGGGGGAATGATCACTTTGAGTATTGGGCAGATATAGGAGCAACATACTTGAGGTATGTGAGTCGCCACAGACACAGGTAGTGCCAGGGAGCTACGACAATATAAGTGTGAGCACCTGAATTTTGGATAAGTGATGGTCCACTCACTGTGAATCCTTGCTCGGGACCAATGATGTGGACAATACCTAATCAAAATACCGACACAGATGAACAAATGCAGAGCCTTGCTAGAAGCGGTGATCATACCTTGTCTTCTGTCTGACATCCCAAAATATGTCAAGCCAAACTCTTTGACATTTTCCTCAAGTGCAACACACTGAGCGCGGGACTCTGGCTCGTCGATGAAAGTTTTCACGTCAGTAAAGTTTTTGCGGGAGATAGTTCTAACAGGTCAAAACTAGTATTGGCGTCAGTTCTCTGGAGGCTTGAGGGTGAAGGCTTACGGAACATTGTGATCGACGGTGGCTAATGTACAATCGGGCCTGCGTACTGGCCGCCCAGCGGTTCGGCTTCAAAGCGAACTTGAATGAGAAATCCACTGGAAAATGTGTTATATACCCACAGGCCTTCGAAGGCTTGGGGACTCGTAACTTCGTGTACAAGGTGACTAGAGCGCGGGGAAGTCGATCGATTTAAGTGCTAACAATGTTTGTTTCTCACCGATCGATGTAAATGAGCGTCTCCCCACTCTCTTGCTGGTGTCTGACCCGGTGCCTCAGTACAACGACATTGTCCAACATGCTTAGTCCAACTCACACGACATGGTCGTCCCAAACCTTATCGTACAGTGTGCGAGGTGCTGGAGCTGGGGCTGGCATTTGGAGTTCTTATTCGATAGGAGGCTAGGGAGAAGATAAGAGGAGAATGGACAAAAAGGGCCCGATGTCAGGGATGTTATAGCTTGGGGAAACTGGTCAAGCTTCGGCCGATCGGAGGGCCCAGAAGTGGTCACCTGACACAACAAGTTGGTGTCGACAAAGCCCCTGCATGTCTACCGCCACAAGGTTATGGCCTGTCATTTCAATATACCGGTGTGCAATTAACTGATATGTCCTGTCCGAACCTGCGACCCGAATGTAAAAATAATGTTGGGCCCCGGCTCCAATTACATGTCCCCTGATTGGTTCTGTTCGCTTCAGCAACACTGACGTTTCGGAGCGTGCCAAGGCTCTCACGGTAGCTTGGTTGGTGGTGATCGTGGACACATTGGTCTATTTCCGCCACGCAATCCACATATGTGAAGGTGAGCTTCAAGTTGCTCGGAGCAAACCGCATTAGCGGGTCATCGGAAACGTGGGACCATGACCTGATCCGCTCTAGCAATCCGCGGAACGGTATCCTTGGGCAATGTTCCCATGTATTCGTGGGAAAGATCCTTCTAGTGTCGAACTTGCCCTATCGTGGTGCCACAGCGTGCCCCCCCATTCATCCCCCTTGGATGCGACTGGTCTCGCCTGGTGCAATTATCCCACCGCGAGCACCAGGCTCGACGCTGATGTTGCAGACGCTCATTCTGGCTAGAATGCTCAGCTCCAAAACATAAATTTTCCGATTGAGCCGAGGGCGCCATGTGCTGGAGGGAAATGATCGCTGTCAAGTATATTGCAAAAGGGGTCAACATACGTGTGACTCGCTGCAGAGAGCTCTGTAACTAATAGAGAAAGCCTTAAATGCATTCTTTCCAACAATTGCGAGAATACCAATGAATAGTAGTGTCTGGCGGGGCCTAAGCGCTAAGCGGTTGGGAATTGAATTGTATTTCACTAAGTTATGACTATTGACGGTGCTGTCATCTCTATCCCAATAGAGGCTGGTAACCTGCCTAGCTGTCATCCACATTATACATTGCTGGCATGCCTGCTTTCCGCTCTAGAAACCTATTGTACTTACGTGTTGATACGCAAACTATCCTTCCGTGTTCCTGCATCTGGACGACCAGAACGGACACACGGAGTGGATGACTCAGAGCACACTCGAACAAGTGGTAGAAGATATGCGGTACCTGTATGGCCCGACTCTCTAGGACAATGCTCCAGACAAAACTGATCGAGCGTCCCTACGCTGAAGCATAGGTCCAAAGATAGAGGCTGAAGACGCGCGGCGGTCGCTCCTGGACCTTCATCAATGAAGAAGACTTCTGGGTTGATGTATTTCGTGGAAGTGAGTATGGCGAAACGTTAATCTCTGCGAGCATTGCTCTCATGTTTTATGGGCCGGGCCTTCCAGAAACGTATCAGTTTGGCTACTACCTCGAGAAAGCGGATCACCACACTATTTTAATCAAGGTGGCTTATTTCACCCCCCCTTTGTGAAAGCCTGGCAAACCAAAACGTCTTGATTCGCAGCATCAGTCGTTTGTCCCTGCTGCTCCACTTGTGTCAGCGAAGCCTGCCGTAACTGCTAGTGTATCTCCTAGAGCATTCCAGCCTACTAGGGAGAGTGGGTTGGTATCCAGCACTCAGGGGAAGAAGCGAGCCCGTCCTCAGAGTCTTGAAGTTGACGATCTTGATCAACAACAAAGCCGAGAGCAAACTGAGGTTCACCTCGTGCCTACCCCTTTGCAACCTCGTCGGTCACGACGTACTAAATCTAGGGTCGCCAACTATCAAGAACTCAGCGATTCAGAGCAACAAAGAGGCCAGCCGGGAGATGAACTAGGCTCCTCCAATGCCCGCCAATCATTCCAAGAACCCGGTGAAGATGATGGATATGAGGCAGAAATAAAGATGGAACATAGTGACCACGATGACATCCTACACTACCCTTCTTTGTCAATCCTCTGCAAGCCCATTTGATGTCGATGACAGTGATAACGAAGATGCAGCCGACAAAAAGAAGCTTAAGCTGACTACGTCGTACACGGGCTTCACAATATCAAAGTACAAACTCTGCTTGATCGTACAGCCCTATCCACCACTTCGAAGCCAGGTTTCACCTCTAAGTCTCCCGGAACGCAACCATCGCGGGTGCGAGATGCTCCCGCCTCATCGCTCCTGCCAAGTCGCCAAGCCCACTGGCACCCTTCATTCATTTATCACCCACCCCTGGCCCACAACCATCAAGACGGCGCACCCCTCTCTTTCGCGAGCCCAGTATGACACCCGCACCGGATACTGTATTGCAAGAAACCTCTCCGCTGAAGGGCCTGACCATGAGCCTGGGGGATTCGTTCGGGCCATCCGAGGGCTGAACGCAGCGGATAATGAGCTTGAGAACCTCATGGAGGTTACCCAATCGTTCAGTTTAGCTTCGGAACTATGGAACGCATGGGTGTCCCTATGTATGCGGGTGGCATCAGTGCAAATGTAGATGCGGACGAGGACGGTTGGCTCATGGCGACGCGGATGAAAGAAACGATTGAGTCACGACGGCATGAAACCACTTCGCAGAATGTGAATAGCGAGGATAATCCTTCACTTTCCTAGACCAAATTGAACACCTGGAGCCTGCAGTCCAGGGGATGTGTTCGGTCATGCTCAATACGTCGAATTGATGCTGTGCTCCTAAAGTGCGCCTGTCAATAATCTACCAGTTATTCATTGTCATGACTGTAATTGAGTGGTACAGAGCACAGCTGGCTGATAGAAAACTGTGTCTAGCGGCGAGATCTGATGGGGTTTTCCTATTTTTTTCTACACTGACGGGATGAAATCCGTACTGAGTTTCTTCACCTGATGCACCCAGGTGTCCATGTGGCATTATGTGGATCGCGGTTGGCAAGAAGTAACATGATCTGCGGTTTTCATCTGAGGTGTCCCACACGATGAATAAACCAGTGAAGCGATGAGGTACTAAGATATATGAGATCAGATACAACTGCCCTGAACTTGAGATTTGGAGATGAGGATCTCCTGTAATGAATAATAATGATAGATGCACATCGTCCTGCTTCGAGGGCATCATTCTTCATGAGGAGGTGTGTATGCGGAAGCGGGAGCTGGGCATTGCCACCGTCAACATCACTGTTGAGCAAATCTGAGTGGTATCGCCACCGGATGGAGGCAGAGCGGCTGCCAGAAGACAGGATGGCGGACGGGGGTCCGGATGCTCTCTCGGGGTGTGGTTGTCAAAGGGGACAGATTCAAAATTTAAAGGCAGCCGAGCTACCAACAGCAGACAACTTTGCGATTGGTTATCGTGTTTCGTATCAGATTCTTCCTTAAAAACAACAACAGCCACACATCCTAACCCAAGATACGGAATCTCTGCAAGTCTGTCAGGCGTTGAAAGGGGAATGGGCTACGGAAGTCGCTGAGCGCCTTCAATATCAGAACGGCGCGTTTGTGGAATCTCCGCATACTGAACGAACGCATTGAGTCGAGGGATGCGCTCGAACTTAGACTTGTTGATGGGAGGGGATGCTCAAGTTTCTTTGAAATCCTTATAGTCCGGCAAAGGGCTACATCTCATGGAGGTTGTCCAAAAGTGCTGGAGTCACATCATTCTGTCGAGCTGGAATTACGTAAGCATGGAGTTCAGGACAACATTCGTAAACAGTAATCAATTCGGAGCATTGCCAGTGGGAGGTTCCGCTGTTGCTCGTTGCAGCACGGCTGCCTTCTGCTCCAAATCCTATCCAGATATCATGCAGGCTGAGCTTCAAGCTACTCAGAGCAACCGCAGTGTCGGTCAGCCATCAGTGCATCGAAAGCCTGGGAACCATGTTGGTGCGTGACTTGATTAGCATATGAATTGCCAGCCAGCTGTCATCAGACTCCTGACGACGCGCTTGACGCAGCAATTTCTCGGCGACGTGGTGCACAGACGCGCCTAAGTATGGATGATCGACCTGACGCTGACACGTTATCAATGCTAGAGTACTACATTCTAAGGCGGCTGCATCTGGGTTTGGGCACTCTACTCTTCCTCATCCTCGTCCTCAGATGACATCAGGTCGTCTTCATCGGATAGCCAGTATTCCCGCGGAGAAAGGTCAAGGTCCCTTCACCAGCACGGAACAACAACGGCAACGACGGGACAAGGCTGACAGAAAGAGACGATCATCTATGGTGACCGTTCGCGGGCGATGCCAATGCGGAAATATCTGTCCTGGCTTCGCAGTCAGTTTCAAATGCCCTGGCGGTGCTATTAACGTCGGCCCAGCGCTGCGCAGCTCGAACGCAGATAACCGCAGACTCGCAATTATGGAATTGAACTCTGCACCGCCTTCTGAACACACTTCATCGCTGGACAATATCATGTCGGGTCAGAATCAGATACGGTCACTCAACAGAAACAACTCATTATCTTCAAGGCGAGGTATGATGCTCAAACTTCATCAATCAGGTATTCGCAGAAACAGACGCTCAAGCAATCCACGTGTTGTGAATCCAGGTATGCATCAGCCTCGTGTAGCGCTCGTGGCACCGCCAGATGTAGCACCTTCATCCTATACGAATTTGACCCCATATCCGGCCCATCGAAGTGGCACTCATGATGATATTCCCACTCGCCCTATCTCGCCCATCGACGCGCAAGAAGCCATGAGCCAATATCTTTTCTCCACTCCTGAACTTCAGCCTGCTTATGAAGGCAGAGGAGATGCGGAGCAGAAGCCGCAATTTGCGCTTGAAGCGAGCGACCGCGCGTTACAGCACAGCACGAGATGACACATGCGAGCACGAGGCCGGAGTCGGATTCCCGCGAGACTCTTTATAGTGGACGTCGACGAAGCTTCGTCTTTTGAGCCTCCGGTCATAGAGTCGCTTGTTCAGACCGCGGACCTTCCGCACCCTCAACTCTCGAGTCCCCATCATTACAATCAGGGTTGGAGTGGGTCACAACTTCACCTTCCACCGACACAGTAGTCCAAAGCAAGGACGCAGACACGGAAATCGCCAGCCCGGTGATCCATACCTTGCAGATGGCTTGGCCAGCAACCAACCTTCAACCGCAGCCTTTCCAGATAACTTATGGCGGGCACCTCCAGTTAGTGCAACAACACACACCCAAGTGTCACGGGCGTCTCCTATCCCTACGTTCTCTCCGGACATGCCGTACATGTTTTTCGATTCAGCTCTTCACGGTGCTGCTGGACCACCACCTTCCCTTCCAAAAGCTCTTCAGCCACCCCGCCGGTCCCCTGCTCCAGGATCATTGCTGTCCTCTGCGCCAGCGCCCGCCACTTCCACATCAGTGCAAGCAGCAGGTGTCCCAATAATGTCATCGCCGGCGGCGAACACACCAGTGTCGATATCATCCGCTTCGACGTCCCCTGAGACCATGATGTTGACAGTCCCCCTGGTCCCTTCATCGCCTGCCCAAATAACTGGACCACCGGCACACTACCAACAAGAAACTCGACCATTTTCTACTCCCCTGACTACCACAATGAATCATCCTATTACACCAATCTCTCCACCTCCCCGTCCTCCCCGTATGTCCTCCCCTCCTAGGAAAAACAACTATCCCGATCTTGCCCAAAATTACCCATCAATCCATGGTGTCCAACTGTCTCCGGCGGCGCCTAGTGAGATGCAGTCTATCGTGTCTGAGGCTATCCCCCAGTCTCCCATAGAGCTCGAGTCTCCACAAGCCACTCAAATCCAAGTTCGCCACACAAGACAGCGTACCTCATACGATAGCGGCAAATCTAGTGTGAGATCTCGACCTCTTCCTACGCCACCTACGGTCAATCGATCTTTATCACAAGGTTCTGTGGTAACTTCGTCATCCGTTCGTTCCCAGACAACACGGCTCAGCGGTATGAGCGATTCTATTTACAGCAATAGTTCGCATCCAACGCGGCGAGTATCGGATAGTGCATACGATGATGATTTCGTGAGCCAACAGATTGAAGGTCCAAAAACGTTTGTTTTATTTGCTTGCTTAAACGACACTCCCTGCTGACTATTGTTTCTAAGTCCTCCGGGCGATGATCCCATTATGTTTTCATCTCCGGAGAAGATTTCCTCGTTATCGTCCTCACCACCCTCACATAACCACTTCCGTGAACCTTCCAGCGTCATATCCTCTAATCCTCCTTCCCCTCCACCAAAAGAATTACCCGCCATACCTATCGCTCCGCTCTCTCCAACCCGGGGAGATACCATTGATGACCTGGTTGCTGTGGTGGATGATGCCATGGATGACATGGGATTAAACAGTGTGGCGCCCTCATATGCTGCGCAAGCCTCTTGGTACGAAAACGATAACCCTCCCGATTCCAGCGAACCCACTGTTGAACTTCGTCAATA